CTATGAAATAAATCAAGGCAATTAATAACATATATATTTCCAAAGTGTAAAGGTGGTGGTCATTTTCACTTTAAAAATAACTGACATTGATTTTTCAAAGGACAAGTAGTACCCTTGCATTGCCTCCCCCTTTTTTTCTTAACTGATTTGCATATTTGTCATCAGGGTCAACTACCTGCATATATTTTTTTGTGGTTTATAATTTTCCAGCCACCATTGTTTTCATTCGATATCACCAAATTCAAATTTACATTCAGTAGTGTATTATTCACAGAAACGGAGTTAAACCTTAATTACTGTGCTTTATAAAACACTAACAAAATGTAAAGCTTCTGGGACCTTATGGCACCATCAGATTTGCATTTTTCATCTTCTAGTTAGCTACCTGCATATTTTACCTGCAATTTATTATTAATCCATCCTCCATTGTTAACATGCAGGGTCACAAACACAAATACGTTCAGAAGCTTCTGAACTTTATTATTCACAGAAATGGAAATCAACATATATATTTACATTTTTTTCATTTTTCGGGATATGTGTACGTTTGTTACAACAAACAGTGACAATTAAGTAGAAACAAATACACATGAACATTTTAGACAGAAATTTTTCAATGTCTCCATCCGATTAAATAGGACACACTGAAAACAATGTTAAGTTTTAACCTTGAAGAAATAAAAGAATATCAGTCAGTTGTGCTCGATATAATGATAAAATGGAAAACAAAATGGAAAACAATATGGAAAACTGCAAGGACCTAAGCCTTACTCCCTTGGAATTATTTTAAAAACCATACATGTTGAAATACAGAATCCTCCACTGTTCATATTTACTAATGGTATACATAGCTATCCCTAACAGTCCCGAATCCTCCAATTTCAATATGATTTTGCACACCCCCTAGGGAGTTGGGGTTAAGCTTTCATTTCCCGAGATGCACCGCAAGTAAAACTGGATTTGCATCTCCAACGGGCAGCTTGTCACTCACATTGATAAATTTCTCTCATTCACGAATGACACATTATCAATTTCACGGTTGAAAGGGTTAGCCTTGACATTCTTGTTGGAACTGGTTGCTGTCTGAAAAATGTGACTGCCTTTTCGTTTACGTACTGTTACGATTATAGTTAGGGCCTACATGTTTACAATACATCACAGTTGCTCCTGTGACCTGATAAGGTCACGGCGCGACCCCATTAGGTCACCCAGTAGCTTAGCTGAGGAGACACCAAGGCAGCCTGACATTGTTGGGCTGACATTTGAATGTCCCCCAAGGCTGTGAAGTGTACATATTACTACATACTGGTACACCACACATTCATTGATCCCAGTTGTTGGGGTGACACTATTACATGCAGCAATGTAAATGTCGGGACAAACAGTATGCTGCTTCTGCTACACTTACACAATTCATGCACCAGGATTGTTTGTGTTGAAATTGTGGTTGAGTTTTAATTGTTACATGTTTGGCTGAGCGTGTAGATGTACACGTACATTGAACATGCACGCATTTTTAACAAATTTGTTATTAAAGGGAATATACATCATTTGCTTTTGCTGTAATTTTCAGAAATGGATGGAATTGGGGGGTTGGAAATATAAAGCAAATATAGTTACACTGACTTTTTGGAGGTTTTGGGTTCGAAAATGCTATAAAAACCAAGAAAAACGATCATTTTCCTGTAGTCTGGTTCCCCGACTCCATATGAAAAGAAACAGAGCAGTTTACATACATTGGGGAATTGTAAGGTCAGGGAACCAGTCTAGCTGGCTCGTACCCGTTCATAAGTTTGTAATCGATTGCAAACAAGTGCAATGGTCAATTGGGGCCAGTATTTGAAGAAAAAAAGCCAGTTGTTTCCAACGCTGATCGGCCGATCAGCGTTGGAAATGGATACAAAAATACCACTTTTCTTGAAAATGACATATTTGTATAAAGAGCGCAAACTAAGCTGTGCTGTCTGAAGTTCTACTGTATTTTCATGTACAGTCAGAATAAACACTGATGTGAACACCCATAGGCCTGCACATGTACAACGCATGCACTGATACCATGTACATGTACATGTACACATATGTTTACAGTAGGCCTAGCCTTACATACATGTGCAGTACATAATTTCCATTGATTACTACTGCACACGTACATGTAGTACACATGCTAATGCATGGTTCTACAGTTGCCCCCTCTCAGCAAACCTGGGCAATCCCACAGCAGTGTTTAACCACAAAACCACAAACCACACAACAAGATCCCTGGTTGATAGCAATCTGTCCCACACTATCAATGGCCCCAGGGTTATTTATCAATGAGGTTCCCTGCCCATATAGTGCAACTGTGAAGGCCCGCTATCTGACATGGATTGGTTTACCTGTCAAAATGCCAAGCGGTGACCAGTTTATAGTGTGTTATTATTTGCCCAGAATGCCAACACACAGAAGAGACCCAGTGGGAACAGTGTGTATACACAATCTGTTATGTTGTGTGCTTGATGTTCTGCATTTTAAATACCTATACTGTACATGATACATGTAGACAGTTTCCCTTGATTTTAGTGTTTGGAAAGGGTTTAAAATGTTTTCAAGAAGATACTACATGTAGTATAAATATTTTTTGTGGCTGATTTCTGTTGTTTTTAACATTTGAGATCATTATAATATTTTGTGTTTGATAGTGATGGTGATATTCTCTCATATATTCTCTCGGACTGTATCACACTATCCTCTGATGTTTTTCTGCAGACCTTGTGCACGTTTTACCTTTAGTCATGATTAAATTGCTACATCTTTTGTACTTGTATCTGAAAAATGTAATTAATTAATCCAGGTTTTAAAATATACAAGCCAAATCTTCGGAGCCTATTTTCCATTTTAGTATACATGCATTGGGGGAAGAATGTCTTTAGCAAAAAAATCGTGCAATCATATATAATTATCATCACGTTAAAATGTATTCAAATGTGTTTGTACCGGAAGTAATTCGTAATAAAAAAATTAGTACAGTTTCCCCCGGAGTTCAATTTTATTCAAAGGAATATTCATCTATGATAACCGCTCAATAAAACAAAAAGTGTAATCGATACAGGGTACATGTAAATGAAGCCGTGGAGGGATAATTCTGGAATGTCCGCTCTGGTATTTTTAGCACCTGCGAAAGTAATTATTCAAGTTATGCATGTACCGTATGTCCAATTGCTGAACAAGACTTTCCTATTTCTAATTCTGCAAAGCTACGTACATATGTACATGTACATAAATTACGAGCTGGCTTATGTTTTGACTGTATTACATGTACATGTATGCGCATTGTATGTGTACTAGTACATTCATGTACATAGGCTTCGCACAGGTACCGGTGCATTGCTTGCTAGCAGTATACATGTGCGTACATTGTTTACATTTTGCTCCTGCATTTTTGTCAGCCGAATCAGCTCATTTGCATAAACTCTGCCTGTTATCGCAGCATTTGTGTTTTTTTTTATTTACAATTTCATAGAGGATCCTCCCCTCTTGTGTTTGTTATTGAGTACTTGAACTATAGATCAAAGATTAATGTAACACAGTTTACATCCATGATGTGAAAATTTTACCTACATGTACCATATTCACGTTGAGTTTGATAAATGTTGTTCAAAGATATAGTCCATCATTTGTAATTTGTGCATTTTGTTCGTTTGAAGCAACAAAAGTGTTCAAAATCTAATGAAGGATACTGAACAACTAACCTGATGAAGTTTCAGCTCAGCTTCAGCTGTATATTCCAAGAAAAACAGCATTCTAGGATCTCAATTTCAAATCAAAAGTTACTGAATCATGTTTTGAATTGTTTTGAATTACAGCTATACGCGACGTCGCGCACTGATCCGACGAATTATAGCAACCGCGTGTGCATCGTGCCAATGCTTGCGCGCGCTTCGCCGAATAACAAAACGAACTACTAATTTAAAATTTTCCTACGGTGCGTCTTAAGACACACCGTTGGAAAGGCCTTCTTTCGTTGATTACTTCAAAATGACAGCTTCCCAGAAAGAATAATTTCACAAGGAGATTAATTCCCTTACTACCGGTATCTTTCAACCAAGTTCGTTTTTCAACAATAATTACGCCATTTACTTTCCGGATGGCTGCAAATGATGGACTATAGCTTTAAATTTGCTTGATTCACTTGTAGTAGTAACTTGTTCAGAAGTGTTTTGAATGTGTCAAAAAATGACTTAAATTTTATACTCAAAATGCTTGAGGTACATGTAGGCCCAGAGTTATCCACGGGATTTACAAAAAACGCGTCAGGGTGTTCAACATTCTCCACAACTGTCTGTAAGACACCGTACATAAAAGTACACTGTGTGCGAATTGCTTGAAATGTACATACATTTATGTAAACATAGTAAATGCAGGTGTGGTCATGCACCACTGAATAAGGGCACTGTATTTCTGTATTCAATTTCTATAACAAAAACATTGATCTACAAATGTGCTTTTTGTTGTCTCTACCAGTGACCCGTTTTTATTTAAAAAAATAAAAAATAAGAGGTTAAAATGGTATCAGAAATGTACTTTTCCAATCAAAATGAGAGATCTGTATTTACCATGTTCACAGGCAAGTCGTACATGTAGCATGATTATACATGTACATGTACATGGTTCATGTATACATGTACCTTAAATTTATGTGTAAAAAAAATCATGTAAAAATTTATTGTGATATTAAACACCTTACATGTACATGCACATGTATGTACATGTACATGCAATTCTGGTTTTGAAGTTTACATCTCGGTGAAGCTGGTTAATACTGCTGCATATGGGATGTTAAACGTCAAGTTTTGACTTTACAAGTCACAATGTATCAATGCAGCCAATTTGCAAAAGTTGAACTCATTTCAAAATTCAACACAGCAGAATTTCATCCAAAAGGTGCCTGCTTATGTATTGATGTGAAGAAAATTTGAGTGACATTTCCTCTTATTTTTCTTTTCCTTGTCCATGCGACAAAGGTGACACCGTCATCATGGCTAGAAGGCGAAGAAGGGTAGCAAAGACAAAGCAACAGACACGCTCAGCTCACACGGAACCCAACGAGGAAGGGCTTAGCATGGGGTCAAAGGTCACCATGATACCCACAAAAGGGGCGGAGGAACATCTCAGGGTGAGTAATGTAGTGGCTTCTGTTCACGGTTTGGGGTGGGGGGGTTAAGGAATTGTCATCTTTCTTCAGGTGGCCTGGGATCAGTTCCTGTTTTAACCCTAATCAACAGAAAGCAACAGTGATAAAAAGTTGTTGCATACTGTTGCATATACAGTAGCAGCAAACTCAAGTCCCTGTGCTGTGTTGCATCTTGTTGCATTTAGCAGGGTAACTGCTCTAGGATGATACAACATAATCCACTGTTGATTGCATTGGTTGCAACGTTTGCAGGGTAACTGCTTGGTGCAAAGGCTGATGTACATGTACACTGGGTTCACTGCGAAATGCAACAGAATCCCTTGTTGAAGTTTGTTGCATTTAGCAGGGTTCTCATTTCGGTTGTGTTGTTACCTGCATGGGGGCTTCAATTTCAAGAGTACATGTGGGAAAGACAGTGCATTTCTTCAAGACTTTGCCCGTAACTGACACACTGTTTTCAAAAATACTGTACTGGCATTGAACCGAGTAGAGTGGATGAAAGACATGATCATCATGGAGTCCAACCCTCGAGTTTGGGGACAGACGGACTATAAACAGACGGATGGATGGATGTACACTAACATGTATTGTTGTCAAATAACTTGTGAAGCCCGGTTCATACTTCATGCGAACGCGAATGCGAAGCGAATTTGACGTGATGAGGCGTTCGCTGCGAAATTCGCCTGAGTTGAAATATGTTCAACTTTTACGAATTCGCAGCGCGAATTCTCCCACGCAGTCACAAATTCGCGTTCGCTTTCGCTTTCGCGCCGAGTATGAACCAGGCTTTAGGACAGAATAGTGTATATAAAACAAGTTTAAAATCATCTCGGTTAAGAGCGAAATCCAATAACAGTTTTTGCAGATCTCCCAATATGGGCAATCCCCAATACAGCACGTCACCAAGAGGTTGCCTAGGAGAGTCCATTTGTCAAGTTTATGGTCAACAGAAACACGGCTGACTTGCCGCGTTTTGAACGAAAGTCAGCAAATGACTTGAAGAAATGTTTGTGATAGATTGAGGCAAAGCATTCTTCCGCCTCACAAAAAAACACCATGCCTAGATAAAAATAAAGAAAAGAAAAAAAGATACTTGAATCATACGCTACTGACAGGAGAAACTACAATGTTAAGCGTCCCGCACCGTAAATGTGTCGACTGTCTCCCACAGTGCACTGTGAAAAACATGACTCTCCGTGGTAGCCTCTTGGTGGTGCACTGTATTGGGAATCATCCGTATCGAAAATAGTCCTGAAAATGACTGACAGTTTTGTGTAGGAATGCAACCCAACTAAATTTTCACTCTTTAGGCCAAAAAAAAAAAGTCTTCGGTTTCTGGTATGCGCGTGCTTCGCCGTAGCCATGCGCGTCGGCAAAATGAAAAAGGTTTTTTTCCAATGAAAGATGATGTCTCAAAACCGCCAAACTCACTGGTTTGACTGGAATCCTGCTGCTGCACAATTCTAACATGTTTTTAGATTGGGTAATGGTCGAGAATAAGCTTTATGTGGCCTCTCTGGACTCCCATATATTTGCACTAAGTTTAGTCGGGCACCATTTGCAGTCATCAGCCGACATTTGAAGCAAAAAAATCAGGTAAAAAAAAAGCCGCGTCGCCGCACCACTTTTTTGGCAAGCTCCATACCAGAAACCAGAGACTTTTTTTTTTTGGCCTTAGATCTATGGGCTCCGTGCACAAGTACCCCTTCAACGGCCAGAAAAGGAGAGTTGGGGGAGACCTACATGTAGACTGGTCTCCGGTCCATCTGCTGTGTATTTCGAATGATCCAAAGTTATTGGGGGCGGGGATTAGTCTGGGAGACCATCGCAAGTTCAATTTCAACGTATTCGCGTGCCGACGACTCCTGATGCTCATGCGCGAAGATACTACGGCTGAGCTTTGTGCACATCAGTATAAATAAGTTGTGCGTACCGTACTTCGCGCAAACCAGTGCAGTACGCACATGTGGTGTCCCGTCCAAGGCATTCTTAAAAGTGGTAAAAACGTTCCCTCTTTTGTTGGCGCACGGAGCCCATACACACATCTAGCTTAAGCTTTCATGTTCTTGAATTTATTATTCATGAACAAAATTAATTTGCAGTAATCCAATTGCTGAAATGTTTACATGTAGGTACCGGTACATACATATATTATACATGTAATTGATTAATGAAATACTGAATTGTGTACATTGGAACATTCCTGCCACGCTAAAAAGAAATAACTAAGTCATGTAAGTCATGTTACAAAATTAAGCTGAGTCCCATGCTGATCCTCCACATACACGTGTACATTATGTATCCCAGCCAAATTTGAAATGCCAAACCATGTACAAACATCGACTGGTTCAATTAAAAATTCATTTCAAATTGTTGTAATAACCACTGAAAAATCAATCCCCATTATCCTGACTCCAGTGCCTTTCTCGTTTCTGCCTGATCCCGCCCACCCCCTCCCACCCCCGCCCACCCCCAGCGGATAATATGTTTCTCTACTATCAGCTGCTCCATTATACATGTAACTGTTCCCATATTAGATTGTCATTTGCTCTGGGCCCTGTATTGACATTCGCTGTCCCCTGGGTGACTGCTCATCCCCAATGCAGCCAGTCCGCCGTCTGTATTAATTATTTTGTTTCCTTCTTTCTCTATACACTGTACCTTTTTCCATCTACGGTATCTCTCTAGCACTACATGTATTATACCTACCTGTGATTCGCGGGTGATATTCCAACTACTGTATACATGTACTGGTACATCTACATTACAAATTACATTATTATTGTTCATGTACATTACCGGTATGCATACGTACATACATGTACGTACATGTATACAATGTACAATGTACATACATGTACCAATATAATTATAGTGGCGATGGCGACAGTATTTTCAAAAGATGAATGCGCGTCAGTTTCTAACCATTGTAGAATTTCACCTTGGTTCGTTGGCATTGACTTTTTTTAATCGGAGGAGAATTTTGCTCTGGTGTCTACATGTACATGTATAACAGATCGCAGTTAAATTTTTGATGTGACAAATGTGTAACGGGAAGTTGTAATAATTAATTCCTCTCTTTATTTGTTTCGTTTCTTTTATGGTACATGTATCTGTATAATTTTCATTCAAGGTCAGTCAGGACCGGTACATTGTTTAATTTTCAACAAAAAGAAAAAGAAAAGAAAAGCGGGAAAGACTACATGTACATGTACATGTACATCATGGATTGGGACATTAGGGCCCCCCCCCCTCCCCCAAAAAGATTGTTCTGCTTCCGATTACATTGTTTTCAAAAATAGTGTAGGTAGGGATTTTTTTTTGGGGGGGGGGGGCAATTTGTTTTGTGTACGATCATATGGAAGTGTCTGCATGCAGTCAAGGAAAAAATGTAGTAATTGATGGTTTTGGGTGTTTTTCCCCTCATTTTTCCCATAAAAAAATAAGGGTAGGGGCTGTCAGAATAGGGTAGGTAGGGAAACCGGAAACAGAACTGTTTTTTGTTTTGTTTTACCGGTAAATGTCATAAAAAATTATGTTTGCGATGAATATACTGTATTCAGTGTTTTATTAGCTGATGACAATATGAACGTGGGACATAAAATAACACTATTTGTTTCTCGGTGCCCCCAATTGTTTAAGGTTAATTTATGTGGAAACAATATATTTTTAATTGTGCTCTGAACATAAAACGTATCAACATACCGGTAGTACATCACCAAAAATAACACCTTTAATATTTTTTTTCCAATTAAAAGAAAATTAACCATAGCCAAATAATATACAGATTTTTGCTAGGAATCATGTACAATCTACCGTTGCACTATGAAAATCTCTACGATACAGTAGACCACCATGTTCTTTGTACTTCAGATAAAAAATGGGAAATCAGTATACAATGTACAATGTACACGTAATGAACATGTACATTGTAAATCGTGCGAAAGTGGTCATTATTGGATTGGCAAGAATTCTTGTTGATTTGGCTTGAAGAATTGAAAACAAAACATTTAAACCTAGCCTAACCCTTAATCTTAACCCTTCCAAAGCCCTCAATATTTCCCCAGAGGTTTGGAATAATTATCAGGATTGAGGAAGTTTTAGTTCAGTTAGTGAAATTGCATAGGGGGCTTAAAGAGGCACTAGGTCCTTATCATCTCGTTCAAAGCGCGTTATGTAGCCCAGTTGGGCTGTTCCAGGACGTACATGTAGTGTCCCTTTAATGGGCCTTGGAAGGTGAAGTGCAAATACTGTGTCGTTTGTTTTCAGCACTTGATTGATTTTTGAAAAATTTCAGAAGGTTCAGTGTGAGCTATCAGAAGTCACTTACTGTACATAAAAATAATAAAGTTTTGGTTTGTTTGCTTATTTTCCCCCCTTTTTGAACAGAAAATAAAATTGATTGCTGAAAATTTGGTAAAACCAACATTGTCCAACACCTGTCATGCTATTGTACCCATGAATCCCCCCCCCCGACTTTCACCTCATCATGGTCACATATAGTAAGAAATGTTCATCATTGAAATGCATAGCCCGGAAAATGTTACCTAATGCCTTGCCATTTCCTGTGCCATTAAAATGAGCACTGGTACACAATCCATTATTTAAGATTAACGCAAAGTGTCTTTTTCCATCAAGCACTTCAAACATAAAAGCCCCTTTTTTTTGCAACATGCATTCTATTGAAAATGGAGACGCTTTGCATCACCCATGATTTATCATTAGGCACTGTGTACAGTATGCATTCAGTGTACACATATAATTCTCTATAATGTACGTAATACATTTGTCCATGTATGTTTCGCTTTTTTGTGCACAGCACATGCTTTTGTTGAAAGGTAATGTTTGTTGAAACATGACAATTGTCGGCTCTTAACTTGGAATTTGTTAACTGACAATACCAGTGTGTAGTTTATAAGAATTTGTGGTATTGATTTTTGGCTACCCACTCATATACATGTGCAATGTGATTGTACAGATAAGAAGCTGGAAACCTCCGCTGATTTAATTTCCAAACCATTGACTTGATTTTTGCAAAAAAAATCATGTACATCATGTCCATACATGGTGACAATATGAATTAATGACTGAGAAATGTTTTGAATCGTTTCCGCAGCATATTGCACTCTAACAAAACAGTGATTACAATTTATGTTAATATGTTGGAGCTAAACAGCTGTGGCTTTCCTACTTGTGTACTCTCACAATTTTCCTGTTAACAGATGGCGAATTACATCTACATGTACATGTACAATGCATTAGCAATGACACAGTGCGTGCTTGTACCGTACGTATATTTTGTCTTACATATCCCATACTGCTCATTACCTTTCATGAAATGCAACAAGCAAGCTGGGCTTCTCTTCCTTGCTCTATGATGGTAAAACCATCCAAAATCAATACAGTAGTGAGCTTTGCGTGTTCTTTGCGTGTTCGCTGTGTGGGCTGTAATCTCGGAAAAAGGTGGTGTGGAAATTGGCTGAAGGAAAAGAAAAAAATGATAACACAGTGTACGTTTGTGATGTGAGCTACCGGGGTACTTTGAAAACGGTTGTGGCCACCAAGAATCAATAGTTGATAAGTTATTATAAATAGTATATAGTATTAAATTGGTTGTCAATTGTTAATTATTTTGTCATGTTCCAACTGGGTTTCTCGTGAGAGGATTTTGAGGAAGGGAATCGACCTATCGCCGTTTGCGAGATAGCCACCCCCCTTAGACAACCCTATGGAATTTTTGTAAAAAGTTTTGTTAAGTCTCAGATGTTGCGTGTTCCGCGTCCATTTGTATATCATGTAATTGGACAATATTTTGCAAGCTGCGTTGACGCGATTCTAACGCGATTCTACCGCGATAGGTCAATCAAGTACGTGTGCCAACCATTTCTTGTGCATCTGCTGGGATGGCATCTGCCGGGATGGCAATGCTCTTCTCATGCTTTCAAGTTCCATCCAAAATACTGTATCAATATATGTGAAATGAATGTTTTTATATTACATGTAGTTGTTTCATGTACATATAGTACATGGACCGGTACATACATGTACATGCATACATGTGTGGGACAGTTGTGATTTTTGCATTCTCTCCTGTTATTTTTAAAGATATGGTCCATCATTTGTAATTTGTGCATTTTGTTCGTTTGAAACAACAAAAGTGTTCAAAATCTTATGAAGGATACTGAGCAACTAACCTGATGAAGTTTCAGCTCAGCTTCAGCTGTATATTCCGAGAAAAACAGCATTCTAGGATCTCAATTTCAAATCAAAAGTTGCTGAATCATGTTTTGAATTGCAGCTATACGCGCACTGATCCGACGAATTATAGCAACCGCGCACGCCTGTGCGTCGTGCCAATGCTTGCGCGCGCTGCGCCGAATAACAAAACGAACTACTAATTTAAATTTTCCTATGGTGCATCTTAAGACGCACTGTTGGAAAGGCCTTCTTTCATTGATTACTTCAAAATGATAGCTTGCCAGAAAGATTAATTTCACAGGGAGTTTAGTCCACTTACTATCTTTCAACCAAGTATGTTTTTCAACAATAATACGCCAGTTACTTTTTCGGATGGCTGCAAATGATGGACTATAGCTTTAAGTGAAAATCAAAATGTGTTTGTATATATTTGTCATCCTTTCCCTGCTGTTCTGTTCAATTGTGTAGGAGTCCCGCCTCCCCTTTTCACCCTCTGGACTCATCTCGTCTTTAAAGAATCTTATATGGTCGACCCCTGTGGTGAGTGTGGTCCATCCCAACCTTTCTGACTTTTCTGTACCGGTAGTTCGATTGTGGGGCGTACCATTTGATTTCAGGTGTTTTGATTTGGAAGGGTTTCTGTTGGCGGTCACTAATTACATTTACTTGCATACCTTTGTGTACAGTATACTGTACGTACATGTACATGTGTATATGTACTTCCACAGGCCTGTATATTTTTTATTTAATTTATGCACTTATTATGTACATACATAACCGGTAACTTATATGCACATGATGCGTTTTATCAGTTGCGCGTCATGACAGTTGAATGCACGGTTCACTTAGATTAAATGGGGTTTTCCACAAAACTAATCTTCATTCAATAATAGTCGCACCTGTACACCAAGTATTGATTTTGATTTTAATATTCACCCTAACCCTACACGTACGATATGTCAGTGTACTGCAGTATAAGAACATAAAATTAATCTACCTAATTTGATCAAATTTAATTAGCATGCTTGAGGTTTACCGGTACCATTTCAACTGTTAAAGCCAAGATGTATTGTACTTGTCCTAAATTAATTTTGTTCACCGTGACAACTGACATTTCAAGGATTTGTGCTTATTTCTGCTGGAAAATGGCAGAGGATTTGAGTTTTGTTACAAAATGTAAGTTCTGACCAATATCAATGAGGTCAGTGTTAATACTGTAAAATTTCAACTAATCAGTTGTACACATGCACGGGTGTAAATGTACATGTACATTGTGTACATGTGCATCAACTACCAGTACTGTACAGATGCGTACATGTGTACGTACATGTATGTGTTTATTCATGTATTCACATTATGTGTTTGGTAATATTGTACATTACATATAGAATACATGTATGTTGACTAATCCCTGGAGAGATCTTGCTCGTCAAGGCAAATTTGCTTTTCATGCATTTTGTTCGTGTCCAATAATATAGCACCACTCAAAATCCAAAAAAGAATGTTCAAAACCCAACCTGTTGACGCTTCAACTCAGTCAATATTAAAGATTTTGAAAAAAAAACAGTGAAAAACCACCTACATTTGTACATTTCTTGATTTCTCCTAAATTTTTTGTACAGTACCGGTAATTCCAAGGGGTGTTTCGTACAAGCACCGGACGATGTTTAGTCCAAGTTTAAAGCTTTTTTGATAGCAATTCGGTTGGTTGCTTTGGGGATAAATACAAAATGATACTGCCCTTAAAAGCTGAGGTCATTGATATTGATCAGATAATTCAACAATGTACTTTGGCTGCCTGTGCACTGCACTGTATGATTATTATACAACATGTACATGATTGTGCCTGTGCACGGTACTTACAGTACATTGCACATGTACCGGTACCGTAAATGGCAATTTTCTCCCTTGTTTCCTCCTCAATCATAATTCCGTACACGTACGCTATGTATGCTGATTGCTCATCACTAATATTACAAGTAATGATGATCTTCGCCTACATGTACATTTGTTTGTGTACCATTAGGTAGCCTACCAATTTTTTTTATCGTGAATTTTTTTTTCAGTGCTTGGTGCATTTTGCATTATCAGGTAAATGAGCTTTTGGTTCTGGAAATTGGCACCGTATGGCGTGACTTCTGTTCTTTTTGCATAAAGTTGCGATCAATCATTATTGATGTTTTACCTGTTTTTGTTATTAGCAGGAAACCAAATTATGTGAATGTCATGTACGTGTGTATGTCGTGTTTTTATCACATACGTGTATGTAAGTAAATTGGCAGGTAAGTTGACACCTTGTTTTTTTCAGCAAACACCAGTTTACGGTTGTGACTTGAACACTATCGTCAATCATTTATTTTGTAATTTGTTTGTTGTGCTGTATACATGTATATACATCTAATATAAATGTTTTATCCCTCAATTTTAAAATAACTCTTATATTATCCAATTGTAAATGTAATTTCCAGATTTTTAAATAAATATTTTATTTTTAGTTGTCGTATTTTTCAAAGCTGTAAATTTCATGAATTCAGCAAATTTGCCTCAATATGATTTTTATGAAATAAACCAATTTATATACGTCAATGTGTACATTTGCAAGGTACAGCCTGAAAATTATGCTTTTTAATGGGCCCATGCAAGTTTGTTTAAATGCAATCCTCGAAAATCCACCTTTGTGTCCCAAGTTACAATTAATCATATTTTCAATTTTTGTTTTGCCCTTTACAAATGTATTTTGATGCCTTTTGGTTTTTATGCTAAATGCAAATTTCCATATTCATGAGCACAAGTGTGCTGTCATTTCAGGCAGAAACCTCAATGCTTCAGTTTTTACAGCACAAAAAGTTGCCAGACTTTTGGATATTTTGCTTTCGTAAATTTCTTTTTCTCTGATGTTTCATCGTTGTTGTGTCAGTACATGGCAGTAACCCAATGAGCAAACTTTTCTCACAGATGTTTTCAGTGAGCAAATTTTTGGGTTTCATGAACTTGAGCAGAAAACCCTGAAAAACTGAACATTATCTTCCTGATATGACATCACAGCAACAGCACCCTCAGTTGTCCGGAAAAACATTGACAATTGTAAATGTTTTCAAGAAGTGCACTTTTCAATAAAATAAACCAAAAAGAGATCAAATAGTTTTTATACATTTACGAGGAGTAGAAAGTTGCACAAAATATATTCCTCAGAAAAATTCATTCCGTGGACCCTTTAAAGGGAAAATACAACATTTGCAAACATCAAAAAATAAAACTACCAAATCATTTTGAAATACCTTGCTGGACTGTTAGTGAATGACAGTGTAAAGCATCCTGTAAAATCATGGCACCTGGTATACTGTCATTTTCAAGAAAAGTGGTATTTTTATATCAATTTCCAACGCTGGTCGGCCGACCAGCATTGGAAAAAACTGGCTTTTTTTCAAATACTGGCCCCAATTGACCATCGCACTTGTTTGCAATCGATTACACACCTATGAACGGGTACAAGCCAGCTAGACTGGTTCCCTGACCTTACAATTCCCCAATGTATGTAAACTGCTCTGTTTCTTCTTCAATGGAGTCAGGGAACCAGACTACAGGAAAATGATTGTTTTCTTGGTTTTTATAGCATTTTCGAACCCAAACCTCAAAAAAGTCAGTGTAACTATATTTGCTATATATTTCCAACCCCCCAATTCCATCCATTTCTGAAAATTACAGCAAAAGCAAATGATGTATATTCCCTTTAAAGATCATTTATCGTACCCTCATCATAGTACAAATTTCTGGTTAGATCATTAATTTGTATTGCCCTTGAACATGTTTTCTTTTGTCAGGGTATCTGTTATGGTACATGTACATGTGCATGTACTGTCCTGCTGGCAATGTTTCGCTAGCCTCGGCAGGCTTTCCAGTAAAAACATGCCTGACCCACATATTGTGCCCCCCCCCCCTACTGACAGACTGTCATGTGTTCCTGGCCCCCACCCAGAACCGACCAAGCAATCTTATGAGTCATGCTGCTGTTGTCTTACGTGGCCAGCTATATTCGTTCATACAGGAATGACTTTACTACGTACTGTACATGTACAACGTACGTGTACACGTACATGTGTATGGTGTACATTTGCACATCATTTTTACTTCAGTTTTGTATACCTGTACATGTAAATTGTACATGTGGGCAATTCCATGATACGGTAGCTTCATTTCTGTTGGTTTGGCAAACAATCAATCATAATATCTTCGAGGGGAATCAGTAACTCGCGGTACTGTAACTTACATTATACAAGTAGTTTGTCTGCCCCTTGGTACAAGTTTAAACAAGTAACAAAAAAACCCAGAAACTTCTTTTTGCACAGAATATGAACCTTTCTCTGCCTTAAAAACCAAAAACTCACCGTAACACAAGTAATTTGTTGGTGAAAAGAAGATGCCAAAATGACCCCCGAGAATCCATAATTTTAGTCCCCAGACCAGTTTTTTTTTTAACAAAAAGTACATTTGACCATATTCCATCTCACTGGCAGTGAAAAAAAAAAAACCAAATGGCACACCACTCAAATGAGATGTGTAGTGGTCTTCTTGTCCCTTAAATTTGTGATTCTCGTAGTTCTGAAGATTTCATAAATTGTCCCTTCAGCCACGTCCACTTTTCGTGGAATTGCCCATGTACAATGTACATACATGTAAATTGCTGTGTCGCTTCAGTACTTGCACAAATGGAGAAAATGTTTCCAATGTTTTTCAATCCAGATTCCAATAATCATAAGAGCAGCAAAATACAAAAAAAGTTTCCGTCACGTGCCGTGGTTTAAAAGTGTTTCCTGAAATGTGGTGCAATCCACCACCTCTGTTGAATGATTTCGCCCGAGGATTTACTTGAAAGTTGAATTCTGTTTCCTATTGGAATAGAGCTACACTGTCACGTATTCCATTTAATTCCAATTTATTTTCCGATTCGACAGAAAACCATCAATTGGCCAAAAACTATCAGTAACATGTACATGTACATGTACATCTCAAATTTCAGGACTCTTTGATACATTGATACTCGTTAACAGTTTGTAAATTATAAGTTTTATAACCACAGAGGTAGGACAGATCACAAGGTCATGCATACTTGCACCAGTTATAAATTTACTATGGAAACCCCCTCCCCCCCAAATAAAAAGTCTATAGATGTATAATACATGACTTTGAATAACCAATAAACCAACAGCTACGGCATACGTCAGGTCTGTCACTACGGTAATGTCACTACCATGACTACGGTAATGATCTCGTAACATTTAATGCTCTGATCGTGAACGTTTTTGTCCCCCCAACAATCGTGATCTAAACAACGCTCATTTGTTATATGGCTGATCTGTTCAATCAATCATCAACAATTCGTTGTGGATTCAATAAATTTTACGAAATTATGTTTTTTATCAATAAAATTGCAGAAGTTATTTTGTTTTGGGAGTGCAGATAGACCTTGTTCTCAAATGCTGTAACATGTGCTTAGTGTTTCTTTAGAAGAGTAAGATTGCAATGAAGCGGTAACAATGCTGATACTCTGTATGTGGTTCACACATTTTTCACTATTCAGCGGATTTTACCCCTTTATTTTGTTGCTGTTCGAATCGAAACTGAAAATTGGGCACCATTTACATTCCCACAAAACAATAACAATTAATTGCACCACAGGTATTAACTTTTCCAAAGGCACTGTCTGTTTTTAATCACTCCAGTAACTGTCTCTTAACTTTGTGACTGTGTTTTCATCGGGACTTAACAAAAGCCTGTTCAGCAAATTTTGTTTCAGGATTTTCTTGTTACAGGGATCGCTAACTTCAAGTGCATCAGGCATTTGCTCCGTGCTTCAAACTGGTCTGTGTCATTAACTTCATTGACAAATTCAGCATATTTTGGTATTGTTTTGTTTCTTCCAGCAAAAGACAGATATTCCGTGCAAACGGAAGCGGGAATTGGCGGATGATAATCCTGCGTTCATTACGTCAACGCCTGTCCCGAAACCAAAACGGACAAAGACGGAACCTCCAGCAGTCGACGAATGCAACAATAATACAAGTCAGTCCAATTTACAAGAATTTTTGACTTGTAATATTCTTGTCACTCCCTCACCAAACCTTGTGTTTATGTATGTAACTTCCTGAAGTCGTTTTCCTCAAGACATGACCAAATTGAAATCCACCAGGTTTGGGAGGAATTTGGAAGATTCAAGGTTTTTGGCAAAATTAAAAATGTAAAGGTATCCATACAACATTTGCAAACATCAAAAAACGAAATTACCACATTATTATGAAATACCTTACTTGACTGTAATTGAGTAATCAGGCATGCAACTTTTCCTCGGATCAGCTGATTTCCTCTTTTTTCACTTCCAATGTGTGCCATTGAAAATAGAAAAACACTGTACAAAGTCTGGGAAAGATTTGAATTTCCTCTTTTTTTGTGACTTCCCAGTTGCATGCCTGAGTAATACATGTAGTCTCAAGCATCCTGTGAAATCATGGCACTTGTGCTATCATTTAAAAAAAGTTGTAGTTTTGTATCAATTTCCAACGATGGTCGGCCGACCATTGTTGGAAAAAATAAATTAACTTTTTTAAAATACTGCCCCCAATTTACTAAATTAAAGTAAGTCCACATTTTGTTTGCGATCGATTACACATCCGTGAACGGGTGCGAGCCTACTAGTCTGGTTCCCTGACCTGACAATTCCGCGACATCTGTAAATTGCTCCATTTCGTCTGAAGTAGGGTCAGGGAACCAGACTACAAGAACAGCATTTTCTTCTAATTTTTTCCCCAGCACCTACATGTATGAACACAATACTTTAAACAGGTCACTGTAACAATATTTGCTATAAAATACTAACCCCCAAATCCATCCATTTCTGAAAATCACAGCAAAAGCAAATGTTGTATACTACCTTTAAGGTTAGTGTTACACTCTACTGGGACAGCGAGAATTTGTCACGACATGGAAGTGCTGACCCATAAGAGACATTCCTTCGGATTCATTAAGATCCATGTAATCTTTTATCAAGTATGAACAATTGTGGTGTAACTCAAACTATTCTGTCTGGATTTGACGCAGTTCCCAAGAATGCAATGGCAGCCAAATCAGCGCAGGATTACGAGAGCCCTCCCAGGACAACACTGCTGGGCACGCTGTTTAGTCCAGTTTACCAGTTTCTTTGTAACGGTGAGTCTTTTCATTTTAGTGAAGCCAGAGAAATGCTGAGTTAAGTGTTTGTAATGGTGAGATGAAGAAAGTAGTTCAGATTTTTCTCCTTGTAGTCTGGGTTTTACAATGTAAAAAAAAACGAACCCTGGACTGTTTATGGGGTTAAAAACATCTTTGCAAATCACAGTGCTAAAAACATACATTTTGTAAGTTGCGGCATGTAGTGTGCTAGATTTAGCTAAAGAATTTTGTTTTCTTTTAACAATATTACATCAGAATTTGTACATTATATTTGAGATAGAAGGTAATTTATATACATGTACTGTATGTTCCGTTCACAGGTTGGTTTACTTCAAAGAAGAATTTCATTTACATTAGGAAAGGGAAGTTTTAAATCATTTCGACTATTAAATACTGGTGCAAGTTTGATCAAGATCGCAGGGGATACATGTAGGTACATGTACATGTATGCTATAAATTAACCAGTAATTGATCATTGGTCCTTAAAGGGGTTCATTTGTTGCAATGTTTTGTCAGGCATGACAACAGAAAACAAGGAGAACCTGCCCAAAGTGGCTGAGCGGCTGGACCTCGACTCGGTCCCCGCCGACTCCATGTGCCAGGAGGCGGCGGTTCCCAGAATGCCGCCCTCCGACGCCGTGGCGACGGACGCTGAGCTATCGGCCGGTGTGGCCTCGACAGCCGAGGGCAACACGCCGAGGAGCGACAGAGATGAGGACGACGAAGAAGAGGAGGAGGAAGAAGAAGAGGAGGAAGAGGAATCACAGGAGAAGACCATGACAGGTCAGCACCATAGATGACAAGTGTCTGGAGAATGCATTGCTAAATTAAAACGGTGCATGACAATGGCACTGGTTCTGTGACCTTGGGTGACAAACTAAAAACAGTAGTTAAAAACATACAACAAGAGTTCCCCTTGTCATTCTCCCAGGTTTGGCCCAATAGTTTCTTTCCATGGGTATCAATATATCAGTTTTGTTAAAGTACAAGGATTTGTGACACTCGTTGTGCAGGGTGTGCCCACATTCAGAAAACAAATAATAAAAACTGCTAAATATTTTTTTTATTCAATGAAATTATATATTACATCAAAGCCTGACTATTTCTCAATCCACTCCTTTTTACCCCATTCCATTTGGGTCCCTAGACCCAGAAATACAATTGATTAAGTAAAAGGATGACAATGTTACTTTGGCCACTCTCACCCAGACGTGCTGAATCTGGGTTAAGCATTGAATAGCCATTGAAGTTGGTGACATCACAGGTGAGAATGGCCCAAGTAAAATATACACCCTTTCACTTAATTGATTGCATTTCTGGATCAAGGGACCAAAAATGGAATAGGTTGAGAAATAGTCAGGCTCTAATGTAATTATATAATTTCATTCAAGAAAAAAAAAATAAGCAGTTTTAATTATTTTTTTTCTGAAAGTCACAGTTTTTTTGGAACACTCTGTTTTACTTATAGATGGATTGAAGGAAGATACCAGAGGCTTCCTCAAAAATATTTCAGAGAAGTTTCAAGTCGGCCAAGTTGGGACTTAAAAAAACTTTGCAGAGCACGTTTTCAGAGTTGATTTTTTTTTTGGCGGAGGTGCATACATGTACATCCATTTTCCTGTGTTGACAGCAACAGGTAAATGATACACGATGGGCTTTGACGCGGCACGTCAACATGACCCCCCTGACACGTGGTCTCAGTTTCCTACATTTTGCCCCCCCGTTGGGTTAATCTGGGTAGGGACAAAATTAATATTTTCTTGTCGATGCTTGTCTGTTTAGATTCCAACCATAATGATATGACGCACTGCTCGTTATCTGCCTGCAACACGTACGTTGACGATGACGGGCTGGACACTGATTACACGCTGGACGAGTGGGAAACCTTCGATCCGTGAGTATTTGCCAAACATTGCGAAGGGGCACAATTTTTTTTTTTAGTCTGAGAAATAAAATAGCTGCTGTAGGCTGGTTAGTATGTAGACTCGAAATACACCAATTCTAACATTAACAGTGTTGTTGATGAGTTCATCACAAGTCCATCACAAGTCCTCACAAGTCCATCACAAGTCCCCACAAGTCCATCACAAGTCCTCACAAGTCCCCACAAGTCCCCACAAGTCCATCACAAGTCCATCACAAGTCCCCACAAGTCCATCACACGTCCTCCCAAGTCCATCACAAGTCCTCACAAGTCCATCACACGTCCATCACAAGTCCATCACAAGTCCTCCCAAGTCCATCACAAGTCCTCACAAGTCCATCACAAGTCCTCACAAGTCCATCACAAGTCCATCACAAGTCCATCACAAGTCCATCACAAGTCCATCACAAGTCCATCACAAGTCCATCACAAGTCCATCACAAGTCCTCCCAAGTCCATCACAAGTCCATCACAAGTCCATCACAAGTCCATCACAAGTCCATCACAAGTCCATCACAAGTCCATCACAAGTCCATCACAAGTCCATCACAAGTCCTCCCAAGTCCATCACAAGTCCATCACAAGTCCATCACAAGTCCATCACAAGTCCATCACAAGTCCATCACAAGTCCATACAAGTCCATCACAAGTCCATCACAAGTCCATCACAAGTCATCACAAGTCCATCACAAGTCCATCACAAGTCCTCACAAGTCCATCACAAGTCCTCCCAAGTCCATCACAAGTCCATCACAAGTCCCCACAAGTCCATCACAAGTCCATCACAAGTCCTCACAAGTCCATCACAAGTCCTCACAAGTCCCCACAAGTCCATCACAAGTCCATCACAAGTCCTCACAAGTCCCCACAAGTCCATCACATGTCCATCACAAGTCCTCACAAGTCCATCACAAGTCCATCACAAGTCCTCCAGTCCCGATTCAAGTCACAAGTTATTCAAATGGGCTTCGAGACAGGCATCCCATTGTTATTGTTCATCCCCTGTTGCTTCTGACAGAACTTGTGAAGTCCTGTCAAAATAAATCGAGTGACTGTTTTAAGCAGTTGAGTGCTCCCTTCTCAAATACAGCAGGATTGACTGGTTGTGATTGTTATGAAACTTGATACAGCTATGCTTTGGCTGTAGGAGATTGATAAGCCAGCTGTGACTGCCAGTCACCTGCCTTTGTCTGTTGATGGAATATGACTAGTCACTGTGCCTATAGTATAGAGATATGATCTGACTGTTGGTGACTGGCCTGTGTAAAAGGCATGGAAGGGGACTGGAATGAATGTTTGACTGTCTGTGACTGATCAAACAAAAGGAGGGTTGAACTAGAGTTAGGAGAAAATTGGATTCAATACCTGGATTTTAGTAAACTTTTAGTTGGCATAGTTTTTTTTGTTTGAAGTGTACCGGTATGTGAGTGGGATTAAGAAATGAAAAGTTTGGATTGTTTTGATCAATTTATTTGTTTCAAATCGTACGGCAAGTTATTTTTTATAGAAAATTTCACGTCAGTCTTGAGTTTAGGCAAATCCTTAGACACTACATGTAAATATTGATTTTCAAATATAGGTAGTCTTTCTTGTATTTTTTTTTTGGGGGGGGGCATATATTTGGACTCATTAACCTACCAGGTATGTGAACAAAGTGGCTACAAGTACAGAAGCTAGAACTGAAGGAACTGCTGATGGGCAGAATGTTAAAGCTTACTGCTTTTGATGCACAGTTCAGGAATATTTATGCTGCTTTAAAAAATAAAACCAGTTCATGTTTATTGGGTTTTTTTTCTCCAAATAATTTAACTTGAATATAGAACGGCAAAGAATTTGTCTCATTCATAGAAATATACTTGGTTGCTAAATTATTTAATATTAAAAGTTAGATTTTATACGAAATTGAAGTACGTGTAACTAGGAGCAACTAGAGTGACTCTGATGAAGATTACGGAGATTTGTAGAATCCAAGTCAGATGGCAGTCTGTTACTTTTTAAGTCACTTCTGGTCACAAACGTTGTACACGTGTGCTCCTTTAAAATTGTTTTTCTAATTCTCGCACTGCAGCCTTTAATTGGCAACATCCTATCCAGGCCCGAGTTTTTTTTCTTTTTCTTTCTGGGTAGGTATTCAACCTTTGATACGGTCATGAACTCTGTTGATGACTTAGAGTCCACATGACCTCTGATGTTCGTTTCCATTAACGCAAACAAAATTAAAAACGAAAGGGAAAAACAACTTCCCTAATCACACGTATCCCGCTCGTTCAAACCAAATCAACGCTGCTACACCGAGAAAGACTTTTAAGCCGTCCATTGACAAGCGGATGTGTGCATTTCACTTGACATCCTAATGGACAGAAAAATACGACAGCACCCCGAGATGGGAGAGGAGGTAGTTAAACCCTTAAGAAAACAGAAAGCGGGGGTTATTTATTCAAGCTAATGTATTGTTTTAAAAAAAGGACAAACCTTGTGATGGATAGAGTTGGGGGGGGGGGGGGGAACATGCAGAAACGATTTCCTGTTTTGTGTTCAGGAGGTTGGTAACCTACATACATTTGTAGGTGAGCCGTGTGACGTGACGTGAGGCGCTGTGCGTTAGATGTTGCACAAATAATAATTGCATCGTTTGGTGACATTTTTTTTGGACAAGTGAAGTGGTGTACATAGAACCCTGTTTGGCTGCGTGACTCATCCCTTGAAGTTGTCGCCAGCAACGTGCGGCAGAAATTATTCATGTCAGTTGATTACTGCACTGTACAAAAAACATAATGTCTCATGTACATGTACATGTAGTAAGAATCAAGCCTATGTGTACATGTACATTAAGCACTTAAGCTTTAATGATTGAGTATGATTACAAATAAATGTGGATACAAATATGCCCAGAAATACCTTAGAATTGAAACCTTAGAGACTGATGAACATTAAGGTGAATTGGACAAAAATGTTCATTGCAAGGAACCTAGGATTGCAAAATTTCTGTTGCATGGGGCTCTTTAGGTACAAGTAAAAAAATAGTAAAGCCTGTCACTATAGCCAATATGGGCTCTGTGCGCCAACAAACGAGGGCGCCCTTTTACCTAGCAAGGACGTCCCATGGGCGGGACACATACATTTCGCTGGTTGACGCGCGCGCACCGTTCCTTGTGTGTGACGCACGTACACCAGGTGATTTGTACTATGTACATGCAGTTGCTGCGCTTCGCGGCAAAATGTTGCAGTCAGGAAGATGGCGTTGGTCGGTCACCCCCAACTGTACTTTCTTTGCCAGTGAGAGGGTACTTGTGAATGGAGTGGATAGCTCATCAGTTTATCTCCTGTTTCCCAGGCATGAAACGGCCGCACTCATGTAAACACTGTGACTAGTAAAATTCCATCAACAGACAAAAGAGGTAACTGGTAGGTACAGCTGGCATAACAATCAGCTCCAGTCAAAGCATGGCTGTATCAAATAACGATGGAATTCTTAACCGTTAAAAACAGTCGCTTGATTGATTTTGACTGCAGTGATGGCGTAGCTGAATTTTTTCAGCCAGAGAGGGTGGGATTTTGTATACGATACAGTCAAACTGTACTGGCAAGCTGCTCTTAAACCTTCAAAAATCTGTTGAAATTTTTTTCATTGTTAAAGGGACTATACATATACAACATGTGCTTTTGCTGTAATTTTCAGAAATGGATGGATTTGGGGGTTAGCATTTTATAGCAAATATTGTTACACTGATTTGTTTGACGTTTTGGGTTCGTAGATGCTGGAAAAACCAAGAAAAACAATCATGTTCTTGTAGTCTGTTTCCCTGACCCCACTTAAGATGAAACGGAGCAATTTACAGATGTCGATTTTTGAAAATTACAGCAAAAGCAAATGTTGATTCCCTTTAACGTTCAGTCTGATTGCGTTTGCCCTTTCAGATATTACTTCATCAAGCAGCTGCCTCCCGTTTCTAAGGAGACCCTTTACCGCTCCCCGGCACTCCCTCTCAAGACAAGGAGAGCCCCCGAGTATTCCCTCGTCTTGGATCTTGTAAGTCCAACTATCTCGCCACTGAGTCTTCCTATGTTCTTCTCAAACGTTTATGAAGATACCGTTTAACTGCAAAAAAAAAAACTAAATCAAGTGCAAAATATAATAACAGTTACGTGTATCACCCTTAAGCTCTGTGCTTAGTGCCTCATGAAATGTCAAGTATTTAAAAATGAATTTCAGAAAGGAGCGAGTTTTTGTGTACATTTTCTTCTACTCAAAATAAAAGGTCCACTTTGTGGTTCTGGTAAGCAGAAAAAAAACCAACTTAGCAGATTCATGTGCCTTGAGTGCTAACCCTGTTAGGGAATCTTTATAGTAGACGCCAGTTCATACTTAATGCAAATGTGTATGTGAAGTATATTTAACTTCAAGAATAGTTCGCTGCGAAATTCGCCAGAGTCGACATGTGTTCAGCTTCTGTGAATTCGCAGTGCAAACAAGACCTCACGTTGGCTTATGCACCTAGTATGAACCCGCCTGAATGCATTGCCAAAAATGTTTGCTTACGCTTGAAATACACTAAGCATTTGTTATAATCATGATTGCTGCTATTGTCAGCAAACAGTCTTTAACTATAAAACCAAGGGGACAATTTCCCCCAGCTGTGAAGCATAGACATTTGGTCAGCATTATACAAATAAAACATGGTTTGAAGGTTGATAGTCGGTATTAGCTCCCTGAGGTATTGGAAGTTGACAGACTTCACCTTGGGAACTAGTCTGTCAACTTCCAAAACCGACTACCCACCCAAACTAACCATGTTTTTATTTGTTTTACTATACCCCATACATATTCACAAAAAAATCATGAAGTTAAGCATAAGTTTTCTCGGCAAAATGTTGTTGTGCGTGTGCCCCATCCTTTCATGTAGCTGCTGCAAGCTTGGCAATGTTAGCGTATAGCGCACTACTAGTTCCACGATTGCTTTGTAAAGCGCATGCCTAGTAGAGTAGCGCACTGCATGCGTATTTAACCTGTGCGTGAAACCTCGCGTGCGCGTTTGGTAAACAGCAAAAGTATCGGCTGATGGTGAATGGGACCAGTGGGAACTCGGCTCTCCGTCATGAATATGTACGAGGTATAGTAATGGAAAATATTTGCTAATCGAAAATGGGTTACCCGCCAAAAGGTCATGGTATAAGTATCGCTTGTGAATGGTTATCAGCTGAAACTTGCTTAGTATATTAACATGCTAAGCACATATTTTCTGCTTAACAGCTCCATGGAATTTGAGCCCCAATGGCATTTGGTTTCTTGTTTGTGTTTCTTTCTTCAGGATGAGACCCTGGTTCACTGCAGCTTAGCAGAGATGGAGAACTGCACCATGTCCTTTCCTGTTGTCTTTCAAGACGTCACATACCAGGTAGGGTTGAAATTGGACTCCGTGTGAGCCAGGTTAAGGGGGAAGCACAGAAAAATACATGTCTCCCCCCCCCCCTTCCCAACAAAAAAATTCAATTTAATGCTGCCAAATTTTTCAGTATTATCAAGTGCCTTTTTCCTCATCTTAACATGACTTTCAACAATCAGATCCCCACTCGAACCTCCGACCCAATATCCTTCTACTTCTACTTGATCGTGCAAACGATTGTAGGCTGGTCTCTCATTCAAGTTTGTTTATGTGGAGTGGCGTGGCCTCGTGGTCTTGAGCATTGTATCCGTGGTCTGCGGGTAATTCTGCAGGTTATGGGTTCGAGTCCAGCCTGAGGTTATGGTGCGTGTGCCCTTGGGCAAGGCACTTTGTCACTCATTGCTTCTCTCCACCCAGTAGTAAATGGGTACCTGCCTCCTTCCCAATCTACTTGATCGTGCAAACCATTATAGGCTGGTCTCTCATTCAAGTTTGTTTATGTGGAGTGACGTGGCCTCTTGGTCTGGAGCATTGTATCCGTAGTCTGCGGGTAATTCTGCAGGTTATGGGTTCGAGTCCAGCCTGAGGTTATGGTGCGTGTGCCCTTGGGCAAGGCACTTTGTCACTCATTGCTTCTCCCCTACCCAGGAGTAAATGGGTGCCTGCGAGGGCAGAGATGGTTATTGTGGTTGATTTTAACTGCTTTGCGCCAAAATGGAAGCATTGAGCTGTATACTCCCCAGGGAGCTGAGATTGTCTTTGGTATGTTTCTTTGGCCCAATGAGCAGGGTAATAATGATGTAGCGCCTTGAGCACCAATACTGCTAGATACGTGCGCTTTACAAATACACATATAATTTGTTGCTGGACTCCCCCTTGATAATTTTCCATTGGATGTGTTCCATATGCTACCTCACTGTTATTTCTGTAGATGCGCCAACTAAGTATCCCTTAATCTTGCCCCCCCCCCCCCTTTCATATAATTCTGAATACTCACAATCTTGTATTGATAAAGCGAAGTGGTTACTGAAACCAAAAAGGGAACAGTTTGGCCCTTTGCCATATTGAAGATTGTGCAGTGGAACAGAATGTCAGTTCTCCATAGGTTTGGCACTTTTCTTCAGGAAATTGGCGCCTTTCCAAAAAACAGCCTTGCAACAAGACACTGTGTTTCTTGAATTCGTACCGGTTCATTTCCGATAACACACTTCCAGTAAATGCCACAGTGGGCTCTGAAGTTCCCTACATGTAGTTGAACTTGCCAAGTTTTGCTCTGTGTGAATCTACGAATGATTGCTGACATTGTGTGACAGCTGAACGTTTTGTGGACTTTTTGATTCAGGTTAAATTTTTTTTCACATATGTGTGATCTCTTAGAAAACATCTCAAGGATCATGCATGTAGGTTGTTTTGGTGGACTGAAGCTTCTGGCATATTAACATTTTCAAGATAGCTTTACAAATTTTAAGTACTCTTTTTTTTTTCTTTTTTTTTTTAATTGAACCTTATGGATGAAAGAAAACTTAGGCCTTGTAATGTCTCTGACTTTTAGCTGCAAATCCACCAAAACTTACTTTTGGGAATGGAAATTGTTGAACTACTAATGTTTTTTTCCTTTCCCACTTGTACATACACTGTTGATTCAAAAGTTCAATTGTGTTTTACAAGACGCTTAAATGAATTCCATCCCGCTTTCTTCTAAGGAAGAAGTGTTAAGGGCCTTTATTTTTATTATTATTTATTTCTGATAATGAAACCAAGGATTCCTCAAAGGCGCCCTAGGCACTGTAGCTCGCAAGCCTGAAAAAAAACCTGTAGAGAGAAGACAATGAAAAGAGATGACAGTTTTAGAGGTGGGAGGAAAAACCCAGAAGAGTGTTCTGGGGAAACCCAGGGAATCAGGTAGGGACTGAAAAGCCAATCCACATGTGGCCAGGGCAGGAATCGAACCGGGGCCACAGCAGTGGAAGTCTAGGAAAGAACCTTTGGGGCTTTGATGCATAATATATTAGAGTGATCTGCAACTGGACTCCAACATAGTACAACTACATGTATTTTTCTTTGGCTCCAAAGCTTTGTATTTTATCCGCAAATAATCAAAATGAAATGTGTTTCTCTTTGAGTAAGGTTGTGAGAAACTGCAAAAAAAATCTCCAGGTCCCCTTCGCAGTCCTCATCACTGCAGGGAGACTCTACTTGCAAATATGTGATTTACCAGGTTATTTGCTATTTTCTCATTCTCTCTCTCTCTCTGTGTCGTAGGTGTATGTGCGGACGAGACCTTACTTTCACGAGTTCCTGGAGAGGATGTCCAAGCTGTATGAGATCATCCTCTTCACGGCCTCCAAGAAAGTCTACGCCGACAAGCTGCTGAACCTGCTGGATCCTGACAAGAAACTGGTCAGGTAAGTGGGATAACGCCACCTCTTGTAGGAACCCTTGTCTAGGCAATCATTTACAGTTTTGCAGAGGGTTGGATGATGGCACACGGTTGTTTGCTAGCAATTTTTTTATACTCAAACTACTAATTTTCAAAGTTCCCTGACTCTAATATTTGAGGCACTCTCACCTGAAAGTAAAACAAGTTCGGGAAAGAATGTTGCATCCTGACGCCACTTCAGCTGTTGTGTACAAAGTCTATGGAGAGTCAAGACAATTTTCTAAGCATTTCCTAACAAAATTGGAAATGTTTCTCAGTCCCAGATTCATGTCTTTTCAACATTTTTGCAATGACTGACCTTAAATGAGATGACATATGCAGAAACAAGTGGCGTCAGGATGCAACATTCTTTCCCAAGTTTGAGTACCGATACGATATGCGATAGTTATACGATAGCAGTGACTTGCTCTCTTCACCAGCCAACAAGACAGTCACTCAGTGAGATAAGTACAAAGAAGACACTGCAGGTTGGCCACCTGGGACCAGCAAACACTGGCATTATGAACGATGTGGCTAGGCCTTTCTGCCGTGGCTGTGTGAAGTACGTGTCTCACCACTAAGTTTTGGCGTCTTGTCTGTTTTCTTCTGTAGGCATCGGTTGTTTAGGGAGCACTGCATCTGTGTGCAAGGCAACTACATCAAGGATCTGACCATCCTGGGAAGGGACCTGACTAAGACAGTCATCATTGACAACTCGCCTCAGGCATTCGGATATCAGGTACTTGACTCTTTGGGGTCTTTAAACAGCTAATGGAGCTGTTGCCCTTTGGTCCAATGATGCTTGTGTTCTTGGGCAAGACACTTTACTACAATTGCCTCTTTCCACCCAGGAGTATAAATGGGTACCTGTGAAGGTAGAGACCAGATTGCGCTGATCTTGAGCTGCTGCTAAAACTGGTCTCATGACTTGATGAACAGGGGTAATAATTGTGAGGCGCTTTGAGACCTTTGGTATAAAGCGCTATATAAGCACCACATTATAAATATTATTATAATGAGTCTGCAGGAACTGTCGATGGTATCGTGTAGCGTATTCAGGACATGTAGGACAGGCATCATGACTCACATCACCTGCAGTCCGCCCCACCTCACCTTAAACCCCCGCCTTAACCGCACCCCAACTTAAACCCCACCCAAACCTCGTCCAACCACCACTAGGCTTATGCAACACCACAATATAATGAAATAAAATAATTTTGTTCCATAGTCTTCAACACAATATCATTTGTGAAATTATCACTCTTTAAAGAAAAGTGGCTCCTTGCATTAGTGATTAATTATGTGGTTCATTATGTTTCTCAAGTGTGTTTTTTTTTTAAGGGGGGGGTATTAATTAAGTCAATTCCAAACAGATTTATGTAAAACTGAATGGTACCTAAACGGAATCATAATGGATTCCAAAATGTTGTGGTCATCCAGTCCTAATCTCATACACATTCCCCACCCCATCTCCACCCTGTACCCACCCTCCCTTTCAAACATCAGGGTTCACTTCTTGCTTAACTGCTTGCAACTTATCTTTCCAAAGGGAAAAAAAGAGGTTGACATAGTAAGCTCTTGGCTTCCCTTTCAATGATTCCCAGCTTGAAGTGCATCCGGTCACCTCTTGCTGTAGTTTACCCCGCAAAATCGCTGTGGTTGTCCAAGGAAAGCTTCCCTCGATGGAGTGCACAGATTGCTGAGCCTGTGCTGCTCACGGTTTCCTGTTTTAATAGGTTAAGCCATTTAGGATTCAGTCTTCCCAAGTACGTACTGTAGAATCTTTGTGATCACTTGAATCTCTTGAATTGTGCTCACAGGCCAAGTTCTTGTTGACATAAATGATTTGTATATGCGTTATGTGAAAGGTGACCAACATGTAAGCTCCATTGTGCATACACGTATGCATAAGTTGGCCCTTTAATGTGGAGACAGTACCCTTTGTTTCTGTTTTTCTTGTTGATGATGTTTTGTGATATCTACTTGTACATCAAAACTTCCGATGAAATGAAAATATGTAAAAATTAAAGGGAAAATACAACAGTTGCAAACATCAAAAAATAAAACTACCAAATCATTTTGAAATACCTTGCTGGACTGTTAGTGAATGACAGTGTGAAGCATCCTGTAAATTCATGGCACCTGGTTTACTGTCATTTTCAAGAAAAGTGGTATTTTTGTATCAATTTCCAACGCTGATCGGCCGATCAGCGTTGGAAAAAAACTGGCTTTTTTTCAAATACTGGCCCCAGTTGACCATCGCACTTGTTTGCAATCGATTACACACCTATGAACGGGTACAAGCCAGCTAGACTGGTTCCCTGACCTTATAATTCCCCAATAAATGTAAACTGCTCTGTTTTTTCTTAAATGGAGTCAGGGAACCAGACTACAGGAAAATGATTGTTTTTCTTGGTTTTTATAGCATTTTCGAACCCAAAACCTCAAAAAAATCAGTGTAACTATATTTGCTATATATTTCCAACCCCCCAATTCCATCCATTTCTGAAAATTACAGCAAAAGCAAATGATGTATATTCCCTTTAAGTTCCGAGAAAATTGGCTTACCCCCTAACCTAAGTCCCCCAAACTCCATCAAAATTCATCCCCCCATTTTGGTAGATTTTGGGGTACTTGGTCCAGCAGGCCTGGTTTGACTAATTATTGATGGAGTATGATGGACTTGGGCCTGGAGGCCTAAAGCAAAGCATGCATTGGAAGCAGTGTGATTGATGGATTTTGGCGGACTTGGTCCAGTACTTAGTAAAAGACAGTAAAGAGTTAGGGTCAATGAAATGGATATATATATTCATAAACTCGTGTTCAGCAACATCTATTGCAACATTGTCGGTAAAAGTTTGGGACTCACAAATGTTTCAATTCTTTTCATCAAAATCTTCAACCATATGAAGGCTGCACTTGCAAGGAATAAGAAAATGAACGTGTGACCTGCGTGCGTGGCATAGCCCTCCAATACTGCAACATCATTGTCCTATTTCTCCTGGCTGTGACCTTAATTTTTCTTATACGCCCGCTTCCTTCCCGAGTTCCTGAGGCTAAATAATTTAGGCCGAGGATTTCCTCCTCATTTTGCTATTTTTCTCTTTTAAAAGAACTCTGCCCCTATATTTGCAGTTCTCTTAGCCTGCCCTTCCCCCCTCCCCTCCCCCCCTCCCCTCCCCCCTCCCCTCCCCCAGAGTGAAGGAACAGTCGTGGGTTCAAGCCCTGCTCCAATTTCTTTCTTTTTTTCAACCATAACATTAAAAATGAAAGACTACTGTACAGTTTTATCTTTTTGAACTACCACCACAGCTGGAGAACGGTATCCCCATCGAGAGCTGGTTTGCAGACGACAACGATGTGGAGCTGCTCAAGCTGGTCCCATTCCTGGAGAGTCTGGTGTCCATGGTAGGTCCCTTGTAAACATGTGTCCTCAGCGACAAGGTTCCTGACAACTCGGAGTGGAATGACATTTGATTGGTCTGGACCACTAATCTCCATAAATTGACTTGATAGCTTAAATGCCCATCATGTTGTACATTAACTATTATCGATTTTTGACCAGTTCGCCCCATCTTCAAAAAATTTCCGCCGATATACGAATGTTCTTGGCGTACATACAGCACGTGCTGTATTAAGATTTGACACGCATTTTGTTCATGTATACGTATTATGATGTTCTTCAAAAGACAAAATTTTTGAGCCACGACGTTTGAAAAATTGTGAACCGTGGTGGACAAAAGGTGAACCAGGTGAACCACGATGTGACAAAAGTGAATCAAACGTTTGAGAAAAGATCTAAGCCGGCAAGTTGTCCTTTATAAAACACCGACCGGCCTCCCCAGTATGGCTTCAAATGACTTCTTTCTGCAGCTCTCTGCACGGTATTCAGTCAAAATATAGAGATCAGTGGTTCAGACAATGCTTCAATCTCCCAAATGTAGAGTCAGAGAATGACCTGCACGTATTGTCCGTATGACTTTTGAGGCAGGGGTCAACTTAACCTCAGTGCACAGGTTACATAGTTTCCTAAGGCACACATTTGTCATCTGGAAAACATCTGGAAAGAGCAATCGTAATGACACATACATATATAAGGCCAAAAAAAAAAATATTCGGTCTCTGGTCAGACCAAAGTTCCGGAATTGACGCGGCGACGCGGCTTTTTTTTTTTTTTTTTGCTTTTGTTTTTTCTTCAAGCTTGGATTGTACAGACAAGGTGGGGTACTATTTTGCTTTTTTGGTGTCCTCATGTACATTGGTGTCCTCCATAATTTGCCTTGGTGCTTTCGATCATTTGCCTTGGTGCAATTTCCCATTCCTTGGTGCTCTTTCTTAAAAAAAAATTGAGGAGGTGTGGAAATAGAGGGCGCTGTTGGAGCTACCGTGGAACATTTTGGAGAAAAAAAAAGATCGACGCGCATGATTAAAATTGACTCGCGCGCTGACAAGAGACCGACTTATTATTTTTTGGGGCCTAACAGGTGACCGGCAATAAGGACAATAAGTAATTAGGTCAGGCAACCCCAACAGCCACTTTCACACATGATTTGACAGGAAAATTAGCTGAAATTTCTTCTTTAAAATTGGTGAAATTTTTGCCATTCTGCTACCTTTTTGTGTCGCCTCAGCAAAGTTTTGGAGGATACTTACCAGTCCTAAATTCTGTATCCCCATGTGACCGCATGATCGTACCCCGCATGTATATTAAAGTTCAGGTTAAGTTTTTGAAAACTTTGTATAACTTCTACATGCTTTCATGGATTTTGATGAAACTGGGGGAAGACACAATTCTTCATCAGATTGCTGAGGTCAAAGGTCATGTAGGGGTCATTAGAGGTCATTGTTCAAATATGCTTCAAATGTTTCTTTGTCTACAGATTTTGATGGATTTTGATGTAATTTGGATGGATCCTTGGGTGGGGGTATCACAACTCTTCCGAAATTGGAGCTCAAAGGTCATCATAATGCACAAAATTTGACTGTTTTTTTTAGAACACAATACATATAGGCAGTGTTGTAGTTGAATCACCAACGTCGAGTCCAAGTCTGAGTCTTGAGTCACAAGCCTCGAGTCCAAGTCCGAGTCCCGAGTCACAAGCTTAGAGTTGGAGTCTGAGTCTTGAGTCGCAAACCTCAAGTCTGAGTCCTAGTCACGAGTCACTTGCCCGGCCCCTGGATGCGATTTTCTGCGGCGCTTTGTTTTGTAAAAAGAAGTAAAAAGAATGCTATGTCCGTCGCACAAATACGTAACGGTATGTTTTTTTCTTTTGATGAAAATACGTGACTCGAGTCACGAGTCACCAAGCTCGAGTCCGAGTCATCATGGTCGAGTCCGAGTCATTTTTCAATGTGACTCAAGTCGAGTACGAGTCACGAAAAATGTGACTCGAGTCCGACTCAAGTCTGAGGCCTAGACTCGAGTCCTACAACACTGCATATAGGGATCGACAGCAAAAAAAGGCGACACGTGCGGATCACGTCTGAATTTAAATTGACATGTTTGTGTGGTAGAAAAAAGTACTGTTGTTTTCTAATTTATTTGTTTTTTTCTCCTTCCCAGAAGGAGGATGTACGACCACATGTCCGAGACAAGTTCCGACTGCACGAGTTACTACCGCCAGACTGATAGACCATGGCACCACATCAGGCCCCATCTTGTACAGAAAATAAGTGTTCTAGAAACGAAATTTTAATGTTTAAACAAAGACAATGGCAGAGTTCATTAGTGACGAGAATTTTTACTTTTTTAATCGAGAAACCAGAGAGTAGAACTAATTAAGTGTTGTAAAGATTTCAGATAAAAAAAAAAGAAAATTCAGATACAGTGTTATTCTTGTACGGAACGGCCCATTTAGGGTCCATTTTATGCGAGTTCTTAAAAAATACCACATTTCGTATAGATTTTAGGAGATTTATTAACTGCTTTTTAACACTGTGTAAAGCTTGTGTTCTTGTAAATATTGACTCGGAATTCTTATTGCCACATTGCTGTCATTTGAAAAACTAATAATGTTTTTTTTTAAGAAAAATTACCTAAGGCAGTGCCAACAACAAAACATGACTTCAATTACTGCGAGATTGGACGCTTGAAATACAAACTCGGGTTTTTTTGGGGGGGGGGGGGGGAAGAGCTCAAGGAACCATTGCTAAACTCACAGCTGGCTACATGTAGCTTGATATCGAGTGCTTTAACTGAACTAACTGAAATTTTTTGGGGGAGTGAAGTTCACCATCAGTTGAAAATTTGAATCGTATTCGCAATTTTGGCAAGATTTAGGCGGTCCTTGAGTTAAGTTTGAAATGTCGAGCATCTGTTGTGGAAATAGGTTTTCAAATGAAATGAATTTGTCTTTGTAGAATTGTTCACGTTTATTTAGATAAAAAGTTTGTGGATGATGAATTTTTAGTTGGTGTGAACATTCCTCCTTACATCAGATTTTTTTTTTAAATGACATATTAGTCAATGCCAATTTCTTCTTATTTTTTTTTAAAGAGGGCTTTTAAACATTGCAGGTCTTAAATATTAAAAACAAAAAAAAATTATATGCAGCTGTTGTTGAACGTTAATGGATGAGAAAGCAATAATGTGTTGGAAATATTGAAGATTTGAAGCATGTTCGAAAAAGTTTGTTTGTATGCATGGAAATTGGGAGTTTTTCTTGGAAAAATGTATTTCTGGCATAATAAAAAAAAGAGAAAGAATTTGGGATTCAAATAAAAAAGATTTGTGGTGTTCAGTTTCCCCTTTAGAATCACAACAAACCTTTGTGGAATAATTAGGTTTTCTTCCTTCATTTGTTTTTCCGTCAAGATACGCCTCCTTTTTTTGTAGAACAGGAACAATAGTTGGTAGGTAACAGAAAATTGTGATATATGAAAATAATGACCATTTCAATTGTTTTGGTGTCTGAGTTATTAATGTGCGTATTCAGCTCGAAAAAGAGTGTGTTCTATTTTTGGTCCAAAGTTACCCGGAAAAAGTCGTTTTAAAAATAACATGTCTCGTTTTTTTCTGTTCATTTGAACACCGAAATTCTGTGAACTTAAAATTATGCATACAAATTCTATGTAATTTTAATCAGTGTGTCATAAAATACAAATTAAGAAATGTCAGATTGTTTTTTTTTAAATTCTGGTTTGATCTGAAACCGACGATTTCTAGCTGATGTAAGGGTTAGTCTAAAAAGCCAAATTCGTTTTTATCATCTTTCTTTGGGGTTGCTTGGACCAAAGACGGAACACATGTCTTCGTGGTTCGGATGGTATCTGTAACAGAATCAACACGTACGGGTTATAGTCGTTGAAAACATCTTGTACATGGTTGTAAATTAAAAACAAAAAATACAAATTCGCCCCTCGTGTAAATAAAGTCCATTAGATGAGATTTAGCACCGGTAGAGGGAGAACAAAAGGGACAAAATAACAAAGGCGATTGTATTTTTGCAGTTATATTATATTCCTGTGTAAGATTTCTAATTAAAGATGTGTAAATAACAATGTTTAGACTTGTACAGGCTGCCAAAACCAGCTCCCGATGAACGGTTTTAAAACACAAAAAAAGGATTATTCTCTCTAACATAAATAACACCAGAAAACACAACGAGGCATTTCAAATTATTTGGTTTGTTTACAAGCTCTTTGCAATTTCAAATTCGTTGAGGGGATTTTGACGTTTTGTGGAGAATTAAGTTTTAAAAAACAAAAACAGGTTTTTATATTGTACAGATGCCACAATTCTTTTGGCCGTTTTTCCCCCAGAGTTTTGGTGGTTCCCCTGAAAGGTTTTTGGAATTTGGAAATGGTAAGGCATGGTTTTAGCAGGTTGTATCAAGGCTTGCTGTAGATGTGTTGCTTGTTGCTATTTCGCTAGTGTTGTGTTTTCAGCAAATACAATCAAAAGAAGCAAAGAACGGTTTTGTTTTTTCGGTTTGGTTGAATGAATACAGAATTAGAACTTGTGCAAATATGTCAATGTGCTTTTTATAAGAATAGTTGAAAATCAGTGCCATCTACGAGTTCAATCATTTGAACACCAACTTGTATTTATTGCTTACTATGGTCTCATATATGTTGTTGGGTTGAAAAGTATTTGCAGTTGGGGCCCGTCTTATTTCATATCTGGGACGAGTTTGGACAAGTTGCGGACATTTGTATCGGGTATAAGTCGCAGGATTCTGAACAACTTCCCCGCAATCTTCCCGCAATGAAGTTATCGGCATTGGTGCGTCAAGCAATTGCTAATGAAAATTTCCCCAAAACATGTCCGGGACAAATTCAGAGCTTCTGTCGAACAAAGTGAACGATTCTACCGCAACTTGTCCAGAACTCAACCCAGATATGAATTAAGATGGGGCCCTTACAAAGAATTTTTGTCCTAGCTACTTGTTGGCTTCAGGAAGTTCCGTTAGATTGGTTGATGTGTTTTTCGTTTTTTAGAGATCTCACTGAAAATGCATATGGTCGATGCTGTAAATATAAATTGTGGAATTTTGAAAATGCATGCATGTTTATTCATTTTTATGATGACCTATGATCAAAATGATGTAAAGATATGTAATTTTTAACTGACTTGAGAAAACAATCATTTGATGCTGTAATGTCCAATGCACTTTTGCTTTTGTGTCGGGTTAACCCATTGGATGCATAGTTGTACAGTGAATAACTCTGACCAATCAAATATGTTGATAGTGATGTCTGATTTGTCCAATGGCAGATGTTGTTTTAACTTGCCTTCGTAAAAAACAAAAAAACAAAAAACAAAATTGCAATTGCTTTTTTCCCCCCTTTCTGCACAAGTGTGTGAGAAATTAAAAGTGAGAAAAAACTAGGAATTTGTTAAGGCTAAAAAGTTCCGAAGGATCCTTTTCGCACAACAGAAAATTTGAATTTAAATTTTTTTTTTTTTTTTAACATGGCCTTACAACTCCACAGCAGCTTTTTGCCAATAAGCGTTTATTTTAAAACGGGATGAAGCGACCGTGACATGTATTTCCAGCTAATTTGATGGAGAATAAGATGTGCATAATTATTGCGTTGATAGATGTACACGCACTGAAATCCTTTTAAAAAAAAAAGACAATTATTATAAGCCCCCCAAATAGGACGTATTGCTGTTAATTATTTTGTTCATTTTCAAGCACACAACCTGCGCACCAAAATGTTTTAAACAGCATTGTACAAAACTGAACATTGAGAAACTAAATAAATTTAAAAAGGTGTTGCCCACGGCCTATTTTTATGGAGACATCGGAAATGGATATTTGATTCTTAGGCACTGGGGAATATCATGCTCAGGTTATAATTAATAACTTTTAATTTTTTGATCAATTCTGTAAGGAGTTAATAATTTCTGTGAAAGGGGGTGCTTTTTTTTGTTTCTTGCAGATTTGCACATAAATGCCAAGAGTTAACACAAAAATATTAAAATTCTCCCCTCTAAGTTTCAGATGGAGATTTTATTTCTCTCCTTTTAGAATGCTTTTTAACCAGTGTGGCACTTTTTAATTCGGTTCTTCTTTTTAAGTGATGGTACCCTTAGACTGTATTTTAATTACCTGGAGAAAAAAAAAATTGTAATTACAAACTGAAGTGTTTATAATAGTCTGTACCACTCTTTGTGTTGTAATAAGATTCTCACCTTGTACAAAAAAAAAAATACATTTGTAAAAACAACTAAATACAATGGGTGTCATACATATGAAAACTGTATAGATTGTTGTGTACGTTTGTTGTCAACTTAACTTGGATTGAAGTAGGAAGCATCCTTGCAGCTGAAGCTAGTGATCTGAATTTTTTGCGTAAAAGTTATCATTGATATGCTAATTTCAGTTCAGACGTGTCCATGCTTTATAAGAAGGTTTTTTTTTGGAAGTCATTACAGCTTGATATTTTGTCTTCAGTTAAGACATTGGTCCTGGCATGGCTTAAAAAACGAGATTTTCATGAGTCTTGGGCCGGGTGAGATTCCTTGAACCAGCCCGAGTCTGGTTCCTCGAACCAGCCTCATGGTATTGAATTGGCTGATGTACTCTCAATTTGAGTAACCAGCCTGCCCGGCTAGTGATGTGTATATTTCCCTTCATGCATGCGATGGCAGAAAATTTGCAAAATTGACACATACAAATGTACATGCATCCAGGTTAATAAAGTCGAATCATTGCATGTACAGCTTTTTGCAGAGTTTAGAATCTTTTGGTGGGCCCTTACAGAGGGTAGTTTTTGGTACTAAAACTCGGTGATAATTATAATGAAAGAACAAAATGCCCATCTTGGTGAAACAAAGACGTGCCTCAGATTTGGCATCATATGTTAATGGGTCTGTTAAGTTGGTTTGCTGGGTTATTTCAGCATGCTACCTGATCAGTGAAGCTAGTTTGTATCCACAGTCTTCTACATCTGTTAGCTTGGCGAAAAACAACATTTTGTGAGCTTGGGAAACTGGTAACTTTATTAAAATGGCTTGTGATGTATATTGGCTCTGATAGGTTCCCAGGTAATGCTCATGGTTTACAATGAATACATTTTTTTTAATCTGCTCTGATGTAGCTCTTGATATTTTATGTCTGGGAAAGAATGTAGTATCCTGACGCCACTTCAGCGGTTGTGTACAAAGAGTGGATAGTCAAGAATTTCTTAACAAAATTGGAAATGCTTCGCAGTCCCAGATTCATGTCTTTTCAACTTTTTTGCAATGACCGACCAATACTGAGATGATATATGAAGAAAAAGTGGCGTCAGGTTGCAACATTCTTTCCTATGTCTGTGTGGAAGTTATCCACACAGTGGTAACAAACGCATAACAGGAGAAGTCTGCACGTGATGTGCAATACCAAGTTAAGTTGACAGCGAAAGGTATACCAGTATTTTGGAGATGGATTTACAGTATTTTTGCGTAAAAGTAGAAAATAAAAAGAAGTTATATTCAGGGAAAATGTGTTTCATTGTGCATGGTTTTGGTTTGTGTTGTGTATTTTTACTATAAAAATGAAATGTTTCAAATTAAACTCTTCAACATTGTCATGTCTCAAAATAATACTTTGATAATAATATAATAAGAAGAATTAATCCCTTGTATCAATGTTGAGTCAAGAGTTTTGACAATCGAAAGAAAAATATATTTTTTTACAACAATTAGCACTCGTACTACAGTTGACCAATGAAAAGGGCTAAGAAATTTCACAATGTTTTGGCTTTCATATTTTAATAGAGCAACGTCAATAAAATATATCTTGTTGACCACTTTTTAAAATTCAAACAAGGCTAGACAAGGCAGTTTATTGATAAAATAAAATTCAACAATTTCAACCAGTATGAAAAATAAAAAGGTGCACATCTACATAAACACAAAACAACCACCATATTACGTGGTTTTGAAGGCACCAGTACACTATTTGAACTCCATTTTTGCACACAAATAAAAATGTAGAGACAAATGCATTCCCTGAGAATTGCCTGAAAAAAAAAAGGCCGGAAACATTTCCATACCTGGACATCACTTGACACCCTGTGCACAAACCCTATGAGACTGTTCTGAAAAATTCTAAACGTTTTCTCAGTAAATGCTTCAATATTTTCCCTGCTAAATTTGACTTTTTAGGATGTGTTATCGCTTTCTGCTGGCTGATAGGTCATCGCAGGGAAAAATGAGTGATGTCCATTTTTAGAATTCCCAAAAGGCCAGTTTGACACCTAATTAAACCTACATGTATGATGTTAATTTATACTCCAACATGTTACATGTATATAGTGACCTATATTAGTCACTGTACCGCCCCAAACCGCCTGGCTTATTACTGTGCCCAAAACCACCCCAGACTTCGTGGTTTGATGGATTCATCAGATAATAATACAATGTATTAGAGTTGTTATAATGGGTTAATTTATACAATTACCCCTTAAAAAATGTCCTTCAGTAAAAAAAAAAATTGGAAACAGTACACACGTACAAATACTAGCACGTTTGTTTATGGTGCAAATCAAGGATTTTCTTTTGTTCCTCTTCCCTTTTCCATTGTTTGTACTTTTTAACATCAGCTCTCATTGGTTTTGTACACGTTTTCTAATTGAGGTCGTCCTCGATTTGGTTCCTGTCCTCGATTCATTGATGTTGCACGTGTGTGTCCTCGATTTACACCATAAACAAACGCACCCACACATAGAACAGTTACCTCTAACACAGTTTCAGGTTGCATTGTTTTGTGTGCAAAATATACCATATTAGTATACAAATATTGAATGCTTCGAGTGGTGTAGTAAAACTAGCCTCCCGAGGTGATCCATGGACCATTCTATTTTCCCGAGGTGAAGCCGAGGGAAAATAGAATGGTCCATGGATCACCGAGGGAGGCTAATTTTACTTCACCACGAGATAAAGCATTCAATATTTGTTTTATAACACTTCTCCCACAGATTCTGCTTGATTTTAGTATTTTACATTATTTAAATCTGAACACAGTTGAAATAAACTTCAATTTCAATACAAAATTGGTGGAAAATGTATTTCTCTCTTAAAAACTAACCATTCACGAAATGTTTGAACCCAAGTCTGCAGCGCACTCTCTTTGGAATAATACGCGCTACGCACAACGCGCAATGCGCACACCAGCATGCATTTGCACACAAATACCGCGCCGTGGAAATAGTACTTTGGTTGCTAATGGTATAGTACTTTGGTTGCTATGCGCATAGTACTTTTGGCCGTGCACAGAAAGATAGCAAAATTAGAAAGTAACATGTGACTCGCTCTCGGCCAATCAAGACACAGAATCTGTGGGTGAGGTGTTATAAAACAAAATATACAAAAGGAATTATACAAGGCTTACATCAGTGGAAAAAATATAATATGTTTGCATTTTAAATACAGGTAACCTTACATGTAGTTGGTTCCATGCTACACTGGAGTACCAATGACATTGAAGCTAATCACAAAATATATTTGCCTCGACCAATGTGTTGTATGGTAAACTACCAGCAAAATATATCATAATCATAATAACTTGGGCAAATGTCAGTCAGCTGCTTTGTAGCCAAAATTTAGCACCAAATGACAGCTAATCACAAAATAAATTTGCCTCGACCAATGTGTTGTATGGTAAACTACCAGCAAAATATATCAGAATCATAATGACCTGGGCAAATGTCAGTCGGCTGCTTTGTAGCCACCATTTAGCAATCATTTTCCAAAGCAGGGAATTTTAAAGGCAAGTTTTATGAGCAAATTATCCACGTATTTTATGAGGTTCTCTTCAAATTAGAAGACGCCTGTGAATTTTTTTTGATGATTTCAACCATTATGTCATGAAAACAGCCAACATAATTTTTTAAGATAAAATGGTTTCTTTTGCTCCGAGCTTCGTTTCCCAATACAAAGCCAGACATGTAAGAAAACATAGAATCATGATGCATCTTAAATTTCGCATCCAACAAGCTGTTAGAGTGATCCCTTAACCAAGAACACAAAGTAAAGAAAAACATCAGTGTCGTTAAATTTATAAATACTGGAATGCATACAAGTAGTACAATGAAAACCTATTACACCCTCAAATTTTTTTTGAATGGCCAGGTATATTTGGTTCAAGCAGTATTAATGTTTGTGCACTGCACTTTTATTTTGGTACCCCCCCCCCCCCCAGCAGGTGTCCGTGCCCCACTGGGTGCCCCTTGCCCCCCCCCCCCCCCCAAAAAAACCCCACACCACACACACAAAAACATGCTATATCATGTACACACACTCTTAGATGTTCTTTTCACCCCTCGCATAAATGAAACATCAGACTGTTCATCAGGGCCAGATCGCGAGCATTAAGCTTGTTTGAATCTAGCCCGTCATTCGCTGGTGCTTTCATGTCATGTGACAGGCGGTGGTAGACAAAAGAGAGTGTTTGACACAACCAATGGCTACTGGAATGAAATGTAAAGCACTTGCGAGTGTGTTCTGAATAAAAAGTTGAGGGGGTACTAATTGTGCACATGCAGAGTCGAATAGTAGAACGCCATGGTCCAGTGGTGACGGTGTTTGACTTATGTACGAAGGTGCGTGGGTTCGAACCCGGCCAGGAACGTGGTGTTTGTGCCCTTGGGCAAGACACTTAACTACAATTGCCTCTCTCCACCCAGGAGTATAAATGGGTACCTGTGAGGGTCGAGGACCGATTGAGTGCTGATATCGGCTGCCGCGTGGTCCCATGGCCTGATGAATGGGGTAATAATTGTAAAGCGCTTTGAGATCGTTGATTTGATGGAAAGCGCTATTTAAGCACAATTATTATTATTATTATTAATAGGTCAGACCATGCCATCTACAGTTGGGATATAGATGCTATAATTGGGGTTTTATCGTTTCCACATTTCTAGGTATTCCAGTAGCCAGTGGTTCTATCCATATTGCAACCATGCAATGCTCATGATCTTACAATACAACACAGGACTTTGATGTTTTCTTCTGTGTGCCATCTACGGGTTTCACTTCATCCTCTCCATTATACTTCATGATGGCATCCACTATCTGTGGATGAAAGTTGTAGACAATTTAAGGAAAAAGTGATTTTTATGAGGTAAACATACATTAGGCCAAAAAAAAAAGTCTCCGGTTTCTGGTATGGAGCTTGCCCAAAAAGTGGTGCGGCGACGCGGCTTTTTTTTTTTTTTTACCTGATTTTTTTGCTTCAAATGCGTGCTGATGACTGTAAATGGTGCCCGACTAAACTTAGTGCAAATATATGGGAGTCCAGAGAGGCCACATAAAGCTTATTCTCGACCATAACCCAATCTAAAAACACGTTAAAATTGTGCAGCAGCAGGATTCCAGTCAAACCAGTGAGTTTGGCGGTTTTGAGACATCATCTTTTATTGAAAAAAAAAACCTTTTTCATTTTGCCGACGCGCATGGCTACGGCGACGCGCGCGCATACCAGAAACCGGAGACTTTTTTTTTTTGGCCTTAGAGCCAATATTTTATTTACTCCCGTTCTGCTGTCTGAACAGTAAAAGACAGTCAAACAGAATCAAACCTCTTCCCCTGCCATGCCTTTTACACGAGCTGGTCACCAACAGTCAGATCATATTTCACACAAGCACTGTAACAAAAACGCAGGCAAGTGGTAGGCACAGCTGGCTTATCAATTACCTACAGTCAAAGCATAGCTATATCTAGCCCAGGTGGACTCCCTTACTGCACTAATGAGACATCGTCCAACCTGGGCTATAAAGCTGTATCAAGTTTCATAACAGTCAATGACCCGCAACCTTGCTTTGTGTAGGTGGGAGCTCTTAAAGGGAAAATACAACATTTGCAAACATCAAAAAATAAAACTACCAAATCATTTTGAAATACCTTGCTGGACTGTTAGTGAATGACAGTGTAAAGCATCCTGTAAAATCATGGCACCTGGTATACTGTCATTTTCAAGAAAAGTGGTATTTTTGTATCAATTTCCAACGCTGATCGGCCGACCAGCGTTGGAAAAAACTGGCTTTTTTTCAAATACTGGCCCCAGTTGACCATCGCACTTGTTTGCAATCGATTACACACCTATGAACGGGTACAAGCCAGCTAGACTGGTTCCCTGACCTTACAATTCCCCAATGTATGTAAACTGCTCTGTTTCTTCTTAAATGGAGTCAGGGAGCCAGACTACAGGAAAATGATTGTTTTTCTTGGTTTTTATAGCTTTTTCGAACCCAAAACCTCAAAAAAGTCAGTGTAACTATATTTGCTATATATTTCCAACCCCCCAATTCCATCCATTTCTGAAAATTACAGCAAAAGCAAATGATGTATATTCCCTTTAACTGTTAAAAATGAAAACAGTCACTTGATTGATTTTGACCGAAGGGACAACGTTGCACAGAATGTATGTTTGCATAGGAGGATATACGACAAAAACCTGTATTCTGTTTTTGGCTAAACCAAAACTTATTTACGTTTAAAATTTCTGACAACTTCATACCTCCTTGTGCACAGGAAACCTCCCCACTTCCAGTTTTGAGTAAAGCAGCTGGCCATTCAGAGTGACTTCAAAAGAAGCTGCAAAAGATGAGACAACTGTTTTTTAACACACATCAAACTATGACCTGATATGTGTTGCGTAGACTTTTGTAGGGTAATTCGTTGTGGTGTGAGTAGTGGTGTAATGGGGGAATGGGGGGGGGGGGGAATGAGGGCTCCCACTTGAGACCTATCCCCCTTCTTATGTCACCCCCTGCCAACCGCTCCATCTCAGAGTCTGGGAGAAGACAAAAACAAGCTTTTAAGAGTTAAAGTCCCATGGAGTGCCCAATGAGAAAACGTTTCCCCCTAATTAGTGCCCCTTCAAACTGGACACCATGCAGTTACACCATTTAAAAGAAAAACTCTTAATCAATACAAATAAGTCATAACTGGGAAACATGCACATTTAACAAATGTAATTCAGTGTTGCAAATGTGTAGTCCATTTGAGTTTCCTCGACCTCCATAAATGTTCACAGAGGTCAACTTATAAGTGACCATCTATCTTTTGTTTTTAGAAAAAAATATCACTCATCAAGTTATATCACTTAAAGCAAGACTTTTCTGGCTGCATACATGTACATCTGTGTATAGACCGACCACAGGACGAGGGAAAGTCTAAAATAATTATCAAATGTTGCTCTGCTGGGTAAAAAGTAAACTGTAAACGACTACACGTATACATTTTTTGGTAATCCTTACTTTTAGGACCCCGTTCTTATATAGGAAGGGAAAGACTCACCAAAACAGTTGACTAAATGACACTCAAAATGGACATTCTGATATTTCTTGGCACATCTGAACAATTGGCAATGACACCTTCTTGAAATCAGCAGGATTAATTTTGTGGAAAGAGGGCAGGGCTTTGATTTATGAGGGAAATTCAGGGGTAAAAGACGACAATGACAACCAGAAACAGACTCAAAAACCAAGATGGCAAACCTGAAAGCTCAATGCGATGACAGCTCGATGCTGATTGGCTGATAAAAAATAAACATCTTATTTATTTTTTTTAGCAGCCAATCAGCATCGGGCTTTCATTATGTAGGGATGGCAAACCTGAAAGCTCAATGCGATGAAAGCTCAATGCTGATTGGCTAATAAAAAAATGAACATATATCTTGTTTATTTTTTTAGCAGCCAATCAGCATCGGGCTTTCATTATGTAGGGCTTTCACGCGTGTGAGAATTACAACATGCACGTCTGACTGCGAAAAAAGGTAGGAAAGTCACATTTTCTTTGAAAGTGCTTTCAAAATTACAACTAACATGAATTTATATGAAGAAAAAAGACTGCTTTAGCCTGCAAAAGTCACATTGATACTGGACAGTCATCTGAAAAAGTCAGTTTTGAACAGAACTCGTAAAAAATAGAGGTGTCCTAAAAGTAAGGATTACCCATTTTTTATTAAAAAAAATCCACTTACTACTCCTGCCGACTCTGCCGTCAACAGCCACTTCAGGATCTGCAGCTTGGATGTCTGTTTTCAGATCCATGAAGCGGGAATCGTACCCTCATCCGGCACTAATGAACACAAAAAACGTCTCATTTGTTTGTGTTTATTAATTTGTGTTTTGTTTGAAGTCTTCCCTGTTTTTCATGAACGGCTGCCGGCCGAGTGTTACTTCTAGAATTAGAAGGCTTCTCTCCGTCTGACAGAGAGAAGCCTTGTGCCTTGTAATTCTAGAAGTAGGCTGCCGTATGGTTTTGTTGAGTTTTATCTTGACCGATTGTGATATGGTGTCTGGGGGGGGGGGAAAGACAAATTTAGCTTGACAACTAAAACAAATTCACACCCAGATTCTCAATTTAATTTATCATATTTTTTAGCTACTGAGGCGGTTCAACGGAAATTCGGTTCAACTGCTGTTGAAATCTCATAATCATATAGATTCTCAATGGTTTGTTATCATTAAGCTGCGGGTTGATTACTTCTAAAATTAGAAGGCACCCCGGGGTGCCTTCTAATTCTAGAAGTACGGGCATGACGGGTAGGTTAGGCCTAGAGGCTTCCGTTAAAATAGCCACTTATTGACACAACGTCCTTTTTGCGGGTGTATACTAGACCAACAGTCATGACAGTGTTGCAATGTTGCAATAACAAATAGCACCTCATCAGAACATCTTCCTAGGGAAAAAATGTTGCAACCTGACGCCACTTCCGCGAGTGTGTACAAAGTCTATGGAGAGTCAAGAAAGTATTTCCTATAACAAAATTGGAAATGTTAGTCCCAGATTCATGTATTATCATTTTTTAGGTTAAGCCATTTTTGCAATGAATGACCTTCATTGCATTGAGATGATATATGAAGAAAAAAGTGTCGTCAGGTTGCATTATTTTTTCCCTTCCTTGTATCATTAACTCCGATTGGTAATTGGCATGATTCCGTTGCCATGGTAACCTGGGCATGGCGGTGAATTTATCGATCTAAATGAGACTGCGAACGCTTCAACGCAACGCCGCCGCCCTGGAAATCATATCACATATGCCACTAAAAATATAGGCAGTGGCTATTGTTACGGCAGCCGTAACGCATTTCCCATTTTCTATCGTTACGGTAGACTGCAACCTGGCAACTTTTATAAAAAAAACATGACAAGAAAATATAAAATTAGAAGGAAAAAAGTGAATTTGAACTTTATGAAATTTGGACTTTATTTCCCTTTTAAAAAAAATCCTCCAAAGCCTCAGGTTAGAAAAGGAAAAAAATTCGAGTGCAAAACCGAATTTCGAACCCGCAACCTCGCGGTGCAAAATCCTACCCTTTATCGGCTGAGCTGGCGCACTGCTCGATAAAACGTGGGGAAACAAATAATTATATACCTGCGTGCGTATCAAAAAAATATCGTAGAGGGCGCTAAACAACGAGTGCCGTAACGATAGCCACTTCGAAAAATATAACGAAAATGTGGCTATATTCATAGGCCTATTCTTGATCACCAAGATTGACTCTCGCTAAATCACAATACTTACCAGAACTCGATCTCCACCTTTTTCGGTGCCATTGTGAAAGTTTCAAACGGAATTACGTCTTTTTCCCCAAATATTGTCTTTCTCTGCAACCGCGGTTTCGATGTGAATGCGGAAATAAACAAAAGGGCGCGATAGACTAGCAAAAGTCTGTCGTTTTCTCTTTTTTTCGCAATCGTGTATAAAGGGGCGGAGCTAAGGGAGGGGAGGGGCCTTCAGTTTCCGCGTGAATTAATCAGAGAAGTGCGTGTTTCACACAATTTTCCATTGGTGGGTGGAGCATTCTACCCCTTCCTTAGCTAGCCAAAGTGTTACCAAAAAAATCAGGTTTACATTTTTACAGTGCTATCAAAGTTTGTATGGTTTCCTATACTGGTGTCCAAGTAAAATTGTTGAATTAAAGTCAGAAAAATGGTTTGTATACACCATGTGTGACTGTATGGAGAACAAATGACACCCTTTTGCTGCCCCTTTACAATATACAATTCTGAATTAAGTCTTCAAATAATATCCAAGGTCATTCTCAAATGCTTCTGTTCCCCCGAGAGTAGACTTGAAATCAAGTCTGTAATGAGTGGTTTTAATCGCGTCCGCCGCGCGCGACTGCCAAGCTCTGTGCCGGGGGTACGACATACCGCATATGCTGTCCTAGTAGCGGGGACGCTACGTACATTTTCGACCCCATGCGTGTGCGATCCCATGCGTAGACACGGACTGACCATATGCCGCGCTGTACGTGTATGTACATCGTACATGTACTGTACATGACTTTTGCATGACTGGTTGTAGCGCTCACTTTGCGTGAACGGCGGTGGCATGGCCGGTATGCGGATTCTGGCGCTGATGACGGACATAAACCACTATAGTCTAACGACTTGCCATCAAGTCTACCCCGAGGGCAGATCCAGAACACAATTTTTGGGGGGTGAGTCTAGATGCTCGGTGGTGAGATCTGAGGCAATTTCTGACCACTTTAACAGATATAAATAAATAAATAAAAAGAAAACTAAAAATAAATTGAAGACTTGATATAATTCTCTCATTTGGGAACTATACAGAATTGCTCTAAAATGGACAAAAGAAGTCACTAGGTTTGTGTTTACACGTATGCAGGAAAACACTTGAAACGTGGCCAATTCCCCCCCCCCCCAACAAAAATATGGAATTTAAAAAAAACGGACACATTGAGGAAATTTCGAGTTCATTTTCATTCTAAAACTTTTATTCGGATACCAAAATCAAGTACACTTAACAAAAATTCAATATATTCTTAGAATCGAATCTCTCCCCCGTTCTTGTCACCCCTCGCATACATGAAACATCAGACTGTTCATCAGGGCAAGATCGCGGGGATTATCCCCGTTTGAATCTAGCCCGTCATTTGCTGGTTCTTTCATGTCATGTGACAGGCGGTGGTAAACAAGAGAGAGTGTCAGACACAGCTGGCTTGCACTGGAACGCATATGATTTTTTTTTCTGAGGGTTTTTAAGGTATGTTTTTAAAAGAAATTGTAAAATTAATATACACATGTACATGAAGGTCTTATAGTCCTGAGCAGTACTGATACCGAGAAAAACAAATGGTTACTTTCCAGATTCTTATAAAGAGCAGAGATAAATCTTCAGCGGGATATCATTTCTTAAAAATATATTTATCTATGTTAAGACCTGGGCAATTCCAGTGTTAAGAAAGGAAGTGTAATGCTATGACAGAAACAATTAACCATGATATCAAATTAATGATTTGGAAAAATGATCCCAAACTCCTAGTCTGTAATCTCTGTGACCATTACCAGATAATTGATGTATAAGATTTAAAAATACATTTTCTGGTGTGTTCACTGAGCTGTGTCGTGGACATCACTTAATGCCCGAATTGCCAACCTATTTTCATGTGGTTACAACAGATCTCTTCCATAAATTTCCACTGGACTGAAGTTTAGGTGTCTTTAAGCCCAATAAAATTTGTGAAATGGACTGCAACTTCTCCAAGTTATACTCTAGTGTGTCCCAAAGCTGTGTTGAGTACGAGCTACAATTGGTTAAAGCATAAAAAAAGGCAGAAAATATATTGGTCATGATTATTTGACGCACCAAACCTTATTGCACACCTAATCAGGGTGTGTTGAATACTTAAGGTGTTGGTACAAAGAACAAAATGGTGGCACAGTAAATCAAAACACTTATTTCACTGATTGACTTTAACAAAAACAAGACCAGTCTCAAAACCTCAAGTCTCTATCCAAATATTATTTTGACCATACATATACATGTAGGCCTATATTGCATCTGCCTCAACTACCATAAATATGCATTCATGCTTTATCATTAAATATTAATACACCTGAGACAGAAAACACCGCTTGACTTTTAATTAAAAAAGAGATACAGAAACTATGCATAGAGTTCTTTTATAAATGAGTTGTTCATAAACTGAAGACAATTTTGCCAAGGGGGGGGGGGGGGGATCAGTACTTACACAACTACAATTGTAGGGAAAACATGGATTACTCTATCAGAGTAAAGTTGTAGTGCAGTCCATCACAAGTTCGTCACACATCAAATCGCAAGTGAAATCATAGATCTCAAAAATAAGAGGGGGACGATGAACAATATGACAAAGAATGCCTTTCTTATGGCTCAATTTGTCACTGAACTTAAGACTAAATGACTTGCATTTATAAGTCTTGGATTAGACTGGATTCTATTCCCATTATACAGCCGGTCGCTGACAAAGCAAGGTCAATATCAACAAGATGAATCAAATCGAGTCTTGGCAATATTGGCAGCGCTACCCGGGAAACTCATGCCCGCTGTATTGAAGCTAATGCATGCGCGTGAGGTATGCTCGGAATTTCCCGGGTAGCGCCGCCAATATCGCCAAGACTGAATTTGATTCATCTAGTTGCTAGAGACCACCACTGCGGCAACTTATCCGCATTTGTCATTGGGCTGGCTGCAAATAGGGGAATAAAAATTCAAATCAAGTCTTAGACTAAGACTGGTGATCGACCTGTGACGGACTTGACTACAACTCTGTACAATGTAAAAAAAAAATTGTATTTTCTTTCTTAATTTTCATTGATCATGAGCTACAGTGATTCTGTGCAATTCGATTTGAATTGTAAAGGACACCAATTCTGAAATAGTGTATCGTGACCTTTGAAAAAAATTGTGAATTTCCTGTGAAGGGATCTGTCCCAAGATTGGAACAGACTGTGACAAAATCCAGGATGGGCAAATGCATTCCAGAGGCAGACAAGGTGTCGGGTGCTTTGCCAGCGGCTGTGTCTTTACAGCAAGACGCAATTGCTGGCTGTATTAGTGACAGGGGTCACGTCCCCCTCGCCTTTGTACTCCTTAATAGCCGTGACGATCTGCAATTGACAATGGGAAAATATAAGTTTGATGAATGATGATAATATAATTTCCTTAGTTTGATGTCCCTATTGGGGTTCCCCACAGAAATCTGAAATTGAAATTCCATGACTTTTCCAGGACAAGCTTAGGGCTTTCCATGACCAATTCCTATGCTGTTTTGGCAATTTTACAATACATTGGCCAGTCATCACACTGATGAGGCAAGGGACGTTTACCTCTACCTTTCAGTCTGCCAGTTTAACACAAGATCACTGAGCAATACAAAAGCATCAGAATGGCGCATTGCACAAACAAGTATAGAGCATAAAGAGGAAGTACCGTATAGTAAACTGTATTGCAAACTGGAAGACTGCCATCGCCAAATATTATTCATCAACACGTATGAGTTGTGCCAGATTCCATGACTTTTTCCTTGAAAATTCAATTTTCTATTTCTCCCTGTAAAATAACAAAATTCCATGACTAGCCATGACTTACATGTGTATGACGATAGTTTTAAATTCCAGGAATTTCCAGGTTTTTTCCTTGATTGTGGGAAGTGGGAACCCTGATTGGTACAATTTTTAGTGACATTTCTGTAGTTTTGTACTGTGTTTTCCATACTGAGTCAAAACATGTTGGCTCAAATGATTAAAGTTGTGATGAAGGGGTGGAAAAAGGCAACAACAAAAAAAGCTTCGCCTTTGCTGATTGCTGACATTCTACAAGTTTTCTCACATGGAAAATTATGACATTGCTTTTTGTTTTGAAATTAATGTTCTGTCAGCATGACAAAACCAAAAAGACCTTCTGAAAGAAAATGACAACGATTCTCACTGGCAACAAAAAATACTGACGTAGCAATAACTTGCTACAAGTCTAGTGAAAACAAACTTGTAACGACTTTTTAACTTCTCTTTTTTCAATGAAATTTGAGGTTATTTTTTTTTTTACAACTTTTAGACCACAACTATTGAGAAGAAATTTTGGCTGGGCAAATTTGCAAAAAATTAATGAAACTTAGTGAAATTTGGGTAATTTTTAATTTTTGTTTACTAATTCTGGGACAATGGATCAACTTGACTGAATTTTTCTCTTTCATCAAATTTAATCTAGTTCAATTGAAGCAGAGCAACTTCTTTTCGTACCTCCGTGTTGATGGGAAATCCTCCAGTCTTCAGTTTGGAGAACAGCAGTTTGCCGTTCAGGGTCACTTCAAACGAAGCTGTCAAAATGTGTAAAGGGTGCAGGACAAACATCAAAGTATTGTGCATAACCAATATTGTAAAACAGAACTACAATAGACATTTTCATGGTATCAGAAATGTGCAGTAATGGTACAGTTGCACTATGGGATGGTTCGGGCTCACAAGATAGGGACGGTGCAAACTTTCCCATGATGCGTTCCCATTTCAATAGTCGTGACTAGTCATGGCAGAATGACTAGTCAACTATTTAGAAATTGATAGTTGTGACTACCAATGCTTTTTAGTATTGGTATCTAGTTGACTAGTCACACTAGTCGTACACAGCTAGTGGTACAGGGACTAACATGTTAAAGCTATAGTCCACCATTTGCAGTTATCCGAAAGTAACTGGCGTAATTATTGTTGTAAAACATTCTTGGTTGAAAGATAGTAAGGGAACTAAACTCCCTGTGAAATTATTCTTTCTAGCAAGCTGTCATTTTGAAGTAATCAATGAAAGAAGGCCTTTCAAACGGTGCATCTTAAGAAGCACCGTAGGAATTTCAAATTAGTACATCATTTTGTTATTCGGCGAAACGCACGCAAGCATTAGCACAACATACACGCACGCGGTTGGTTGCTATAATTCGTTGGATCAATGCGCGACATCGCGTAGCTGCAATCGGCTCAGTGAGAACGTGTCTCACACGCTGAATTCAGGCCCAATTCAAAACATGATTCAGCAAATTTTGATTTGAAATTGAGATCCTAGAATGCTGTTTTTCTCGGAATATACAGCTGAAGCTGAGCTGAAACTTCATGAGGTTAGTTGTTCAGCACCCTTCTTTAGATTTTGAGCACTTTTGTTGCTTCAAACAACAAAATGCACAAATCACAAACGATGGACTATATCTTAAAAGGTTTGAAGTTTACTTTACAAACTGGGGTAACATACATGTAGGTGTTTGGGCGGGTGTTATAACCAAGATGCTGGCTGTGCATGTTTGTCGGGTTTAATATTTTGATGAAGTTCCAACTCTGTGAAACTGCTACAACTTTTTAGTTGTTCTCAACTTATGTACATTTTTTTTTATGCACAATCACAAAATGTGTTGTCCACTGGTCAGCGCACTAATTAATAAGTCCTTTGCAAAAGTTTATTCCTTGCCATGAATCGTGATACAGAATGCTTGTATTATGACGTGGTATTCTCGTATCACAAATATTGTGTGCCACAATAAATTATTGCAGCAATATTAAAGCGCCCCCTTGGTCCACTTACTACTCCTGCCGACCCTGCCATCCACTGCCACTCCAGGAACTCCAGACTTTATGTCATTATGGAGATCCATGAAGCGGGGATAGTAACCTCATCCACCGCTGTAGACAAAAAAGAAAGAAAGATAAAATTCAATCAAAAATTATACATGGTCCAATTTCATGAGTTTGCTGATCACACAGGAGTTGATTAATTCAGCTTCGTCATCACAGTGGTCAAAATCAGGCAAGAGACTGTTTTCGATTGTTCAGAATTCCCTTGGCACATGTATATATATACTAGACCAAGTAACCGGGGCACGACCAAATTGGACAACATCTAGCGCCCCAGTTATTACTGGGTCTATGTAGCCATGCTTTGACTGGTGGTGATTGATATGCCAGCTGTATATAGTCGTGTTCCCTAACGTGGCGCACTTCGAAGCTTACCCAACTTTCCTCGTGTACTGTTGCCAAACCTCTTTGTTGACAAACCTCAAATTCATGCAGAGAAATAATGGTACTTTTACCTTATTAATGCTTGCTATTTAACCTCTGTGAACAATTTCGGTTTCATAAAATTTAAGCCGAAATTAAAAAACGGTGGCGTCCGGAAATTGGGCACAAATTGGCGGAGTGTTCCCTAATGTGGCGCACACAAATAAATCTCGGAAAATTCCAAATTAACATTTAAGAATTTCTGTAAACTTGATAAATTCTGATAAATCATTATTATCTCTACTTACATACCCAGCCAGATGTTTGTCAGAAAATTATTTTCTTATTTTTCGGGGCATTTTCAAAGGGTTCACTTTGCACTTGAAAATAAAATCAGAAAATCACGCCAAAATAAATTTTTCTTTTAACTTTGTAGCGGGTAAATAAACTCGCGATTTATGAACGGGAGTGTTTAGAACTTGATGAAATTTCACTTTCTGTGAAATTTCAGTTAAAAGTTTTGCTCTAGCTAGGCGCTACAGGCGAAAAAACAAAGTGCGCCACGTTAGGGGCCGCGCCACGTTAGGGTACATCAACAATACCTACCAGCTACCTCTTTTGTCTGTTGATGGAATTTTTCTAGTCACACAAAGTCAAATTAGGTTTTGCCTTCACCGACGTATAAACACTGTATACTCAGTGTGTTATCTCCCGAGTGAGAGTTGGAAAAAATCACTCGGGTGGGACTTGAACCCACGACCGCCTACTTTCTAGTACAGACGTCTTACCACTCGACCACCAAGCTAAAGGGATTGGTTGGTGTGAATAACACAACACTGGCATGCATGTCTCAGCCATTCCACTCCTTCAAATCAAATGTCAATGACAATGAACTATTATGATCTGACAAGGACAAACGGAAGCATGGAGTAACGAAACACACAACTCACATTGTAATTTTACTTTGAAAAACCCTGTAATTTCAATGCGTTATAGCGTGTTACGATGTAGTGTGTGCAAACTGTAATTATATTTGTGTGAATAAAAAAAGTAAAGGAAAAAATGTTGCAACCTGACGCCACTTCAGCGGTTGTGTACAAAGTCTATGGAGAGTCAGGAAAATTTTCTAAGTATTTCCTAACAAAATTGGAAATGTTTCTCAGTCCCAGATAATTTTACAATGGCTGACCTTCACTGAGATGATATACATGTATGAAGAAAACAGTGGCGTCAGGTTGCAACATTTTTTCCTTACATTCATTCATGTAACACCAACATTTTCCTATATTATCATAACTAAACGGGCACTAGGTCCTGAAATCCCCGAAAAATTTCACGTTTTGGATTGTTTACTTAGCTAAGCTTAGCCTATTTCAAACATCTGCTGGTTGAAAGGAAACCAACCTATCTTACCGTTCCCAAGAAAAGAGGAAAAATCCCCGGTTGTTTACATCGGACACGACGGAGTATGAATACGGTTTTCGTGTCGTTCTTAGTGTACGATATACATGTTGTGTGTCTCAGGAACAGCGGTGACCAATCACCAATGCAAAAAAATGTGGTTTCTTCAAAAGGTGAACACATCACCAATGAAATCACAACTACTAGCATCCAAACAGCTCGGATTTTAATATGGGGTCGCAAAAGTGGACCCCGAAATTTGTTCTCACACGCATAATAGCCTACACGAATAACAAAAAAAACCCCGCCCAGTTTTTAAAGGATAGTTGTGTGGATGTTTATATCCTAGTTTTAAATGTTCTTTTCCGAATATAAACGCCATCTCGTTCAAATCGCGTTTTGTAGCCCAATTGGATTACTAGACTAGGACCGCACCCGGCGTCCGGCGCGCAGCAAGACCGCGGCCACACTTGACACTAGTGCCCTAGCAATAACATGCTTAAGCAGCTGTTAAGTGGGGCTAAACTTAATGGCCTTTCCCTCCAATCAAACTGCCAGGAAGCCACACTTTGACATTCTACTTACCAGTATTCAATCTCCACTTTTCTGGTTGCCATTATGACTTGGTCGGTGGAAAACGCTCAAATATTCGTCGAACTGGTGGAAATATTTCTCAGTTCCCACTCGTACCGGTACGTGATCGTACGTAAACTCGACTCGTATCAACAGATGGTAGAGGGCGCTCTTCTGAACTACAAAGTGTTCAAGTCATGGTCAAACTTCGCTCGTACCCCTGTTTGCAGGGCGGGGGGTACGGGGGTACGAGTGAAAAGTCAAACTTGCCATCTGTGGATGTGGCGTCGTCCTCTCAGTCTTGAACAGAAGTTTATGTCAAACTGACAAGAAAAAGTCCAACTTTTGGCTTCACATTACAGACTTCACAATCTGTCAGATTGATAAAAAATCTGCCAAATTCCCCAGAATTACTATACACTACATTTGTATAAACACTTAAAATCAAATACAGATGTTACAAGGACGGTGTTTTTTTTTTTACATTGGCTGGATTTAAATTTGTCTAGCCTTATTTTATTTACCGTTCAGTAGTAAACCTTTATCGCACCAGCCACCCCGTTTCTTGTCATCGGACTTATCATGGGCACACAAATGAGAAGTGTATACTGGACCGCAGTTTCTTTACAAACAAAAATAACATTTTCCCCCCTTCATTTATGGTACAGGCCTATTTTTTTGACTCATGCATGCTAACGCAATCATCCGATTGTGGACCTCAAAACCCCAAATTTCCTTCAAGCCCGTCGTCTTTCTTAACAAACAAGATAAATTTCAATTTTCAAATCACAATTAAAAACTTGTATTTACATCACATTGCGGCGGTACGGTATGCGTCACATGCACAAAATTCACAATAAAAACGGTCACAATGATAATTCAAACTACAATGTATAGTTCAGTTTTATCGCCAAAACTTTATTTATTATTCGGTCCTAAAAAAGAACGAACACAATAATCAAAATACCATTTCAATTCCACCTTGTGTACCACCTTTCACAAACATGATGTTCCAGAAGTATTCATCGGGGTTGGAGATTGGACATGAGCGACACATCCATTTGAAACCATCCCGTCATTCGCTGGCTGATGTTATGTCATGTGGTAGGTGGTGCAGTCAGTATAGAAATGAACGGACGATGGGAAACAAATCATTAACATAAATTCAATAAAAATGTGGCACAAAACGTCACTGATCGACAGCGATGGTTGCATTGTTAAGTTTGTAGAGCGCCCTTGCACAATTGTATTTCTTTTTTTTACTTTCTCGCACTAACGTCTTGGGAATATTGTAGCTTGTAAATTATGCATGCATGTAAATATATCTTCGAATAGAAGGGGGTATCACTAGCGGTGGAGTACATGATCGTCAGGTTGTGGGTTCGATTTCCCAAGACGTTATATAGTGCGAGCACTCCGAGCAGGCAGGCTGGTTTCCAAGTTATCGATCACTAGCGTCTTGGGCCAAGACTGTATCACAGAGTGTGTCATTTGCAAATATTTCACTTTGTGTATTACAGCAAATTCGAGTGCCAGATGATGACGTCACAAAAATTTGTATTATCGTCTCAAAATAAACTGGAATAACGTGTGCTCCAATAAGTTAATTACAGTATTGAAAGTTGCCTGCTTGTTTGCGCTTTGTGCGTTTACATCATCATCAGGACCGTAAATTTTGGGTTGACATGGTGCCCCAAGGTCCTGATAGGGTTATTTGGAAAATTTATTTTTTATTAAAGTAGGTTACAGGTGCTTTTTGGTGCGGTGCTTGTAATCCGAGTCACGTCACCTTCGCCACTGTAGTCTTGGATAGCCAGAATGATCTGAAAGTATGGTAGAACGAAGTTGTGTCAGTTCTTTGCAACATCAAACTGTATATTCAGTTGAGCAAGTTGTTGAAAATAACTAAATTTGGATATAAGGACTAAAGGTTAATTACAAAGACATTTGCGAAAATACATGCGACTGACTCTATGATTATGAGAACAATTAACCAAACACGATTATGATTTCACTAAATGACGATCAGAAAGTGGCCCGTTAAGTTAACACTGTGCATGGTCCCTGCCAAAACCAATTTCTCTAAAAAGTCAAATAACATGGTATATACAAGCTTTAACTATTGCTTTTGATAGTCCTTCAAGGTATATCTCCACCCTGACAAGCCTCAAATCGCCCGCAAACGCTTGCTATCAACTCACCTCTTTTTTGATAGGGAAACCGCCAGAGCTCAACTTGGAAAACAAAAGATGGCCGTTGAGAGTTATCTCGAAGGATGCTGAATTTACAAAGTGGAGAAGTGCGAAATGTATGATAAAAAAAGTCACGAATAAAGCATACTTGTGGAATGTTACAACGTAATGCGCCTACCAAATGTCCCCCCCCCCCCAGCTGCCCCAGGTCCGATGTCGGGATTTGGTCACGTTTTTCATGCCCCGGGGTGGGGATTTTACATTAACATTGCCGTATTGCATGGAAAGGCAATCACTAAAGTGCCCCACGTATGTATGTCGGGGCATGGTCGGGAATTGTCACTTAAATTTTGCCCGAGGGGTGGGGATGTTGTCACTTCAAAAGTGACAATCCCCACGTCTTGGGTGGGGCAGCCCGGGGGGGGGGGGGGGGGGGAGAGGGGGGGGGGGAAACAATAATAATTATGCGCATAAATTCAGCCACGTTTTCTTGGATAATTACGCCTAAATGCATCGGTGGAGTTCTGTTACATTTTTTGGCGCGGACAAACGGAAAAAAGCAATTTACGCAAAATGACAAAAAACACGCAGAAATCATAGTTGGATTAACATAATATTTCTTTTGGAATATGATAAATATCCCCTTTCATGTCTATGAATGTGACATGAAATTCGACGCTTGGAGCAACTGCCACAATTAAAGCAGTCCCATTGTCGTGCACATTTTGGTAAAAAAAAGCAGGTTTTGCAATCAAAGCCAGCTACTCAGTTTGGCCCACATCATTTCATTCATTGATTCACGGGAGGAAAGTGAGCGTCGTGGTACCAAGGAGTAAGGAAAAGTGGCATCAACTGTAACGGCTCAACTCCAGCAAACTTACTTTTTTGGCCAACTTTGCCTTCCACAGACGCTTCAGGGAGGGCTGCATGGATGGCGTCCATCAGCCCTTTGAAGCGTTTCTCGTACCCTCATCCGCTGCTGTGAAGGGCAAAACAAACCAAAAGAAAACTGACGAATAAAGTAGTTGCCAGTAAGTTCCAGGAACATGGTCATTCTTGGAATATAGACCACATTTGGCGGCATTTCTTTTTAAAACAAAACCGTTCACGGTTGTTGAACCAAAACTGCAGTGTCGCACGACATCCTAAAGCGTGCTCAGATTTGTGAATTGATCATCTCAAGGCACCTAAATTAATATACATATTAAATTCAATGTGGCTCAATAAACAAATACATTGTACATGTACTCGGGTAAGCGTTCCAAGAATATTTCCAAATAGGAAGGAAAACAATAAACTGATCAGTAGAGGTTGTTTGCGAATCATAAAAGATGCATGTATTTTGTATTTTTACTTTGAAATTTTTAAAACTACTTAAATGTTGACATTGAAGAGACGAAGTTTGAAAGATCAATCACTTTTAAAAGCAATTCCTCTCAGTCAAAGTGAGAAAAACCTTGATATGAACTCACCAATACTCAACCTGAATTTGTAGTTTCGGCGCCATGTTGAAGCCACTGGTGCTAAATTTGCCAAGTTGATTTTTGTCCGAAGTGAAGCTTAACCAGTTTACTTGTCAAATGTCGCGAATACAGATAACTTTTACAATGATAAACAGTGTCAAGTTTACATAGCTAATCGGTATCTATTTATGATTTATTTTTACAAAAATCTTTTACTAAGCACTCAAGCAGAGAACCTTTGGATCTTAAAACCAAAGGTCACAAAATACGTTGAAGTACATGCATAATTACAGGCGAAGGGAACAAAAATAACCTTGCAAAGGCTACGACAGTCACAATGCTTATTAATATTAAAAATTACATCCATATACATTTAAATAAACTTCTTGGTCATTTTATTATTTATATAGATTTACCAAAAATAAAATCAGTATATAAAAAAATATCGGTTAAAATTTATTTCATAAAATTAAAAATAAAATCGATTTATAATTCACATATAATAATCCCAATCTTTTTAAAAACATTAAAAAAAAATTCATTTGGTTGATGTTAAAAGTTGATTTTCTTTTTCAGAAAAACACAAGAATTTACAAAAATGCAAATTAAATTCCTTCGAAACATAAGCCAGAGATAAAAAAGCCAATGATACTAAATAAATACCACTCATTAATGAATTTGTAATTCCACATCATTTAAGAAACCAAGATGCAAGAAGATAATAACTTTATTAATGGTATAAGCAGCTAGATTTGTTTTAGCTGTATCTGTTGCCACGTTTCCAAATTTGAAAAAGCATGTTTGCCCACAATAGTTTTGTTATTCCATGCGAAATCTAAAGGAACTTTTATCATTTTGTTCAATTATTCCAATCTATAGAGCAAGATTAACCTTTAGTATATCTTCAAAAAATTGACCTTCCGAAAATAGTGGAAGAGTAAACACTATACATGTACAGTTAATGCACAATAATATTCGTGACCCGAGTCTGCTGCTGTTTATTGTGAGGCGCTGTGATCTTTGTAGAGCGCCATGCAAATGCTTGGTATTATTATTATTATTACCCTGCTTGATGTAGGAAAGCAATCACGTAATAGTCTGCATTTCTAAAAAAAATATATGCCAGCAATTGGTTGAATTGAAAAGTAGTATTATGAGAGGTTTGGAAGAACTAGCCAACCTACATCATTTTAATATTTCTGGTATAACTGTTCTCATCATTAAAAACCAAAGAAATGATGTCATGATAACTCAAGCTTATTAAAATAACCATATTATCTTTTGTTTATTTAAAAAATCTTATTTCCATGTAGGCCTAGTAAATGCTCAAAGGATTATGCTCAAAGGATTTGCCTTTGAGAAATGTCTTGCTTAAGACTGAAAATATCCAGTCAGTTTGCTTAAATCACATGCAATGACTTCCCAACAGAAAAGCAAAATTCATTATGGGATCATAGGCATCAATACACGGTTCTAAAGTTCTGTCCACGGATCACAAAAAAGGCAAGTGTTCTTTCAGCAAAACGAAAACAATGAGAATTGTTTTTGTAGACCTTTGTTCTTCCTGTTGGAATCTGTTGACTCATCAGTAATTTTTTCACCTATAATTTTGCCTGTGGTAATGATTCTATGTCTTTGTTAGTGCTATCTTCATAAAACTGTAGTTGACATTGACCAATGACCTTTGACCCTTTGGTCAGCTCGACCCAGATGGTATGGCGGCATTCTTCGTCTTCCCAACAGGAGATGGTCACTTCTTCCCCAACAATGGCTTCATTCAAATATCTAACCCACACCTTTTTAGCATTGTAGAATGATATGTCTGTTTTGAAGGCCGACAGAGAGCCTGCAATGGCGGCCAAGCTGATGCAGTCCAGACTGAACAAAAGGTACCCAGCCTGATTGAAGTGCTTATTTGCATCAGTGTCGCTTGCCATCACAGCTCTACGGTGGGTGAAATGTTGAGATGGTCGCCTCGGAAAGGTAGGGTCGGGCAAAGGACGTTTGCCATCACGGGGTTGTATCACAGCCTGGGAAGTTTCTCGGGGGATGGCAATCGGTCGACGCGTCTCCTTAGATACGACCACTGCATGGTAACTGCTTCGTTCCAAAAGTTCATTGGTGAGAAGATCAAAGAGTTCCTCATCTATGCAGTAAGAGGTCTTCCCAATGTAGCTGCAACTGGAGACAATTCTGACTGGCCGATTTGCACTCAGTTTGGAGTAAAACGCTGGAAATATCTCTATAGTCTGAGAGCGGACGAAGAGAAGGTACTGCTCATTGTATTTGGCCTCTGGACCATGCTTCCCTCTTTGATGCCTGGACCCTTCTAAAAGTTTCAAAAGCTGCCACACTGCCAGTTTACCTGAGTGTGAGACATAACCAGAACTGATTCAGGGCAAATCAGTAACTTGAATCATCAGTATGTTATTTCCCTTCAATCAGATTTTCAATATCTACATGTCAACATTCTGAAAAAAATAGTGAACAGATAAAAGATTCATCATTCTGAAAACAGTTTGCAGAGAAAATAAAAAAGATGATGCATGTGGCCGTGGGAGGGGAAACTACTTGTTCAAAACAGGTAAAATAATAATTTTTGAGGTGTGTTGACTGTCAGCTAGATTCCCCAAAGAGTAACTATAGGCCTACGGTCCCAACAAAGATCTCGGAAAAGTCCAAGTTAGCAACTTTATTTTGCGAAAATCAAGGTGCGGTCCTCTTTTCCCCACTGACCGGCAAATTTCATGATGCAAAACATTCAAGTCTGTAACTTCTGTAGGCCTATATAAAATTCTTGTCAACATCTGAATACCTGTTTTGACAAATCCATCGAATGGCAACTCATCAGAAGTGTAGTAACATCGATCATCCTGACATGCAAACTTCATTGTAGGCCTATACTGGCAAAGATTTACCCAAATATTATGTTATCGTAGGACCTCAAGTCGATCACAAACATAGAAGCTAGCACTATGCTTGAAGTTCCTCATTCGAACACTATTTTTGTTGCAATACAACTACAAGTATAGTAAAGGACGTGCAGTAGTACCAAGTACTATGTACATGCACGATAAGCTCGATCAGACCATGGTCAGACAATGAGCAACCTTAGACGAGGTCAAATCTCCTATGGAACGCCAAAGAGGCATTTAATGTGATCATCGAATCGGTGATGCACTTTTGCAATCGGTGATGCACTTTTGCAATTGGTGATGCATATTCACGATCGGTGATGGACTTCTGCGACCAGTGATCAACATTTACTGGTGATGCATATTCACGAGCGGTGATAGACTTTCGTGATCGGTGAAGGACTTCGCGATCGGTGGTGATGGACTTTCGCGATCGGTGGTGGACTTGCACGACCGGTGATCAAAATTGCAATCGGTGATGGACTTTTGCGACCGGTGACGTGACGACCGGTGAACCATCACCGATTGCAAAGTCCATCACCGATTGCAAAGTTGATCGCCGATCGTGCAAGTCCATCACAAGGGCGGATCCAGAACACAATTTTGGGAGGGGCCAAAAAAAAGTTTGGTCCCCCAAAAAAGTGGGTCAACAAAATTATGGCGTGGGTTCGGGGCCCGCTTAAGGGCCCCGAAATTTTTTTGGATTCTAGATGCTCTGTGGTGCGATCTGAGGCAATTTCTGACCACTTTAACCAATGTTTTTTTGAGGAAAAGATGGTGGTGCACTCATTGCCTGCCTTTATTGCGATGTCACATTAAAAAAAAAAAAAAAAATTGGTTTCGTTTTTTGGGGGGGGCCATGGCCCCCTTTGGCCCCCCCCCCTGGATCCGCCCTTGGTCCATCACCGATCGCGAAAATCCATGCATCACCAGTAAAAGTTAATCACCGGTCGCAGAAGTCCATCACCGATTGCAAAAGTGCATCACCGATTGCAAAAGTGCATCACCGATTCGATCATCACATTAAATGCCTCTTTGGCGTTCCATACAGACCTGCCAAGATCAGCGCACGTGGTGCCATGCCGGTGACCGTTGGTATAAACCGGTGTCACATGAAAATCCGACTCCTATGAAAATCGGACCCCTTTTCCCTATTATTGGTTAATCCCTCTCACGTGATCGGTCACTTTCCTAATTACCATACTTACGCATGCGCGTTATTACCAATGAGTCCGAATTTCATAGAAACGTACATTCACGCTACACCGGACCATGGAGCTCGGAGCCAGCTAGCTAGCTACGTAGCCACGGCTAAAAATAAACTTGATGGCCCTTTCTCAAAGCTCGGCTTAGTTTCCGGTTTGGCTTCACGATTACAATGTTCTGATCATCACTATAAAAAAAAATCCCACTTACTTCATATCTCAGTTATCGACGCGAAGGTTTACTTACCTACATCCAATGGCTTCAGACTTTAGTTGGCTTGCTTGAATACAGTTCTTATCATTTTTTTTATCAAGTAGTTTCAGATTGATGAGAATTGCTTAAATCAAGTTTATTTAAAAATACAGTTGTTACAGTTGTTATCCAATGACTGCCCCCCTCAAGCCCCGCCACCCCCCGCATGTACTCCCCCCCCCCGGCCGCGCCCCAACCCAATTTTTTTATTCGCTTGTTCCTGCAGGTTAAAAAAAAACCTTGGCCTGCTAACATATACATCTCACGCTTGGCGCGCGGCCGGGGGACCCTAAAAAATACAAGCCACTTGTTTACCATGTAAAAACTGAACATGATTTTAAAACTGCAGAACAAACCGATTTTAGCAGAAAATACTTTACTAAGTTTTGTTTGTCTCAGATTTTGCGCGTTCCGCGTCCATTTGTATATCATGTAATTGGACAATATTTCACAAGCTGCGTTGACGCGATTTTAACGTGATTCTATCGCGATAGGTCAATTTCCAACAATGTGTCTTTAGACGCACGTTGGGAAGGCATTCCGTTTCGTTGATTTCTTCAAAATGACGGCACCCTAGAAAGAATAATTTCACAGGGAGTTTAGTCCCCGTATTTTCTTTCAACCAAGTATGCCTTTCTACAAGAATTACGTCAAATTAGGTTTTGCCCTTTACCGACGTAAAAACACTGTACATGTATGCTCAGTGTGTTACCTCCAATGTGAAAGTTGGAAACAAATCACTCGGGTGGGACTCAAACCCACGACCTCCTGCTTTTCTAGTGCAGATGTCTTACCACTCGATCACCGAGCTAACGGGATCAGTTGGCTGGTTAAAATCTCATGTACATAGCAGAGGGGACCGCATTAACTATTCTTCAGATGGGAATTTTGCGTCCGGGTGATGTAAATCAAATTAGGTTTTGCCGATAAACACTGTATACTCAGTGTGCTACCTCCCGAGTGAAAGTTGGATAATAATCACTCGGGTGGGACTCGAACCCTCGACCTCCTGCTTTCTAGTGCAAATGTTTTACCACTCGACCACTGAGCATTAAGTATTCTTCAGATGGAATTTTGCGTCGGGGTGATGTAAATCGAATTAGGTTTTGCCCTTCCATCTGAAGAATAATTACGTCAGTTACTTTTTGGAAAGCTGCAAATGATGGACTGTAGCTTTATGTGGGGTCAGGGAACAAGAGTACAAGAACATGACTGTTTTTCTTGGTTTTTCCAGCATCTACGAACACAAAACTTCAAACAAGTGCAACCATATTGCTATAACATACTAGCCCCAAATCCATCCATTTCCGAAAATTACAACGCAAGCAAATGTTGTATACATTGTATACATGTACATGTTTCCCTTTAGCATACGGAATCCAAGGGATGGCAGACGTTTGCTCATTTTTGACGAAGTAGTACGTAGTCAAAACTTTAATATGTATCTGAATTCATGGTTTTCTTCTTGTGCCAACGCTGGCCTATTGGAGGGGGGGGGGGTATGCTCTTTAACAGAACATAACAAAACCTCTAGAGACACTTTGAAATACTTGTTTTTTCAATATCATATTTTCATTAAATCTATCTCAATCAATTACATGTAAATGCATAACTGAAATGCACAACTGGATTTTACAAGAGTGAGAAAGGATCCTAGTAATTAATTCACTCAAGGGTTTTTCCTTTTCAAGTCTTGATAAATAACTGAAATATATAACAGGTACATGTACCTCAAAGTTATAACATCTTCTATGTATAGTCATCATTATTTCTAGAGTTTATAACAATTTGTAGATTATTTCCCTATTCATATTTTGCAAGCTTTAAGCATCATTTGCCAGCTGCAGCCAGCTATATAATACGGAATTTCAAAAAATGTACAATATTAAAAAAAAAATGCAAACAAATAAAACAAATTCGAAATTGCAATACCCCTGTATTTTCTGACCAAAACTGCAACCAGGGATGTATTTAAATCCTCACGAGTCTTTGCAAGTCCATCACAAGTCCTTCATATAAGTTTTGACAAAGTCATTCATCCACTATTCCTTATGACCGTACTTGTGAATTGTCCCGACTCCTTGTGATTTACTTGTAAAATTCTCCATGTACTTGCGATGGACTCGACTACATCCCTGACTAGACCATGGGCTTTCGCTTGAGTTGAGGGCTGGCATTAGGAGTGGGGTGTGAGTCTCCCTTTTGGGGTTTTTTTTTTGGTAAGCAAACTTGTGTGACTGTGAGCATATATGCTGTCATGAGTATAGCGCCACCTACTGGCAGATTGTTCCAGACTTCCAGGGAAAAGTGTGTAGTTTCATTCCTGCGCGATTGGTTCTTCAGAAATTTCATGACCACACCCCGAAAACCTCACCTTATAAACTTGTTTTCATCAACTTCACATTTGAGTATTTTTCTTCCCAGTTTGGCATGCAGTGAGTTGTGTTCTTTAGCACAATGGCCTCTTGAAATTTGTAAGAAGGCAACAGACTGTCCACAGTTGATTAATTGAACATGCAAGACTGAATGGAATCACACCATCAAATATGTGGAATTCTTTCACTCTTCTGATGACATGTTCAACATGCGTTCGCAATCTTTCGACATTGGGTCTAGAAGTGACTTCAGGTACAAATCCACTTGTTTCTTGCCGCGGATACGGTAGGAAGACAAGGGTGCACCCTATTTCTTGCAACATGTCACCAATAGGGAAACCTGTATCGAACATAACCTGGTCCCCTTTCTCCAGCAGCTTAAGTATGCCAGACTGCTCAGTGAGTTCCTTGTCTGACAGACCGCTGGAGTGGAGATGACTGACAAAGGAAACGGCACCTGATGGCGTTACTCCCACGAGTCCCTTGAAGGTGGTGTGACATCTGTCACTTGGGTACGGCTCAGAGTGCTGAGCACTGAAATTAGGCCTTGGGTTTTGAACTTTCACCTCAGAGCAATCTAAGATGACCCTCATTTTTGGATGTATGGTCTTGACGCATTCAGGCATACTTTGCCCAACGACATTCCGGGATGGCCAGATCGCAAGTGATCCCAGAACAAAATGCAAATATTTTGTCCAGTGGATGAGGACTCTATTCACTGTCGCCCGGGAAACATGGAATCTTACGGCCAAATCTTGCTGAAGGAGCCCCACCTTGACTCGGCACAGGAACAGAAAAAACTGGTTCAAGAGTGTCAAGTCTTCGCTGCAGAAGAAATTCTCTTGACGGTCACCTTCAAGTTGAATAACTTTCCCCCATCCTATCATTTTCTCACAGGTTGGCTCGATGCTCATGTAAACAGCCTGGAAAGTTTGATAGTCAGTAAAGCCTGTGTAAAACATCACCAACTGCGGGTCTGCTGAGATGCTTCCTATGCCAAACCTCTCTATCTGCTGCTTTCCTAACGCATCCTCGAGATGGTGAATTGTCTGGTGAGCATCCTCCAATTTATGCCGAAGTGTTTGAAGGCTATGGTGCATTGCTTGAAGGCTATGGTGCATTACTTGAGCATTGAGAGATTTATACCTAGCCACTGATGTCCCAGCATCCTCAAATCTGCAATGAAATAGCAGTAACTGATTACATGCATGCGTCTATAAATCTACGTTAGTCCTATGTTGTTTGAGGCAGATGCTTATAAAGCCTAAGTGAGACATGGTGATGCCACTATACCTTGCTTGGTCTGTTTGTTTCAGACTTAAATAAAAAAAATGGAGAACGAAATGCTACATTGGCAAAATGGATAGTACTGCTCTTCAAGTTGGTACACGTACCATCTACGATGTCTAATGTAGAGTATACAACTTGCAAGATCAGCAGTCAGTCGCATTCCCATAATCACTTAATCACGCAAGAACAGTTTGTGTGATTGGTCCATTTCACAGGTTGCATTTCTGCACGATCAACCAATCTCCCAAAACTGGTTTTACTGCTAGCCTTCGTCAAGGTGTTTTCAACGATAGTGTATGATAATTGATGATCTACTGCTAATATAATACAGTAGCCATGTGCAATGCACTTAAGTGCATTTTTGGGTCGGGTCGGTTAAGCCATTTTGGAAAAACAAAACAGAACCGAAACAGAATGGAAATTCACATGGTGCACTATTTAGTGCAGAGTCAATGTGCGCATTGCAAGTAAAATTGGTTTGCAGTCGGTCTTATCAGAAGGTAACGTTTGAGTGCCGCACGGCATGATTCAGTTACTGAAAGCCGACATTTTCTTACGCGAAGTGGGTCAGTTCAGGCGCAAAAAGCGGACACGTACATTTGCCGCAGCCAGATACATTGTATTCAGGGTTTTTTGGGGTCGGTTCGGGTCGGTTTTCTTTGAATTGTTGTCGGGTCGGGTCGGTTTTAGGTAGTCCGGTTTGGTTTCGGTTCAGATTTGGTTTGTAAATAAATGTCTCTGGCCTCGTCAACCCGACCCGATGCACATTACTAATTTGGAATGGTCTGTGCACAAGTACCCCCTTCAAGGTATAGTCCATCATTTGTAATTTGTGCATTTTGTTTGTTTGAAGCAACAAAAGTGCTCAATATCTGAAGAAGGATGCTGAACAACCAATCTGATAAAGTTTCAGCTCAGCTTCAGCTGCATTTTTTGAGAAAAACAACATTCTAGGATCTTGATTTCAAATCAAAAGTTGCTGAATCATGTTTTGAATTGGGCCTGAATCCAGCGTCCGAGATACGTTCTCACTGAGCCGATTGCAGCTACACGATTTCGCGCACTGATCTGACGAATTATAGCAACCGTACGCACGTGTGCATCGTGCCAATGCTTGCGTGCGCTTCGCCGAATGACAAAACAAACTACTAATTTGAATTTCCTACGGCGCTTCTTAAGACGTACCGTTGGAAAGGCCTTCTTTCGTTGATTTCTTCAAAATGACAGCTTGCCAGAAAGAATAATTTCACAGGGAGTTTAGTCCCCTTACTATCTTTCAACCAAGTATGTTTTTCAACAATAATTACGTCAGTTACTTTTTGGATAGCTGCAAATGATGGACTCTGGCTTTAAAGTTTACAAAGGGAGAGTTGGGGAGAGACCACTGGAAGGGATATGCTAGCTTTATCAATGGCTCACATGATGTTGGCAGCCGAAATCAGGGGACATTCGGCATTCCCATTTATGCTTCTGCGTGGAGAGAGGCAATAACAGTCAAGTGTTTTGCCCAAGGGCACAAACACCATGTTGCTGGTAGGGGTCGAACTTTGACTTCGAACCCACGCACCATCATTCATGAGTCCTCAATAGACCATGGCAATTCCTCTGAATAAACCTTGCCATGTTTCAATGTTATGCTGTTCCTGTTTTTATCAAATAATTTACCTCAGTGTCCCATTCAGGACTGAAGGTCTTCTATTTAGAGAATGTGGTCTTTCTTTGATTCCTGCAGTCCACTTGAAAATGCTTGGCACAGCTCCCTTCTTCAGTTTTCTCTTTGTTCCGAAGACTCTCACAAATTCTCCAGGCTTGAAATGGGCTGAGCACACTTTGGTTTCATATTTAATCTAAAACAAAAGGTGCCAACAAATACTACAATTAGGAGAGGAAAGTGATCTTGCATGTAATTTTGTTTAAAAAGAACAAATTCCGTCTGCCAAAATTAATTCCGCATTCATAAATACCAAAGACAGTATATCCATTCCTTTTGGTTGAGAGCCCGTCACGTGGCTTGTTTTGAATGGTTGATAAAGACTGCCTGGCTGGTCTTAAACCTTTATTCAATGTCACATGAACTTTGGACTCCTATGAAATCTGGTGCCTTTTTAAGTAACCGTTTTATTGGTTGCACGTTCACGATGCTTACGTACATAGGCACGCGCAATATTAACAGTACCTTAAGTCAGTATTTCATAGTTTTACTTCACACTACACCAGCACAGCTGCGTTCTGCACCACAAGGGCAGTATGCGCGTCAATCTCCATATAAGGAGCTGTTTACGATATGGACATATACCATAATATAGCCAGAGGGGTGTTTCGAAAAACATGAAGTAAAGTTTTTGAACAAAACCATTGGAAATTTATAATTTTTGACTTGTTTGACTTTTGGACCGAAAAGTTTTGATTTTTGGACTGAAAAGGTATATATGAATAGGAATAAATATGTGCTTGGTCGGTATTAAACAAGATAAATGTGACTAGTCAACCAGAAGGTATAGATCTCTGGACCCATGTCCATATGACCCTTCTGCATAAACCAACACTCCATCTTTAGAGACCTCATCTTTCAAAAAGCGACTATCAACAATATCAGAAAAGTTGGAGGGCATGGAACAATATGTTCAAGGTTCACCTGTGCAATTACAGCTATTGGGCTAGAAATGGTAACATTTCTTCAAACCGCATCTCTAGGGACAGGGATGCAAGCAATACTTTGCCTGAAATTTGAGGTACAAAATGAAAAGTATACCAGTGTATCAATAATGTTACTTATTTCAATCAATTTGAAATAAGCCTGAAATCAGGCAATTGCAGGAGTGATCTTTATTATGTACCTGGAAGTTTGGACCAATGATGCGGTGAATCCTCGCTGCCCATACTTTTCTTAGGTTCTCATCGTCGGGAAACTTGTGAAACGAAAGTTTTTGCTCGGGATTGTGTTGCGAGCTGTTGGTACACTGAGGCACACAGCAGTAATAAAGATGCCTTTTCTTTTCCAAGCTGGTTTTCAGCTCAGCAGTTAGACGGTCTGGCTGTTTCAGCTCAGCAGTGGGACGGTCTGGTTGTTTCAGCTCAGCAGTTAGACGGTCTGGCTGGTTCAGCTCAGCAGTTGGACGGTCTGGCTGTTTCAGCCCAGCAGTTGGACGGTCTGGCTGTTTCAGCTCAGCAGTTCTACGGTCTGGTTGTTTCAGCTCAGCAGTGGGACGGTCTGGTTGTTTCAGCTCAGCAGTTGGACGGTCTGGTTGTTTCAGCTCAGCAGTGGGACGGTCTGGTTGTTTCAGCTCAGCAGTGGGACAGTCTGGTTGTTTCAGCTCAGCAGTTAGACGGTCTGGCTGTTTCAGCTTAGCAGTTGGACGGTCAGGCTGTTTCAGCTTAGCAGTTGGACGGTCAGGTTGTTTCAGATCAGCAGTTGGACGGTCTGCTTGTTTCACATTACTGTGGCAGAGACAGAGAGTTGGGACCCAATCAATGCTGGTTGTGTCCCAATCCTTGGCACTCTTTCCTGTATAGAATACAAACAAAAACCTACCATGATACATTCTGTGGTATTGTACCACAGAAGGACCGTTCATGACTGTATAGTAGGCCTTTATTACTTGAAGTCAAAGACACAGGGTCTGGAAATTGTGTTTTTTATAAAAAATAAAAACCAAAACAAAAGAATTGCCCCAAAAAATCCACACCAGAGAAGTACTGTCTTGATAATTTAAGAAAGGGAAGGACCACTGATTTATATTCAAAATTTCCATTTTAGGAGACGTGAAGAAAACAATTTTTCTTCTTTTTCATGTCTTGTAGAAGTTGTAGCAGTAGTGGATGTTAACACAATTTTTTGGTAAATTTTGCGACAGATATTAAAAAAATGAAAACTGGCCAAAACTGTACACTATGTTCGAAAGTGAGAATATTTCTCCAAAACTACCTGTTTTCCCACATGGGCCCACACTACATGTAGACCTATGTCTTTTCACAGTACATATTATGAATACACATGTGCTTCACAAACAAGGCACAGGGAATACTTGGGGGGGGGGGGGTGTCAAACTGGTAGGGGAGTCGGGAAACCTTAAGTAGTTGATGCTCAGCCGTGCATAAATAGGCCTAGATTATACATGTATAAAATATGACTTGAAGCTTTGCATGGTTGGTGAGACATGTTTGCGGGTGTGGAAAGTAATAACTTCTTGGCAGAAGTGTGGTTCTCACAAGAATCGGTTGGTTGAGTGTAGAACTCGACTTTTCGGACAGCGTGCTCTGTCCACCCTCACCCTCCTGAGGACATACGGAGAAAACTGTCTGAAACGTTGAGGAAGGTTTGTGTTCCTTTCTCCATGGCTCAACCAACCGGTTCTTTTCAGAACCACACATCTTCCAAGAAGAAATTACTTTCCAAGTAATTCTAGAATTAGAAGGCACCTTTGTTAACGAAAAGGTGCCTTTTATAATTCTAGAAGTAACTTTCCACATGGTGTTAACTTTTTAATTTAGGCCTAGATTATATTTCAATTTGAAATCCTCCGCACTGCTCCTGGCCTCTAGGATGCAGTGTTGGAGCAAAGGCTTTGACCCTCAAGGCCAAGGCCAAGGCCAAGGCTTTGAACCTCAAGGCCAAGGCCAAGGCCAAGGCTTTGACCCTCAAGCCTCGAGGCCAAGGCCAAGGCTTAACCCTCAAGGCCAAGGCCAAGGCCAAGGCCAAGGCCCTGTTTTATGAAATGACCACTGATATAGAACTAATTATAGTCACATGAGTGACACATCATCACGCAAGGGCGGATCCAGAACACAATTTGGGGGGGGGGGGGGAAAGAAATACAATTTGGGGGGGAAAAAGAAATTTTGGTCCCCCCAAAAAAAGTGGGTCAAAAAATTACGGCTTGAGCTTCGGGGCCCGCTTAAGGGCCCGAAACATTTTTGGATTCGAGATGCTCTGTGGTGCGATTTGAGGCAATTTCTGACCATTTTAAACGATGTTTTTTGAGGAAAAGATGGTGGTGTACTCATTGCCTGCCTTTATTACGACGTCACATTAAAAAAATGGTTTCGGTGTTTTTTTTTTGGGGGGGGGGGGGCGCATGGCCCCTTTTGGCCCCCCCTGGATCCGCCCTTATCATCACGAATTGCTTGTTACGAAGAACAACATTTCTTTAATTGCAATCAACATGCTCGCATAGGCCTACACCGTTTTATGACTGCACTGTATCTATTAAAGTATAAGTTCAGGTCTTCAATATGGTTTAACTAAACAAAATAATGATTTACTTCTATATTGACACACAATTCTCCAAAGTGTAACAAAAGGGGGATCCAAGAAACTGATTTGGGAAATATGTATTTGCTGGCCCAACATGGTCAGAAATATTAGCATTATCTAAAACAGATACATGCAAATCTTTAGCACTTATCAGGGAGACATATATACAACCAATCAGATCTATTCCATAGTTATATGCAATTAAAGTGATCATCTCATTAGCCCCACAAGTGTACGGAATATTTTTGCAGCAAATCTACTACAATGGTAACAAAATGTGATGCTACAAAAGTGGAAGTGTGCCCAACACATAAATCTATAGGGTGCTTCCCTCCTCCATGGTAATACGATTAAAATGGTAACAGCAAAATTTCGAACTGATTTATCTGGAAAATGCACAAATCTATGGGCCTTGAAGAGCCTTGACTCAAAATTGCAAGGCCCTGAACCCTCAAGGCCAAGGCCAAGGCTTTTGCCCTCAAGCCTCGAGGCCAAGGCCAAGGCCCTAAAATCCAGCCTTAAGGCAGCCTTAAGGCCAAGGCCCAGCATCAAGGCACTACATCACTGCTAGGATGTCACTGGCTCGGCATCAACAGTGATGACTGGAGGATTTTGCAGAATTGAGCATGTTGAGGCAGTGGTCACGTCACCCTTCCAATTGACCATTGCTTCCTCCATGATTCAACAAATAATGGATGATTTTGGAGGATTGAAGCTGTATGCAATCTGTACATCAGTACATGGAGGCAGTTGGACGATTTTGCTGGATTGATGTTGCATCATAGCTTAAAATCATGCCTTTGGCCTTAGGGAGTAATTAGGGTAAATAGAGCCGTGCACAGAAATTACATTCAAAATTTCCTTAAGTTTTAATTGTTTCCTGAATTTGTAATTATCGCTTGATATTTATGCGCCTATATGTCCCCCCAGTTAGAACTCCTTTTTTGACATTTGGGATGTGGTCTGTCGTACAACAGACCACATCCCAAATGTCAACAAAGGAGTTCTAGCGCCCCAGTTAGTGGGCCCATATCATGTCTATAGTATAATGGGACTAAAATTTACCACTGGCAAAATGCCGGGAACAGACTCTAGCATGCGTGTTGAAGTCTTTCTTGTCCGCACGGCCGATCGCAGAAATCCACAACCTGCGACGTTTCTCCGACAGCTCCCGCGCCTTGCTTCCTACGTGCACCTTCACCTTGGGAATTCGGAAGAATTTCAAGCCGTTGTCTCGAGCTCCACCACGCCGCTTTGATTGAGCTCCACAACCATAAACAACACAAAAAGCAGGCATTTTGTGCGCGAATTTAGTCAAACTACGGTGACAAAACGTTGGTAGTTTAACAGCATGCATGGACAATGATGGAGCATATAGACCAACGTTAACTTGTACACACACATAATACTGTAGCCATTATGAGCAAGGATATGTGTGGAAGACGTGTTCCTATTGAAATCTCAAACTCCACAGCGTTTCCCTTACACTAGATTTCTAAAGAATTCCTTGTGGGGTCTATTATGTTTTCTGCCCATGTGTACGTGTACACACAACATGCAAGCGGTAACGAATTTGCAGACTTCGGTTCCGTTCCAGGTTCGGCTCTATCTCTAGCCTCTGGAAGTCGAAAATAGAAATCTTGAAGTAAAAGATCGACCCTTAAATATAGGGGGCCTACAACCAAACCATGGCTTTCCTCACCATAAAGTTCAGTCGGAAAGGAGTTCTTAACGACACTCAAGTAAAAAAAAAAACCAACCACAGCATTAATAATTACACGAATAATAAAAAAAATAACATATGAATTCGGAACTGATGAACTGTGGCACAGTCGAGCTCAGGATTTTGGGTAGAGAATTAAAAACACCCAAGCTTTTTATTGTGAAACTCTGGAAGTGTCCGTTGATTAAAAAATTCCATGCAATCAATGAAAATCTCAATTTTGTCAGGCTATGCTTTGTCGGTAAATTTCATGCGAGTGGGTGCATGGAGGAAGTAGGAATGAGCTATTTGAAACACAGAACAAAAACTCTCTCGACAAGAAGTATTCTTTCAAAATATTCATTACATATTATATTCTAAAAAGAAATATATCCTGAATTAATGACCTTATAAATCAGGCCCCATCATTTCCCCCCCCCCCATAATTTTCACTTTTATTGATTTATGCAAACAAACCAAATTGAGATGAAAGTTCCATTGAAAGTTTCCAGCAAATGCCTAAGGCCAAGTAATAATCAAGACTCAGTATTCATGATATGACATATTAATACAAAAATACACAATCAAGTATTTTCATGATTATATTCCTGTATATAACATCTTAAATGATGGAAGTGCCTGTAATCACTAAATGTAGGTGGAGTTTTAAAGTAGCCATATTAATTTGCATCAAAATGAGATTTATATAAGACATGATAAACCCTAACCCAACAGGGTGTGTGAAAAAACCCTTAAATTTGAGGGTAAGAGGCAAAATTTCCCTGAGAAATGTCACACGTGTCTTATAAAAGTCATCCATCCATTGTACAAGAAAACAAAATTACAAAACAAATAATGTAACAATAAATATTAAAATAACTTGAAAGCTCAGCTTTGCAAAAGATCTACAGGCATATTGAAAAGACTGATCTCTTCATTCATGGTCACTAGTGGCCGACTATGGAGAAATACGATGCAGATTAAAGCGATTAAAATATTAACAAATTAATACAGGATACACATTTGTCACACATCCCTTAGCACTAATTTATCACTTATGAACTGGATTTGATACCTCTTTTTTAATCAATTTTAGCACAAAGGGAAACTGACTGGACCTGTGCATTATAAAAAAAAATTTAAAGATGAAAAAAGAAATTGACAGGAGCATGCAAAAACAAATATAAGATGAAAGCACCATTGAAAGTTTACTTTCCAGGAAACGCCCAAGGCCAAGCAATAATCAGGACTCAAGTGTTCCTGATACGACATATTAATACAAAAATACATGATCAAGTATTTTCATGATTATACTCCTTTGTATAACATCTTAAATGATGGAAGTGCCTGTAACACTAAAACTGTAGGTGAAGTTTTTAAAGTAGCTATATTTGTTGCATCAAAATGAGATTTATATAAGACATGATTAACCCTAACCCACCAGGGTGTGTCAAAAAAAACTTAAATTTGAGGGTAAGAGGTAAAATTTCCCTGAGGTGTCACACGTGTCATATAACATTCGTCCATCCATTGCACAAGAAAACAAATTACCCAAAAAATAATGTAACAATGAATATTAAAATAACTGGAAAGCTCAGTTTTGCAAAAGATCTACAGGCATATTGAATAGACTGACCTCTTCATTCATCGTCATTAGTCTGGTGGCTGACTATGGAGAAATACGACGCAGATTAAAGCGAATAAAATATTAACAAATTAATACAGGAAACACATTTGTCGAACATCCCTAAGCACTAATTTATCACTTATGTACTGGATTTGATACCTCTTATATAATCAAATTTAGCACAAAGGGAAACTGAATAGGTGCATTTTAATATTTTTTGTTTTTAAAGTTGAACAAAGAGATTGATGGGACGAGGCTTTGAACCTGCGACCTCCGGATTGCAGTTCCGGTGCTCAACTAACTGCGCTATCCAGCCCTACAATGGTGGTTCCCAGTTTGATCAATGTCTTTGTTCAGCTTCAAACCTGGGCAAATGATTTGCACACACACACAAAAATAACAATTGATGAAAGAAGTATTTTTGCTATTTCAAACACATGGTCCATAAATGTGAAAGAATTTTGGATGCCAAAGGTTGTTGAAAGGCATGTTTGGTATGACGAAATTGGCAGTATGGTTGAATTTTGTTTTACTTTTCCTCACCCCGCTGTTCAACTGGCATGAACGACTGAACTCACATGTGTAAAACCCATGCGAAATTATGTTTGCAGACTTTAAAAAAAATGAAAAATAAAAATAAAAAATGCTGAGTCATGCTAAAACACATGGAAATCCACAGAAACGCAGATATTTCACAAGCCTAGCAAATCACAGCTTTGAAATAGCTCGTGCTTCTTCACTTTTGGAGGTAGAATTGTTCAGTTCGTCATCATAGAACTGTATTTGGCACTGACCAATGACCTGAGATTCTTGGTAGATTTCAACCCAAACGGTTTGTTTCTGATCTCCATCCTCCCAACAGGATAGGGTCAGTTCCTCCCCAACTTCAGCCTCACGAACATACCGGACCCAGACGGTCTTGGCATCGGAGAAGATGATGTCGTGCACAAAGCTGGGTAACTTGCCCTCTAGTGCTGCCCCACTGGCGCAATCAAAACAGAAGCGAATAAAGACCGCCTGGTTCAGGTGCTCGTTGGCATCCGTGTCGCCTGGAAAAACCATCCTCTTCTGGGTGAAGCACGCAGAAGGTTGTGCCGGGAAATCAGGTCCAGACACTGGTCGCTTGTCTTCGGTTGGGATCACTTGGGACATCTGGGCCATCTCGGGTGGGATTGGGGTTGGGCGACGTGTTTCCATAGAAACAAACACCGAGTGAGTACTGCAAGTTGCCAACAGCTCGCCCGTGGTTAGATCGAAGGCGTTAGCGTCCACGCAGAATGAGGTTCTGCCAATGTGGCTTGTAAACGTGGTGAACTTTAAGGAGGAAGTCTGACTGAGAGAGTAAAAGGAAGGATACACTTTGAAATAATGTGAACGAACATACAAAACTGATAAGCCAAAGTCAATGTTTTGAGAGGTTATGCCCTGTGTGATGCGTGCGATGCGAACTCCTTCTAGTATCTTGGAGATCTTCCCGATGCTGATCTTCCCTGAAGGAAAGCATGAAAAAAGGGAAAAATAAAAGATCATTAGATAAAGTCTATCATACTGAAACCACAAAATGCAGCTTTTCTGTATTGTGAAACCCTCATGCACAAACATATGTAGCTGTAAGGGTCTAAGAGTTTTAAGGGTCTAATGGTTTTTCTTGCTGGGGCCAGCCTATAGGTTAATTCGCCGAACAAAATAAGAATGCATTTTTGAGGTCGTACCACGCTTTCACGCAAGCGCGCGTTGTGGTAACCCTATTGGTTGAAGGAACCCTGAGTGTGTGAGTACTACCTGAGCGCGACTCGCGCGAGCCTTGTGTGCTCTGGGACCAGCTCCACTAGAATTACCTTGTGTTGTACCAACTGAGCGTCTGTCTTCGGCAGTAAGATTTCTGTTCTTTTCTAGACACCACTCATGTCCAATGCAAGGTAAATTCCTTCTTACACTTGGCACATCATGGAATATCTCACTAAAAATGGGTTGAAATCACTGGAGGCTGTTTTTTTAATACCTTTTCTACTGCACATATTCCAAGTAAAATTGATCAACTGTGCTTTACAATATGAACAATAAAACTTCAAGTTATTTAAAATCCAATTAAAATACAGCAGATGTCTGTTTAAAGTACAATCAACTAATTCAACATACCCGCCTTGTCAAAGTCATCATAACGCAGGCCCCCTACGATACAATGGAAGAGTCCATCTGAGCCATACTCTCCCTGCATGGTGAGACAGGATGATGCTATAGGAATGCAGAGGAATAAGAAGCAGAAACCTTTATTAAAGTACAGACCATATACATGATCAAAGTTACTAAAAAAGTCCTACCCACTTCTCATGTGGGCAACATTGAGTGTGTCCGAGTAGCTCACCCGGATCGACTCCAGTAAAGGCAGACAGGTTAGCCACAACAGCCGGGCTAATCAAAGCTCACCTGCGGGCCATCACGATCCTCACGTGACACCCATAGCCGTGACCGTAGCCACTGACAAAACGCCCATTTCGGATTGGGTCTACGTTTGAGATTGACTGCTTTATAGTCGATTGCACAACTCAAAAACGATGGGCTGGAATTATTATACAGAATCAAAAGTCGCAATGAACTCAATAATGATCACCTTTAGACTTCAAATAAAGTTCATTTTTATGTCCACTTGAGATTTCCGCTGTCCGGAAGCCATATGTGTCTGTTTCTTGGAATGAATAACGCATGCGTGTGACGTATTTCCACCACTGACTCTGCTCCATGAGCAGGGTCAGTGGTGGCTGACCCCAATGAGCTTTGTCTTGCTGATAGCGCCCTCTACCGTTGATGCCTTTTGGCTGTGAGTGCGCCGCTATATACCAAATGCACGCAGACGAAAATAATCCAAAGCTGGTCTTTGGGCCAAGATTTCCGGGCATGTGGCATGCCGCGTGACTGACAGGTGAACGATCCATGTATCCCATCAGGTATTGCGCAAGAGCATTGTTCAGTTAGAACAAGGTTGCAATTGAGTTACACATAAACGGATGCCAAGAAGCCTCCAAAAGGAGCTGGAAATGACACAAAAACTGGAGAGTTGAAAACTTGCGCATATTTTTTATCTGTTATTAACAAGGTGAGTTTTTTTTAAAGCAAAAATCAACAATGCTCGCAGTCTAAATGTGAAAATAAATTTGGTAACAAGTGCTAACGTTGTGAGTAATTCTATATAGTGTGGCCTTTATTTATGCAGGTACATGTAGTCCAAATAGGTCACATTTATGGGGCTACATTTGATCACATTCAAGCATACATGTAGTTAAGTGATTGCCAAACCTGATCGAGGTTTAGTTCATCACCATTTCTAAAATGTTCCTGCTGGAGTAATTGCAGGATACCCCGCCACTCGGAAATGCATCTGTAAAATCTCTGGCTACACGGTTGGAATCACTGGAAAAGAAACAATTCAAGTCCATTGCCAGCTACATGGATACTGAGTGGGGGTCCCCGTGAGAACGAAGCAACACATAAGGAATGGGGGTTGCTGAAATTCCAAACCAACTACCCTGTTGCCGGCTACGCGGCCGAGGAGTGGGTGTGCAGTGGAGCATGACGTGTGTAGGCCTAGTAGTTATAGGATAGCCGCGCTGAAAAGGTTTATTGAGGGCAATCAACCATGACTCCGTAGCCGGCTACGAGGTGCATAAATCTAGTGCCAGGGTATAAGTATAAGCCACTTTGGAGTTACTACTGTGCGTGCGCACATCAAGATTCAACAATTTACTTTTGTGGATGAACAGTTTGCCATACGTGTGCAAAATCACAGCGCGGTACCAATTAAATCAAGATAGTGGATATTTTGCCGGAGGTAATGCCGGCAAACTAATGTTTACTAAAGGTTTGCCGGCGGCAATCCATATCAACAGAGGGCGCTGTACCCTTTAAGATAGGGCTAAATTATAAGATGTATTAAATTTCCTCCAAAAGTCGTGTAGCACATTTGGTACAGTGGTTAAGCTACGGCTTTCGTGAGCAGGATGACCCGGGTTCGATTCCGTTCCCCGCCACTTTTCTAAGGTTTTTTTTTCCCATCCCCAAATAAATAAGAATATTCTTCTTTTATTATTTTAACATGTCTCAAACATTTGATTGCAGAGTATTACATTTTCTTTTTCAGATTTGTGGCTCTGGAGGTTTTTTTTTTTTAAAGGGAAATAAAGTCCGAAATTATAAAATGGTCTGATTCCCATCTTGTGAATACGAAGTTACAATGATAATATTGGCATGGAACCAGACTAAAATTTGTCACCGGAAAATGTTGAAGTACAAAAACACAGTAACTGCGCATGTTCAGTGCATATCCGGAAGACTAACGTTTACTAAAGGTTTGCCGTCTCCGGCAAAATATCCACTGCCTTAAATCAAAGTCAAAGAAAAGATATTGATTCTTGTTTTGAAGTAAAGGCAAACTTTTGAGGTTTTTTTTTAATGGCACCATGATTTCCTAAGTTGTTTTGTATGCTCCAACTTTTGTGTGAACAGAAGTTTCCATCTTCTTTTTGATTCGATGAAAAATTGCAAAAGGTGGATTTGGTTACCACATCATCACATGGCACATCCCCCATCTGCCCAAAAGGCATAGGCCATAGACTAGTACGCATTTTATATCTGCTGTGTTGAAACTGATGTGCGTACTCCGAAGTGGCTTATCCTGCAATTGTGCCCTCCTGCCGATGCATGTCAACTACCTAAATAGCTTCTTACTCCACTTACCAAATTTACTGTTCTTAGTTGTTTATTGAAACTCAAAAGCAGAGGGCTAGGGGCGGGCATGGAGGAAGGAATTACGCAAACCTCACGGGTCCTACTAAAGCGCGTCAACAAGCGTCAACAAGCGTCAACAAGTTTTAGTAGTCGTTAAGTGCGCGTCAACAAATTTTGTATAGGCCTTTGAACAATAAAAACAGCTTTATATGGTAGAAACAGCAATAATGAACATCTTCTGCATATCAATTAAAGTTAAAATTATTTTAAAACTTGGTTTTTTGAACGCGAAATGTACGACGAATTTGTCGATAGAAGTAGGCCGCCATCTTGTTTGGATGGCGCTGTAGACTTCGCGCATGCGTAGTATGGCTCTTTACACTTCACGCATGCGTAGTACGGCTAGCTACACATAAACAAGATGGCGGCCAACTTTTATCGACAAATTCGTCGTACATTTCGCGTTCAAAAAACCAAGTTTTAAAATAATTTTAACTTTAATTGATATGCAGAAGATGTTCATTATTGCTGTTTCTACCATATAAAGCTGTTTTTATTGTTCAAAAGCCTATAAAAAATTTGTTGACGCGCACTTAACGACTACTAAAACTTGTTGACGCTTGTTGACGCTTGTTGACGCTTGTTGACGCGCTTTAGTAGGACCGAACCTCACAGTCACACATCACTCACGAAAATTGCACGATTTCCGACGATTGGAGGCGCTGTTAAAACGGCAACACTGCGATAGTTGGGGGTGTGGGTTTTTCGAAAAGTCGGCATCGTTCTGGTTTCACCTGATCATCGGGATCGCCCCAGGAGAAGCCTTCAAAACTAAAAATGTCAAAATTTAAGGGCCATATAATGGAAACACCCTTAACTTGGCCTTATGTTGTAGTATTTGATGTTTAAGAAGCAGAAATACTAGTAGGATCGACAAAAAAAGGAGTTCTAGCGCCCCTACCATACAGTTACTGGGTCTAATACTCATACATATAGGGCCTACTTTAATTGAACCTCTCCGAGGTATTGGGGGGGGGGGGGGGGTGTTAGCTGCAGCTGAATGGGTTGTGGAGCCTCCACTCAGTTCAATTCGGGTGATAAAAACTTATTTTTGTTTTTCCTAAAATAAGCGGGGGGGGGGGGGCGCAACTTAAGAGATCCTTTGATGTTCTACCTAGATGTATTTTGGAATTAGGATATATTGTGACAAACTATATTCCGTAAGAGAACTGGCACCCCCCCCCCCCCCATGGAGGTAGGAAAAATTATACCCAACTTTACTTTTATCCCCTTTGGTGATAATTTTTTCAGGGTTCCACTTTGGAAATACAATGTTCAAACAGCTACATATCAAATTGATACATTTTACTGCCTTTTTGTATTAAATGTATTCAGCAAAGTAATAGAAATTTCCAAACTGGCTTGCGCTTCTTGTAACTGAATCACAAATTAATTTCAGTTTCAACTGAGGTTTAATTTTATGTGAATGTCATCAATATATCTACATACACTATAATTTTAGCATCACAAAACATAGAACCATTAAAAGAAATCACTTTATAAAAATACATTCAGATCCATTTTTGGGAGTAAAATAGTTCGAAAATGTTAGTTGGATGATACTCACTTGAATGTCATATAAAACTTGATTGGATGTACATGTATACATATTTCCCTTAATAACAAAAAACAAACACAATTTGTAAAGGTGGTTGTTTGTGATCCCGGCAAGACAATTTGCCATTTAATTTTAAAAAGATATATATCTATCGATCACCTGCAAGGTTCACAAAGTACACAACTTTATAAAACCACAGCTGGGCTATGTTGAGTTGTAACCCATTTCCAGTCTTAAATTCTTTTGAGCCCAGTCACATTTATTACATGTACCTTACTGTATATTTCAGACTGAAATACACTTATTTTTTAATGTTTATATTATTTAAAGTTTGATATCTGTTTGTGAGGTAAGAAGGTTTGCTATAAAAAATTCTAAATATTTATCACCTGCCAATTGGACAACTATTATTCCTCCAACCGCAGTTGGGCAATGTTCAGCTACATTGTGCATTAACTTCCTGCATTTCCAGTAACCAAATCTTTTAAGACAAGTTTAATGAGTCAGAGTTTTGCCAAGGTCAGCCCTCCATCAGGCTCAGAGGTGGACCTTGTCAGTCCATCTTCATAGAATTGTATTTGACACTGGCCAATGACCTGCGACTCTTGACACATTTCGACCCAAAGAGTTCGACTCAAATTGCGGTCTTCCCAGCAGTACAGCGACAATTCCTCACCGACCCTGGCCTCGCGAACGTACAAGAACCACACCGTCTTGGCGTCCGCGTAGATGACGTCTTTCCTGAAGCTGGGCAGGTGTCCATCTAAGGCAGCTGAACTTGCGCAGTCGAAACAGAAGCGGATGAACATTGCCTGATTGAGGTGATCGTTGGCATCGGTATCACTGGACATGACGGTTCTGGTCTGGGTGAAGCACAAGGTGCCAATGGGTCGTGCTGGAAAATCAGGTCCAGAAATGGGTCGCTGGTCACGTGGGATTATCACTTTTGCGCGCTGCCAAGCCATGGAGGCCACCGGAGAAGGGCGACGTGTCTGTTCCGAAACAAAGACGCCGTGAACACTCCCAGAGGCTAGGAGTGTCTTTGTGCTCAAATCATACATGTCAGTGTCCAAACAATATGACGTGCTCCCAAGATGACTCAATGTGCTGGTGATATCCAGAGCTCGGTTCTGTGTGAGTTTGCTCGTGTAAAAGGCTGGATAAACCTGAAGAAATTGGGCACGAATAAATGTCAATATGCCGAAACTCCTGAGGTTGATTCTGATGCCACTTTGGTTTAGTGCCTTGTGGGCTCCTTCAATGAGTTTCAGCAGCTTCCAAACGCTTATTCTCCCTGGCCCATGAAAATGTAGAAACATTTTTGTCAACAGTATTTTCGAAGTATAAATCTGATGTGAACTGGTTAGCAGATTGACTATTCCTTAATTAAAAAAATAAGTATTGCGAGATTATCAACACTTTCCTGAAAAGGAATTAACATTCTTATTGTCAAGAATCATTGACCATCCATCCCACTTTACGCTTGATGTCTTAAGTAATGTTTTCATGTTTTCATGATTAACCCTAAAGGGGCCGGGTTATTTTGACCATCTCTCAGCCGGGGGGGGGGGGGGCGGATTCGGCCCCCCCCCCTAAGATCTCGGCCATCGAGTGACGAAAAATTTTGAAACTCGATACATGCATAGAGCAACTCTTCCTTGACATACCCAAGAAATTTCATGACTATAGGTCAAAGGGTTTTGTAATTATGGCTAATTAATTATTCATATGTACGAATGGCAATTCTGCTCTGTGTACACGACGTATATGCGAAAATTCAGTTTTCACGGCGCGTAGCGCCGGAAAATTTTTCGCTACGCGGCAACCCGTGGTCCGATTTTTATGTTTTTGGGATCAAAAGATGCGCAAAGCTCGAGGCTAAAAAGTCAGAACAGCTCGGGTCGCGAAAATTTTTTTTTTAGAGGCTATCACGGAAAATGTTGAGGGGGGGGGGGGGCGGATTCCGCCCCCCGGCCCTTTTAGGGTTAAGCCCCCCCCCCCCCCCAAGTAGTTCTGTTTCCGATAATCACGTGATTCAGGGGAAGCCTAACCCTAGCAACTCCCAGCCTGGAATGGTCTGGTGTCTTTGTGCCATTCTCACCCATTGTGAATAACATACTGATGCTGAGCGTCTCTTGAGCTTGCCCCGAATCATGTGATTTAGCAACAGTGTCTTTGGTCTGGAGAATTCACAGTTAAAACGTGCCAAGCATAATGAGCAAGTCAGTGTACCAGATGTTATTCAAATTTAACTCGCAAAGGGTATAGGTTCAACCTCGTCCCCAGGGTGTCGAGCAGTACGCGCCCACCACTACCTGCTCTCTCACCCTGGTATTGGATCATTTGCATGTGCAAGATTTTTGCACACGTATGCAAATGAGGAACAGTCTGGTGCCTGGATATGCGTTACACATTAGCGTTTGTTTTTGTATGCGGTGTCTGGGGTAAAAACAGAGTCAATTCGTAGCAGCGCGGGCACGGCGTGAGTTACGAAAACACGATTTTTGAAATCAAACTGTTACGATCTTATCGAGACAACATGCAGTATCATATTTCATATTAATATGAGCAAATTGGAAAGGAAATTAGTATTTTCGAGAAGGCGTGGACGAATGATCGCGAAAACACGTACTGCACGTTGTGAATATATAGCACCAAGTACACGATAAAAATCCATTACTAGCCAATTGCGGTATCCAATCAGGATACAGGAAGAAAGTTTCCTATCCAGGGTTTACTATTGGAAACACGGTTGGAAATAAAGTAAGCACTGGGGACGAGGTTGGGTATAGGTTAGTCTTAAATGGCTTATTTACACATATACATTGTAATAAAGATTTTTTTTAAGGTGTATATAATTATATTTTAAAAAAATGCTAAGCAGAATTGAAAAGAAAATAAGTCTGCATCTATGCATTACCTGATTTGTCAAAGTCATTGTAAGACAGCTCCCCCAAAACACAATGGAGGACTCCGTCAGCATCTATCTCATACTTCATGGTCAGACTGGTAGACAGGGACCTTGAGTGTAGAAAAACATACAATTTTAACAAAATCAGGCCAACTTTACTCACACTTTACTCATAAATGTGACGGTAATACTGGACTACCTCCGTTAATAGGGAGGTAGGCCCTAGTCCAGTTTTACCGTCACATTCATGGGACTAAGCACGCAGTTGCAGCTGGCAGTTTCGAATATGCGAATAGACCTATCGTCGGAACATTATTCGTGAATGGACAGCTCTATAGGGCCCTAATCCTATCAACTGTTCATGCTGTTTCATATACAATAATGGCAGATTTGGTACTTTACTGTTTGTCTGCATCCCGACATTGCAAAGATCGGCAAAGTTCTGCAAAAATATGTTCAGCAAATACCACTACAAGTACATGTGATAATGGTTAACATCATGAACTTATTAGCATGCTAAAGTGCTATAGGGCTAGGGCCTAACGTTAGACCTAGTTAAAGGGAATATACATCATTTGCTTTTGCTGTAATTTTCAGAAATGGATGGAATTGGGGGGTTGGAAATATATAGCAAATATAGTTACACTGACTTTTTAAAGTTTTGGGTTCGAAAATGCTATAAAAACCAAGAAAACAATCATTTTCCTGTAGTCTGGTTCCCTAACTCCATTTAAGAAGAAACAGAGCAGTTTACATACATTGGGGAATTGTAAGGTCAGGGAACCAGTCTAGCTGGCTTGTACCCGTTCATAGGTGCGTAATCGATTGCAAACAAGTGCGATGGTCAACTGGGGCCAGTATTTGAAAAAAAGCCAGTTTTTTTCCAACGCTGCTCGGCCGATCAGCGTTGGAAATTGATACAAAAATACCACTTTTCTTGAAAATGACAGTATACCAGGTGCCATGATTTTACAGGATGCTTTACACTGTCATATACTAACAGTCCAGCAAGGTATTTCAAAATGATTTGGTAGTTTTATTTTTTGATGTTTGCAAATGTTGTATTTTCCCTTTAAACGGCGGCAAATGACAAGTTTTGATAACAATTCCTATATAGTTTACACTGGCACTTCAAACGGTTTGTCTATACTTTTTGTGATGCTAATCATTGCTAGTTGGAACTCACCTAGACTAGGGAGTAGGGTGCAAGTTTAGCTAAGGAAAGAAGTTGAACTTGAAGTTGAAGTACCGTGATCGATCACTCATGACCGTACCGGTACCGGCCAGTCCCGACCAAAGTCCCATCCCCGGCCCCCGTGATTGTATGTATATCTCCATACACAGACTTACGAAAGCCCATTAGCGCCACTGCAAGTATATATGTTACAGATTATTTAATTCGTTATTACGGCTTATTAATTCGTTAGGCCAAAAAAAAAAAGTCTCCGGTTTCTGGTATGGAGCTTGCCCAAAAAGTGGTGTGGCGACGCGGCTTTTTTTTTTTACCTGTTTTTTTTGCTTCAAATGTCGGCTGATGACTGCAAATTGTGCCTTAGTGCAAATATATGGGAGTCCTGAGCAGCCACATAAAGCTTATTCTCGATCATAACCCCATCTAAAAACACGTTAAAATTGTGCAGCAGCAGGATTCCAGTCAAACCAGTGAGTTTGGCGGTTTCGAGACATCATCTTTTATTGAAAACAAAAACTTTTTCATTTTGCCGACGCGCATGGCTACGGCGACGCGCGCACATACCAGAAACCGGAGACTTTTTTGGGGGCCTTATTACGGATTATTTACGGACTATTAATTCGTTAATACGGATTATTAATTCGTTATTACGGATAATTAATTCGTTATTACGGATTATTTAATTCGTTATTACGGATTATTAATTCGTTATTACGGATTATTAATTCGTTATTATGGATTATTTAATTCGTTATTACGGATTATTAATTCGTTAATACGGATTATTAATTCGTTATTACGGATTATTAATTCGTTATTACGGATTATTTAATTCGTTATTACGGATTATTAATTCGTTATTACGGATTATTTATTTCGTTATTACGGATTACATTTTTTTTCCAAGAGGGGGAAAAACATATTTCTCAACATAATTTTTTTTAGAGGGGACAGGGACATTCCCCCCCCCCTCCAACCCATTAAATGTACAGCAATATTACATCGCGCCTCTTTTTCTTTCATTTTTTCCTCTTTGTTTTCCTTTCGGGGGGGGGGGGGAGGGGCAAGCTCCTCCTCGCGTCACCCATGTCCAAAGCAAGGGCGGATCCAGAACACAATTTTGGGGGGGCAAAAAAAAATTTGTGGGTCAAAAAAATTACGGCGTGCGGTTTGGGGCCCGCTTAAGGGCCCCGAAAATTTTTTGGATTCTAGATGCTCTGTGGTGCGATCTGAGGCAATTTCTGACCACTTTAACCAATGTTTTTTTGAGGAAAAGATGGTGGTGTACTCATTGCCTGCCTTTATTGCGATGTCACATAAAAAAAAAAAATTGGTTTCGTTTGGGGGGGGGGGGGCATGGCCCCCTTTGGCCCCCCCCCCCTGGATCCGCCCTTGGTCCAAAGCCTTCTAGGCAGTCGTATCATTGTTGCGGCTGCCAACAGAAAAAAATGGGAAACGGATGTCAGAGGTCACTCCAATGTCTTTTGGGTCTGAATTTATATCAATAATAGTTGCAATATCCTTCCTTTGCACTACTGTGACTTTGTTCACGAAAAGCTGGCGTTTTGAAGAATATAAATGATAAATAGTGATAAATTTGTATACAAAGTTAATTGACCCATCCCAGGGTACCAGAGGTCTGATGCTCCTCCCACATCTGAAATTATTTGAATGGAAACCCAAATATCTGTAGTACATGTGTGAAGTTTCAATTCAACCTGTTAAAATGATTTGTTGTCATGGTCATTAAAAAGTCGGCACTCTCGATCTCATGCGCACTCTCATGTAAATTAAACATGGTCAATGTGATGGGAAAAGGTTACATTTAAGTCGACCTGTTTTGGTAATTTTGCGACATTTTGCGACGAGAGTATGCCCTATTTACGTAAACTTTGTGTCAAAATAACCACAGGACATCCAAACAACTGTCAGAGAAACTTGGCGGGATTTAAAAAATGCATTGCGACGATATAAGGAAAAAATGACCATGGAGGGGGTTGCACTCCCTCCCACTCCGTATTTCGCGCCGCTCTTAAGTTAATTATTCTGACCTAAGATCACTCTTTAGTCATATTTTCATATTTAACAAGTGCCAAGGCACCAATACAAGCTGGTTTTTATTTTCTCCTCTACCGTTGTGTCGCAAGGGTATGAGCGAAAAAGAAAAGGTTGGGGTAAAGACAACGCCCCCCCCCCCCGCTCTGCGCTGTTTGCGCCGCTTTTAAGTTAACTAGTCTGATCTAAAATCACTCTTAAGTTTTTTCCCCCCATAATCTACAAGTTGCAAGCTAATGACACTTGCTCAAATTTGATTAAATGGAAAATTTGCCGCATGTCGCCAATGGGCCTTTGTCTTAAGACCGGCCATTCTGTGATCAGGGTCGATGATATTTGTTCCCGAAATTTTGCATTTTGATTAAACCCTATCCAGCTATCAGTGCATTCTGATCACGTATGTGTGAGTACCAGATTTATTTCGTAATAACGAATTAATAATCCGTAATAACTAATTAAATAATCCGTAATAACGAATTAATAATCCGTTAAAATGAATTAATAATCCGTTATAACGAATTAATAATCCGTAATAACGAATTAATAATCCGTAATAACGAATTAATAATCCGTTAAAATGAATTAATAATCCGTAATAACGAATTAATAATCCGTAATAACGAATTAGTAATCCGTAATAACGAATTAAATAATCCAAAGCACATTATTTCTCAAAATCCTTGTACTTTGTCCAGCATATTCTTACTTATCAATTTTTCGAGGGCGGGTGGGGGGGGGGGGGACATTTGCCCACCCCACCCCCACTGACTGACCATGGGCGTCGCCAGGATTTTTTTCTAGAGGGGGGCAAAACATATTTTTGCCAAAAAAATCCTGTATTTCTCAACATATTCTGGATTTATCAGTTTTAAAGGGGGGGGGGGGCAGGGACATTTTAGCCCCACCCCAAACCCATTAAATTTACACCACTTTGACTTCGCGCCTCTTTTTCTTTTCTTTTTTCTCTTTTGTTCTTCCTTTTTTTGCTTTTTCGGGGGGGGGGGGGGAAGCGCCCCCTCCCCCCCCTCGCGACGCCCATGTGACTGACGCCCATGTTGTTCAATGTGGATTAAATAAATTAACAGCAATAGTGTGACTTCTTTTTTCCCTCTCTTTTTTGGGGTGCTTTTCCGGGGGGGGGGGGGGGGCAAGCGCCCCCCTTGCGATGGGTGGTCAAGTGGATGGGTGGTCAAGCGGGAACGCACCCCATGGGATTCCTCTGATAAAAAGCGCACCTTTGCCTTCAATCAAATGAGCAGGGTTGGGGAGGGGGCCGGGTGTGTGTGTGTGGGGGGGGGGGATACACTTATGAGATTCTTTGCTGTTGTACTGTATTTAGGCAATACTTTTTAGGGTTTCGCGATGGAAATACAATGTTCAAACAGCTACATATCAAATTTGTACATTTTACTGCCTTTTTATTCAGCAAACTAATATAAATTTCCATACTGGGTTGCGCTTCTTGTAACTGAATCACAAATTAATTTCAGTTTCAACTGAGGTAAACTTTATGCGAATGACATCTCTCTCCTCCTTTCTCTCTCTATTATATACATAAAGGAAGCCAAACTATAAATGTAGCAACACAAAACATAGAACCATTATGAGAAATCAGTTCATAAAAAATATATTCATATCCATTTTTAGGGAGTAAAATAGTTAGAAAATATTACTTGGATGAAAAGTTTCCCTGAATAACAAATCAAAAGATAAGAAATTTCTGAACATTTATCACCTGCAAGTTTTACAAAGTGGGCAACCTTAGAAAACCACAGTTGGGCAATGTCGAATTGTAAGCCATTTCCAGTCTTAAATTCTTTTGAGCCCAAGTCACCTTTATTGCATGCACATTACTGCACATTTCAGACTGAAATAACCTCATTTATTTTTAAATTTTTATATTATTTAAAGTTTGATATCTGTTTGTGAGTTAAGAAGGTTTGCTATCCAAATTCCTTACTATTTATCACCTGCCAATTGGACAACTATTATTCCTCCAACAGCAGTTGGGCAACGTTCAGCTACATTGTGCATTAAGCCTGCATTTCCAGTAACCAAATCTTTTAAGACAAGTTTAATGAGTCAGAGTTTTGCCAAGGTCAGCCCTCCATCAGGCTCAGAGGTGGACCTTGTCAGTCCATCTTCATAGAATTGTATTTGGCACTGGCCAATGACCTGCGACTCTTGACACATTTCGACCCAAAGAGTTCGACTCAAATTGCGGTCTTCCCAGCAGTACAGCGACAATTCCTCACCGACCCTGGCCTCGCGAATGTACAAGAACCACACCGTCTTGGCGTCCGCGTAGATGACGTCTTTCCTGAAGCTGGGCAGGTGTCCATTTAAGGCAGCTGAACTTGCGCAGTCGAAACAGAAGCGGATGAACATTGCCTGATTGAGGTGATCGTTGGCATCGGTATCGCTGGACATGACGGTTCTGGTCTGGGTGAAGCACAAGGTGCCAATGGGTCGTGCTGGAAAATCAGGTCCGGAAATGGGTCGCTGGTCACGTGGGGTTATCACTTTTGCGTGCTGCCAAGCTATGGAGGCCACCGGAGAAGGGCGACGTGTCTGCCGTGAAACAAAGACGCCGTGAACACTCCCACAGGCTAGGAGTGTCTTTGTGCTCAAATCATACATGTCAGTGTCCAAACAATATGACGTGCGCCCAAGATGACTCAATCTGCTGGTGATATCCAGAGCTCGGTTCTGTGTGAGTTTGCTTGTGTAAAAGGCTGGATAAATCTGAAGAAACTGGGAACGTATGAAAGATGTTGTGCCCAGACCCTTGAGGTTCATTGTGACACTTCGGAATCTTTGGTGGCGGGCTCCTTGAATCAGTTTCGCCAGCTGCCACATGCAAATTCTCCCTGCCACATGAAAATGTAGAAATAATTTTATCAACAATATTAGAAGCATTAATCTGAATAAAAAAAAGAAACGTGCCAAAAACAAAAACCTGTATTTAAGGCCCCCCCCCCCCAAAAAAAGTCTCCGGTTTCTGGTATGGAGCTTGCCCAAAAAGTGGTGCGGTGACGCGCCTTTTTTGGTGTTTTTTTACCATTTTTTTTTCTTCAAATGTCGGCTGATGACTGCAAAATGGTGCCCGACTGAACTTAGTGCAAATATATGGGAGTCCAGAGAGGCCACCTAAAGCTTATTCTCAATCGTAACCCCATCTTATAACACGTTAAAATTGTGCAGCAGCAGGATTCTAGTCAAACCAGTGGGTTTGGCGGTTTTGAGACATCATCTTTCATTGAAATTTTTTTTCTTTTCATTTTGCCGATGCGCATGGCTACGGCGACGCGCACCCATACCAGAAACTGGAGACCTTTTTTTTGGCTGGTTGAAAATCGAAACTTTTGAAGTGCACGGGGATCACAACATTTAGTATTCTATTCTCTGTGATCTGACGTTTTCATGAGTCATGACCAATGGGTTGAGGTTTATTCTCAAAATTGTTCCTGTAATTAATTGGCAGTGTATATTTTGCCGGAGACGGCAAACCTTTAGTAAACGTTAGTTTGCCGGATATGCACTGAACATGCGCAGTTACTGTTTTTTTGTACTTAAACATTTTCCGGTGACAAATTTTAGTCTGGCTCCATGCCAATATTATCGTTGTATTTTTGTATTAACAAGATGGGAATCAGACCATTTTATAATTTCGGACTTTATTTCCCTTAAAAAAAAATCCTCCAGAGCCACAAATCTGAAAAAGAAAAAGTAATACTCTGCAATAAAATGTTTGAGACATATTAAAATAATAAAAGAAGAATATTCTTATTTATTTGGGGATTGGAAAAAAAACCCTTAAAATTGTGGCGGGGGTCAGGATTCGAACTCGAGACATCCCACTCACTAGAGCTATTGCTTAACCACTGCACCGACTGTGCTACACACCTTTGGTGGGAATTTAATACATGTTATAATTCAGCCCTATCTTAAAGAGTACAGCGCCCTCTGTTGATATGGATTGCCGCCGGCAAACCTTTAGTAAACGTTAGTTTGCCGGCGTTACCTCCGGCAAAATATACACTACCTAATTAATTTGATGGCACTACAGTAGCACTATTTATTTCAAATTACATGTAGGCCTAGGAGTCAATGAATATTAGCAGATGAGTGGGCTCACAAATCATGTTTTGGTTTATACATGTAGGGCCTATAACATTAAACTCTACAATGTCAATGATGTGAAATGTACAAGATTCAAGAGTATAGACTTCAGACTCTACGATACACATTTCAAATACATTGTCATTTTCTCAGCAGGTTGGAAAAGAATACGAATTTAGATCGTATATCCTCGAGTCACCATAATCGGCGCAGGTAAAACGCTTACAACGCGCGCGCGTTGTCCAACGCAAATTGAATGAGAGTGCGTCAAAATAGATCCCTACCTGATTTGTCAAAGTCATTGTAAGACAGCTCCCCCAAAATGTAATGGGAGACTCCATCAGCATCTATTTCATACTTCATGGTTTACAAATGGGAGAGTCTGGAAGGCATAAAATGCAAATTAAATTCAAGACTTTCAGAATAAAACGGCAAATAAGACAGCAGAACAGTTTGCCGCGGCCGGGCGGTACTGTATGTACTACGATACGATATGATCGAAGGTCCAAGGTCGTCACGTTTTCTGACGATTGGTGGCGCTTTGCATCTGATTCACACATGCCGTCCGATGCAGTTGGATGTGCAGACCACTGATCTCTATATAAAGACTGGATAGCTAATACAGAGCCGCACAATGTACGAATTTGACGCCATATTGGTGAGACCGGCTGGTGATCTTCAAAGGACAAGTTGTCGTTTTTATAGACAGCATGATTTCTTTTGTAACGTCGCGGTTCACTTGACTTATATTTTGACCACCATCACTGACCAAGGTTAACTACAATTTTTCTAACGTCGTGGTTACTAAAATGCCGCAAATATAACTTTTTCGGCGTTTTGAAATAATAATCACTACGGAAATGTGTCCCTTTTAGAACATCATAATATGTGTACGTGACCAAAATGCGCGTCAACTGTTGATACAACGCGCGCGTATTTACGCGTAGAACGTTTGTATATACGCGGCCATCTTCGTGAGACCGGGGGCGAATTGGTCAATATGCAAAGTCTACTGTGTGAATGTTGTATGCATATCCGCTATCCAGTCTTTATATAGAGATCAGTGGTGCAGACTTTGTACTTATTTAGTACATGTACACTTTCAAAATTCACTCCAACTATGATTCCCCGGCCTGTCACTAAGTTTCAATGACCAACTCAGTTTGTCATTCGACAATCACAAAGAATCACTCCATTTTGCCCTCATCTTCGAGCTTCACTTGTGACTCGTCCCTATGAAATATGCAATTAAGGCTAAGATCATATTTTCATTAATGGGCAAACACATTCAATTATTAAGCATCTACATTATTGCTTGTCAGTATTCCTATAACAGTCTGAGCTATCTCAGCAAAAATCCGTTGATGCACACCTCTATGGAGGGATGTACTCAATGGAAGAAGAAGAAGAAGAAGAAGAAGAAGACAGATAAGATGACGCCTGTGGATATTACAGTAGGTAAAATGTGGATAAGGAAAGGCTCGAGAACAATAATCACGCCGATTATCTAGAGCTATAGGGCCTAGCAGATACGTGCTTTGAGAAAGACCACTGGATTGAGAGCTGCCGTGCATGAAGCGGGCGGGAATGAACGACAACGTATAGCGGAGGAGATCGTCTGATGGAAGTGGCCCAAGAAAACATTGAACAAATTACCCAAGAGAAGTGTTCCCATTGGTACATTGCCAAACATACTGCATATCCCGATGTCTTGCACGTCAAGAGATTAATGGGTGAATCAGAGCTTACAAAACAGAGCGAGCTTAAGAACAGTTAATAGAGTTAAAGGAGTAATAAACATCTCAAGAAAATGACTCCCCTTATAGATTTGTTCAAACTTTTAAACAAGTAGAAAAGATCCACAGTGAAAAAGAAAATTCTCAAATTGAAGCCCTCAGTTTCATGTCAATATTTCGTTACATCATTATCCCTCATAATCAATTAATTTTTGTTACGTTATAAATTCAAAGGTTTTTGAATAAAAAATGAACCTAAGAAGAAAATAGGAAAAGACATCAATAAAAAAATCATTTTAATTTGAATGGCCAAACTAAGAAGACGATTGCCCTTAAACGAATTACAAGAGAAGCATGCGCTCCGACGTTCGCTAGGGGCCTTATTATTTTACGAGTCGGCCATATATTTTGATCGAGAGTGAGGTAAAATTTTGTTTCTGGAGCCTGTGTAGAGAAACGAAAGCAAGTTAATTACTATTCATAAATACCTCAGACAGTTTACCCCTTGCGATGGGTGGTCAAGTGGATGGGTGGTCAAGCGGGAACGCACCCCATGGGATTCCTCTGATAAAAAGCGCACCTTTGCCTTCAATCAAATGAGCAGGGTTGGGGAGGGGCCGAGTGTGTGGGTGTGTGTGGGGGGGGGGGGGTATACACTTATGAGATTATTTGCTGTTGTACTGTATTTAGAAACTATTTCCTTACTCCATGGAGGTAGGGCTGAATACTTATACCCAAAATTATTTTTTTTGCCACTGGCGAAACTTTTTAGGGTTTCGCGATGGAAATACAATGTTCAAACAGCTACATATCAAATTTGTACATTTTACTGCCTTTTTATTCAGCAAACTAATATAAATTTCCATATTGGGTTGCGCTTCTTGTAACTGAATCACAAATTAATTTCAGTTTCAACTGAGGTAAACTTTATGCGAATGACATCTCTTTCTCTCTCTATAATATACATAAAGGAAGCCAAACTATAAATTTAGCAACACAAAACATAGAACCATTATGAGAAATCAGTTCATAAAATATATTCAGATCCATTTTAGGGAGTAAAAAAAGTTAGAAAATATTACTTGGATGAAAAGTTTCCCTGAATAACAAATCAAAAGATGAGAAATTTCTGAACATTTATCACCTGCAAGTTTTACAAAGTGGGCAACCTTAGAAAACCACAGTTGGGCAATGTCGAGTTGTAAGCCATTTCCAGTCTTAAATTCTTTTGAGCCCAAGTCACCTTTATTGCATGCACATTACTGCACATTTCAGACTGAAATAACCTCATTTATTTTTAAATTTTTATATTATTTAAAGTTTGATATCTGTTTGTGAGTTAAGAAGGTTTGCTATCCAAATTCCTTACTATTTATCACCTGCCAATTGGACAACTATTATTCCTCCAACAGCAGTTGGGCAATGTTCAGCTACATTGTGCATTAAGCCTGCATTTCCAGTAACAAAATCTTTTAAGACAAGTTTAATGAGTCAGAGTTTTGCCAAGGTCAGCCCTCCATCAGGCTCAGAGGTGGACCTTGTCAGTCCATCTTCATAGAATTGTATTTGGCACTGGCCAATGACCTGCGACTCTTGACACATTTCGACCCAAAGAGTTCGACTCAAATTGCGGTCTTCCCAGCAGTACAGCGTCAATTCCTCACCGACCCTGGCCTCGCGAATGTACAAGAACCACACCGTCTTGGCGTCCGCGTAGATGACGTCTTTCCTGAAGCTGGGCAGGTGTCCATCTAAGGCAGCTGAACTTGCGCAGTCGAAACAGAAGCGGATGAACATTGCCTCATTGAGGTGATCGTTGGCATCGGTATCGCTGGACATGACGGTTCTGGTCTGGGTGAAGCACAAGGTGCCGGTGGGTCGTGCTGGAAAATCAGGTCCGGAAATGGGTCGCTGGTCACGTGGGGTTATCACTTTTGTCTGCTGCCAAGCTATGGAGGCCACCGGAAAAGGGCGTCGTGTCTGCCGCGAAACAAACACGTCTTGAACACTCCCAGAGGCTAGGAGTGTCTTTGTGCTCAAATCATACATGTCAGTGTCCAAACAACACGACGTGCGCCCAAGATGACTCAATCTGCTGGTGATATCCAGAGCTCGGTTCTGTGTGAGTTTGCTTGTGTAAAAGGCTGGATAAATCTGAAGAAACTGGGAACGTACGAAAGATGTTATGCCCAGACCCTTGAGGTTCATTGTGACACTTCGGAATCTTTGATGGCGGGCTCCTTGAATCAATTTCGCCAGCTGCCACATGCCAATTCTCCCTGCCACATGAAAATGTAGAAATAATTTCATCAACAATATTAGAAGCATTAATCTGAATAAAAAAAAAGGAAGGATTGTGAGATTAGTATCAACAATTTCCTGAAAAGGGATAACAAAAGGGCTCATGCACCTAATTCTTATTGCTAAGAATCTTTGATAGCATCTGCCCACATTTACTGCCAAATGTTCTTCCAACGTTTTTCTTGTCACGTTTCGCTTGATATCTTAAGAGGCGTTCCGAGTGCTATGTCTGAGTTTCATCCCGAAAAAGAATACCATAGATTCCTATTCAATACTGTTTTCTAGCAGTACAAAAGCTATTCACTTTTGAATGAGGCATCAACTAAAACATACTTGCCCATGTTTTTATTACTGAATAAGTGAACGTGTAGCACAATTTCGAATTATTGGCCGCCAGATAATAATTCTTCTTGTTGTTGGGTAGGCTGGTTCCTGCCCCACCATCAGTATCGATAATGTATGGACTAGGAGCCAGTCTGCTACGTTATTGCAAAGTCATTCTGTACCCACTAGTGCGGCCGTGGTATTGCTGCACTGCCATAGCGCAGCAATACCGTGGCCACACTAGTGGGGCTATACGTGCCAAAAACAAAAACCTGTATCTAAGGCCCCCCCCCCCCAAAAAGTCCCCGGTTTCTGGTATGGAGCTTGCCCAAAAAGTGGTGCGATGACGTGCCTTTTTTTGTTTTTTTTACCATTTTTTTCTTCAAATGTTGGCTGATGACTGCAAAATGGTGTCCGACTGAACTTAGTGCAAATATATGGGAGTCCAGAGAGGCCACATAAAGCTTATTCTCGATCGTAACCCCGTCTAATAACACGTTAAAATTGTGCAGCAATTTGTGCAGTTAAAATCATTTTGCCGACGCGCATGGCTACGGCGACGTGCCAAAAACCAGAAACTGGAGACTTTTTTTTGGCCTAATGAGGTTTTTGTGGTTGAAAATTGAAACTTTTGAAGTGCACGGGGATCACAACATTTAGTAATCTATTCTCTGTGATCTGATGTTTTCATCACCAATGGGTTGAGGTTTATTCTCAACATTGGGAAAGATTTCCATATACGAAGTTCACTCAACACCCTGTGTACAAACCCTATGAGATTGGACTGAACAATTCTAAGTGTTTTCTAAGAAAATGCTTGTATTTTCTCACTGCTCAAATTGACTTTGATGACCTGAAATTGCTATCTGGGGGCTTGTTAGTCAATACAGAGGAAAATTAGTGAACTTCGCAGTATGGAAATCTTTCCCAAAATTGTTCCTGTAATTAATTTGATGGCACTACAGTAGCACTATTCAAATTACATGAAGGCCTAGGACTAGGAGTCAATGAATATGAGCAGATGAGTGGGCGCACACATCATATTTTGGTTTATACATGTATTTGGCCTATATTTAAAACATTAAACTCTACATTATACATATTTACAATGTGAAATGTACAAGATTCAAGAGTATAGACTTCAGACTCTACGATACACATTTCAAATACATTGCCATTTTTAGTTTTCTTCTCAGCAGGTTGGAACAGAATACGAATTTAGGTCGTATATCCTGGAGTCACCATAATCGGCGCAGGTAAAACGCTTACAACGCGCGCGCGTTGTCCAACGCAAATTGAATGAGAGTGCGTCAAAATAGATCCCTACTTGATTTGTCAAAGTCATTGTAAGACAGCTCCCCCAAAATGTAATGGGAGACTCCATCAGCATCTATGTCATACTTCATGGTTTACAAATGGGAGAGTCTGGAAGGCATAAAACGCAATTTAAATTCAAGACTTTCAGAATAAAACAGCAAATATGACGGCAGAACAGTTTGCCGCGGCCGGGCGGTACTGTACTACTTAACTTGTACTTGTACGATAGATCAAAGATCGAAGGTCCAAGGTCGTCACGTTTTCTGACGATTGGTGGCGCTTTGCATCTGATTCACACAGTATGCTGTCCGATGCAGATGGATGTGCAGACTTATTTAGAGTACATGTACACTTTCAAAATTCACTCCAACTATGATTCCCCGGTCACTGTCACTAAGTTTCAATGACCAACTCAGTTTGTCATTCGACAATCACAAAGAATCATTCCATTTCGCCCTCGTCTTCGAGCTTCACTTGTGACTAGTCCCTATGAAATGTGCAAGGCCTGAACCAAGATCATAATTATTTTCATTAATGGGCAAACACATTCAATTATTATTAAGCATCTTCATAATCAGTGCTTGTCAGTATTCCTATAACATTCTGAGCTATCTCAGCAAAAATCCGTAGATGCACACCTCTCTCTCTTATAACTCCTGAAATGTTCAGACAGATAAGATGACGCCTGTGAATATTACAGTAGGTAAAATGTGGATAAGCAAATGCTCGAGAACAATAATCACGCCGATTATCTAGAGCTATATACGTACTTTGAGAAAGACCACTGGATTGAGAGCTGCCGTGCATGAAGCGGGCGGGAATGAACGACAATGTATAGCGGAGGAGATCGTCTGATGGAAGTGGCCCAAGAAAACATTGAACAAATTACCCAAGACCAAGAGAAGTGTTCCCATTGGTACATTGCCAAACATACTGCATATCCCGATGTCTTGCGCGTCAAGAGATTCATAGGTGAATCAGAGCTTACAAAACAGAGCGAACTTTATAAGAACAGTTAATAGAGTTAAAGGAGTAATAAACATGTCAAGAAAATGACTCCCCTCATAGATTTGTTCAAACTTTTAAACAAGTAGAACAGATCCACAGTAAAAAAATTAAATTCCCAAGCCCTCGGTTTCATGTCACCATTTCGTTACATCATTATCCCTCATATCAGTTAATTTATGTTACGGTTACAAATTCAAAGGTTTTTGAAAAAAAAATGAACCTAAGAAGAAAATAGGAAAAGATATCAATAAAAAAAAATCATTTTAATTTGAAAGGCCAAACTAAGAAAACGATTGCCCTTAAACGAATGACAAGAAAAGCATGCGCTCCGACGTTCGCTATGGGCCTTATTCACGAGTCGGCCATATTGGATTGAGAGTGAGGTGAAATCTTGAAATGGAAGCAAGTTAATTACTAATTAATTCCAGTCTGCTTCAATGAATAATTTTAAATTTGTAATTAAACGGTCCCTAATGTTTAAAGCCAAATAAAAAAAAAATTACGGTAAAATAAGGCTGCATTATTATGCCTGCATGAATAGTCTGGCGCCATTCCATTCAACAGTTAACAATTTATGAAATAAGGGAAGTCGACAAAAATGGCCAACACGTGAATAAGGCCCACAATGCGTCAATCATCAAAAGATTAAAAAAACACCTTAATTTCATGAATGCACCAAAACGATATAAAATGCCACGAAAGGTTATTACAGGAGCAAATGGGTGCCTAAAATTGAAATTGAATGCCCCCAAATGAAAAAGTTCAGACGTTTGAAAATCACGTGAAATTGAATGGTTGATATTGAAATTGATTAGAAAAATTAAGAAATTGGCAGGGAAAAGACATGATTTCTTATTTATAATTTATGAAACTGTTTGCCCGCGAAAAGTCTGTCATTACTGGATCTCTTTGCCGACTTGTGGCTCGTTCGCATGCTTGCCTCGAAATCATAAAAACAGAAACCACGAAATAAGCGTTTCTTGATACCGTATACCGCTGCAGGCCCTGTATCATAAGTTCTCTTTTATGTTCAGCGATATAAATATAAGCTAATTTTACAAAAGAGTGAAGTCCAATCCTAGTCCACTTTATCATTGTTGCATAATGAAGAACGTCGAGTTCGATCTCATTAATCATTATTGACAAACTTACCGCACCAGCAGGTAGCTTAATTTAAAATAGTAGTGATTACCGTCTTTCGGACCTATTCGTCCTTCAGCGCTTGCCTCTGCCTTGTGTTCAGGTATACGTCTAAATCTTAGCCATGGAAGGAATTGTTAAGCTGGCGTTTGTTTTCCAAGCTGTGCTGATACTCCAGGTATGTGTAGCGTCGATCAGAGCCATTATTAGAATGACAGTTGAAATAACTGAATGAAAAACATCCTCATTGCACCACACGAGTATGATACGAATTAAGCCCACAACCCCCGATGGGTAGTTTATGGGGCATCCCTATATTCCCTTTGGCAAGATTGATGGATTCGCTGGGCACCGGTAATTTGTATATCAGCAAAATACTTTGAATATGACCGACTTAGTTGAGCTAAATTATATGGGCCTACATCTACAAATAAAAAAGTAGATGGCCTGATGTTTTGATCCTGGCAGGACCTTTTTTGACAAAGGGATAAAACTGTTAGGCCCTTTATTTGTTTTGACTAGCAAAATATTTTCTTTATAAAAAAAATAAAATAAAAAAAATCTAAGGCTTGCAATGGGTTTTCAGATGAGCTTTTGCTCATTTGCCACAAGTATTTCCCTGCTTCTTATAGCAACTCCTTGGTAGTTTACCCTGAACCCCAACTCATCACTCACCGATCATTTGGCCCTGTGAGAGTTGTGGAAGTTATGCCTGCCCATTGGTGCTGTTCTCCCGCTTGTTCCTCCACCTGTTCTTCTACACAAGCACCTTGCCTACAAAGCATTGTTTTAGCTTGGTATGGGATAGACCTGCAAATTGTAACATGGTTGGGGTACAGTAGGCCTACTCCCTCCTCAAACACAAACGCACTATTATTGCTCCGAGTAACGACCGAATAGTATACATTAATTATACTTCCAATACGTCTAATAATTTTATTAGAGGCAAACATCCTGGTTTCGTCACCCTTTTTCAGTCCTGAAGTTTTTTTATCTATATTGTACGGCCATGTTTTTACTTATTTAATGTCGCACAAAATAATTACGTTGCTGCGGGGGTGGTGGGATGCTCAATCTCGAGATATATTTCGCCTGAATACAAATATATAACTTATGCATGGTGCGGCTGATGTTCATGTAATGATATGGTATAATAAATGCATCCCCTTTAAGATCAGTGAACATTGTTTGAAGTTGTCTCAAAATTGAGTTCGAGCTTTGAGGCATCCTTCCTCTTACAAATCTTGCACCGTTATGTGAAAAAAGGTCTTGATCAAAAAGCTCATAATCTTGAGTACAAGGCTATACCTGGTATTCCTTTACATTTTGGACTTGTCCAAAGGTTCGTGGCATTTCTTTCTAGAGGTGTATTAACGTTTATGCAACGCACCCTTTACGAACAGACTACAATAGCTATACAGTATCGTTGTCTCGCTATAGAAGGGGCGTATCTTTGCACTGCCAGCACACCGTTTGTTTGACAATTCCATTAAATTCGCATCAGCCCTTGTGGAATGATTTTGGTCTCGATACAACTTTGGCTAATATATTGTGTGGACACAATCTGATACCATGGTCAGCTTCATTCTACGTGATGGCCTGATAGAGTGGTCGTGAACTTTAATTGCATATGGCGCCTTTCAGCCTTGAAGTTGGCCCAGATCACGTAATGCTATCTTTAAATTCATCAAAATGACCTCTTCGAACGATGGACTGAAGGACTTTAGCGGTTCCAAAACAAAGGGTTGAACTGTACAACCTATAGCTGTTATACTTTGAAATCTGTACAATTTAAAGTATACTCTCCCGTATTTCACACCCCAAAAGTGACCTTTTTCTATACAGGGTGAGCAAAAAAATAGGAAAACCAAAAGGCAGGACCAATCTATTTTTGTATTAAGTTCTGCATGTAGCACTTTTAAAAAACTAGGATATGAAAGACCATACTTAAGCTTTCTGTTAGTACACGAATCATTCAAATCTATATAGCACTTTTCAAGTTAAAGAGTTTTGATCATAAACACCGTTTTAAAGCTCTGTCCACGGATCACAAAAAAGTAAGTGTTCTTTTTGTAATTAAAACGAAAACAATCCACATAGAAATCTATGTGAATTGTTTTCGTTTTGCTGAAAGAACACTTGATCCTATTCAAAAATGGTCCGGCAATTTGGGTTTCCTCTTTTTTGACTCGCACTCTATAGCAATACAAAAGTTATTCACTTTTGAATGTGACATCGAACAAAAACTTTTCCACGTTTTTAGTAATGGTACATTTATACTGTACAAATTTTGACAGTCCAAAATAGAAACAGAAATGTTTTCCCCTTCATTTCAAATAAACATAAACACAGAAAACAGAAAATTGGCCAGGAGAAAAGTAAACCGAATACATGAATAATGAAGAGCACAGATATAGAGCAACTTCAATCGATTTGCGTATCGACCCCCAATGTATTGTATTCTGTGCATAAATCCGCCCGAGAATAGGCGTAATGCATAGTTCGATACCTGAGGGGGCCGTTTTCTGCCTCATGTCAAGATAACTCTCTTAACGAGAATCTGAATAACATAGACGTCAGAATATCAACGATTTCTGTACCAACGAATAGCAGATACCTGTGCCAATAACTGTAATTATTGCCCTCAAAGTACTTGACATTTTAATTACTTACGACGCTAAATTGAGATTGAAAAATGGACAGCGAACATGAACAGCGAAATTGGGCTTTCCACCCCCTCTCTATGATGGCCTGGTTATGAGCCCATGAAATGAGATTTCTGTGATGTTTATCTGCACTCTAAAAAGTCCCGCGTCAGAATTGACCCGGAAAAGGGCCATGTGGGGCCTGACCTTCTTCCGGGTCAAAAATGACTCTGTTATGAGTCACAATGACACTGTGTGACTCATCTTCCGGGTCATGTTTAATGTTTGACCCGGGAAAGTGTCAGTTTTGACCTGGAAAGGGTAATTTTTGACCCGTAAAGGGGTCAGGCCCCACATGACCCCTTTTCCGGGTCAAATCTGACCCGGGACTTTTTAGAGTGTAGTACACTATGTTTACCTTGTGAACACATCAATTAAACAGAACTTCCAACATTATTCCAACGAAAATGTAATACTATTGTTTGACAGATCTTTTTTCCTGCCCGACCGGATGCCACATTGGAATTCCGTTGCCAGAGCTTCAAAAAACTAGGCAGCGAGTGCTGTGATGGAACATTTTTCTGCACTAGTGAGTGCGATGCTGAATTCCTGGTATGCTTAGACAGCGACTACTCGTCTGGGTGAGCCTATTACCTCCTCCAAGGAGGCTTTGTTTTCATCGGATTTGGCTAGTTTGTTAGATGGTTTGTCTGTTAACAAGATAATACTCAAAAAGTTATGGACGGATTTGCATTTTTTTTTAGTAAGTACAAATCGATTTGATTTTGGAAGTGATCCGGATATGGGTCTGGATCCAGGATGTTTTTCATGGATTCTTCACCATTTTTGGCCAATTGTGTGTATTTGCTTTTGTCCTATCTCTTTTTCAAGTTACTTCAATTTTGTTCTGTCGAGGCGAATAATTACCTTTATTTGGCTTTGACACATCAATCTGGAAACAGACGTTAATTCCCAACGTTTTGCGTCTAGGAATCTCTAGAACGTTGAGAAGTAAATTTTCTTCATCCTGTTGCAGAAAGATTACAAGATTATCATCGGAATTTCAATCTTTAACTTATTTATGTTCAGAATCGCAACAAAATCAGCGATGATCATTTTTGTGAGTAGCTAGGCCTTTGAACATTCATCTGGAGTGTCAACCTATACAACATTACTGCGCTGAAATCAGTGCCTTTTATTTCATTAATCTGTTAATAAATTATAGGTCCACAGACTTCAACGTTTGCGGACTGGGACGCATTGATACCGATGTCGTGTTCGACGACAAGGACACGTTTGACTTCCCAGCAGTGATACCGAATAATATAGACAATCCACAAATCAATGCAAATGTTAACTGGAAGGTAAGAACATATTATGACCTTGGTTTTATTGTTTAGTACTCTATGGGAGAACTTGATTTAATCAAATACCCTGATATATAGAACACATACAATGCATGCGATGTTTTTATTTGAAGGGTTCAAGATAGTAAACTTCATGTTTATCTAGAATATGCATGGAACAATATGCTGAATGAACTCAAATAGCGTTGATGTTCTACAGCATGGGAGTCGGATAGAAATGTTCCTTACTTTCAAAAGATCATCACGACAGAACCAAAGCCAGTGTCAAAATCCAATCGAACCTTAACCGAAAGTCTAATGAAACACGCAGCCACAACACCAACACAAACCCCAAACAAGTTCAAACCTATATGAAGATTAAACCCACACCCAAACCAAACCAAATACAAAACCCAAATCCAAACCAAAACCTGAACCTGAACCCGAACTGAAACCCGAACCCACTGAACCCAAACCTTAACCCGCAAACCCAAAACCCAACACCCCAACACCCAACCAAAACCCAAAACCCGAAACCGAACCCAAACCCAAACCCGAACCCAAACCAAAACACACACCCAAACTAGCACCCAAACCCAAACCCAAAACCACACACAAACTAAACCCCAACTGAAACAAACAAAACAACCCTAAACCCAAATCCAAGCCATACTCCAACACAAAACCAAAACCTTAATCCAAGCTTAACCCCAACGTTAAATCAAATTAAACACAAAACCAAACCCCAAATCCAACCCCCGAACCAAGCTTTACCCCAAGCTTATCCAAAACCCAAACTCACATCAAATCCCAACCTCACATCAAATCCCAAAACAAAACCCAAAACCAAACCCCAAATCCAACCCCCGAACCAAGCTTTACCCCAAGCTTATCCAAAACCCAAACTCACATCAAATCCCAACCTCACATCAAATCCCAAAACAAAACCCAAAACCCAATTAAACACAATTAAACAAACCTGATCTCAGATCCTAAAACCCAACTTACATCCAAGTAAATTAAACTACATGCAAAGGTAAAATAATACTTTACGTGTTTCGTGTTAATTGTAGGGTGGAATGAGGGTCAAATATCGAGCAACGGACGATGATCTATTCGGCAGTGACCAGATTGATGAGGATTTTCAGTCAATCACAGTTGGTGCTGCGTCATCAGTTAGCAGCGCAGTCTGGCACGATTACACTCTCAAAGCCTCTAATTCCGAGTGAGTATGAAATATTTATATACTCCTCAAGTCTCCTTTCATCTCTAAGATCTAGACCTATATAGGTAAATATTGTTTTGAGCTGTGGGGAAGAAGTGTGTTTGCAAGTCATATTCAATGTTGGCACCAATTTCTCGACGTCTTAAATTGTTACCAAAATGTCGCAGGGGAGGGGGGGGGGGCAAGTCCCCCTCTCCCATGCTGTTTACGCCACAACATATATATTTCTCAAAATCATTATGCTGTTCCTACGAGGACAACAGGAAGACATACAAGTACATTGAGCATACAAATGGTATTTCCCCTTCCACAGTTTACATGAAAATGTTCTTTTGTTATATCATGCTTTGTATAGGCCCTATAGCTTGTTCTTTTTTTCAACAGAAACATCCAAATCATATAACAGAACGGGTAATTGCTGTACCTTGTATTCTATTTTGTTTAGTTTGCGTATATCCTCCATTAAATTTTGTCCGGGTTTCCATCTCGACATTTCGAAAGGTTTCTGTACAAACTACGAATTTACTGCAACAAGGATTACTACTCGTCAGACTGCAGTGTGAAGTGTGTACCACGTGATGATGACAAAGGTCATTATAACTGCAACCAGACAACAGGTGCAATGGTCTGCCACGCCGGCTGGCAAGGTATAAAAACATATAACGTTGTACGTCAATCACTTTCATTTGTAAAATTACTCTTGATTCAGCATAGTATATCGTATCTTAAAATTTGATATAAAAAAATGTTCGAGATTTCGATTCCATTTGGTCATGCGTGAGAATATAAAGGACTAATTTTCGACGGCAATTTTTGTGTCTGTTTTGTTATATGATATGATTTGTTTCATATCCATTGAATACAATTAGCGCTAGTGCTAGATTATGTTGAAACAGAATGCAGGCAACAACTGTGCCTAGTAAATAACTATAATTTAGCAAAATCATTACGTTTTTCAGACTTTAGTCTAAAAGTCTTGTGAGGATTCTGATTGGTCAAATTTGACGCTTAAACATGGGACAAAGTCCGGCCTTTTTATAAGTATGTCTTCAGGAGACAATCCAATGATTCCTTAATGCCCTATTCACGGTATAGCTCGCGAGCCTAAAAGACATTTGTTGTGATAATTGGATGCAGAAAATGGTACATTCTGACGGTGTTTATGGGAATAAACCACAAATATTTTGAGGAAAGGCTTTTCCGTCTACAAATAAATCTAAAACATTTGGCCTCATCGGATTCGAACCGGGCCACATGTGAAAGTACCATTTCACAATTCAGACTCTCTTTGAATGGATATGTTTTAAGATGAGTAAGGTTATGTAGGTACATGAATGGAATCTCCTTTGATTATTTTCTGGGGATAAGGAACGGACTGTGATGTGGATGTGGACGAGTGCGCATCCGGCCCATGCCAACACGGAGGAACGTGCCAGAATGAACTGAACAGGTTTACTTGCACCTGCGCAGACGGCTGGTCGGGTAAGTTTTCATGTTGCGAAGTGGTATTATTAATGTCCGGTACCATTTTATAACCCAATATTGTTATAATACACGGATTTGCACCTAAATTGCAGAAGAGTCTACTCTCGTGAAGACGAACCGACCAATTTTCAATTAGTTTTGTATGGTTGTGGGTATAAACGTGTAAAGACTTTGGAGAAAGAAAGAAGAAAAACTAGCTTTACTAATCAAGGGTTATGCATGTAACCTTGGGAGTACATTTCGAAATGTACACATTGCACATTACGAAATGATAAACGTTAGCCTATATCTAAACCGGTAACACCAACATTTTAGATTGATCAAGCTTATGTTGTGCACAATGCTGTACGTTGCCTACAATGTCGGTAATTGTAGGTTGAAAGACAATTCAGCGTTAAGGGTAAATTCTACCAAAATCCACTCGTAAGATTCCAAGAGAAGAAAAAAGTTAAACAACACAGTTTAGTGCAAGTTGTAAGCCGTTAAGTTTTACCTGAGAGTCCACAGTTGATTTTCGATTGCTTTGTTGACTCGTTCATGCAGGTTCGGAGTGTGAGATCGATGTTAACGAGTGCGAGTCGACACCGTGCAAAAATGGCGCCACTTGCAACGACTTCATCGACTACTTTAACTGCTCTTGTGTCCCTGGGTATGTGTACGCCGACGAGCTATGTGAGATAGACGACTGCGCTTTCAACCCCTGTCTCAACGGCTCAACCTGCAACGATCTCCCTGGCAACTTCTCCTGCACCTGCACCCCTGGGTTCGAGGGGAGACTCTGCGATATTGACATCGACGAGTGCGCAAGCGTGCGGTGCCACAACGGCGGGAGCTGCACGGATGGACTTGGCTGGTTTAACTGTACGTGCTCGGCGGGCTTCGAAGGCGACCTGTGCCAGGCAAACATTGACGAATGTCAATCCAGCCCTTGTCGTAACAATGCCACGTGTGTCGACTGGGTTAACGGTTATACCTGTAACTGCCCTATAGGATTCAATGGCACATTGTGTGAGATTGACATTGACGAATGTGGGTCGAACCCTTGCCAAAATTACGCCACTTGTTTGGACAACATCAATAGCTTTGAGTGTTTGTGTGTGGACGGCTATTATGGCGACTTCTGCGAGGTAAATCAATTCCCAAGTTAAATTCTAAATCAATCATGTCTCTGTTTTTGTTATCAATAGAAAGCACTGCGCGAAGGGTACGATTTTAATAAGTCTATAGGCCTGTCTTGTCCGGATGAGTAGGCTACCCTGATTCTGTGCAATAATTCGTCGCAGAGCTGACAAACCGGCGAATCGACCATTTTGGCGATTTCGATTTTTTGTTATTTTTAGGCCTTATGAAGGTTGCTCTTTCAAGATTTATGCCAAAATTCTTAATATTTGTCTGGATTTTGAGATTCAGAGCCCCCCTTGTGGCGAATCACTCACAAAAACAAATCCATAATTTGACATAGTGACGAATACGAAATTTCGCTGGTAACCAGCTTATGTAAGGTGTGCGTTCCAAGTACCAACGAATGTTATTCGTCAGTTTGTCGGATTGCGTGTGCGTGCACGCGCGATCCGACAAACTGACGAATAGCTACACACATTTCGCTGGTAACCAGCTTATGTAAGGTGCGCGTTAAAAGTACCAACGAATGTTATTCGTCAGTTTGTCGGATTGCGCGTGCGTGCACGCGCGATCCGACAAACTGACGAATAGCATACAAACAGTGTGAAGAACAACCGGATATTGCCGATTAATGTAATTTGACAAACTGACGAATGCGTTAACGATCAAATAAAACCATATCGCACAACTTCTCTGATTAAATAAGTGACCTGGTGGATACTTAGTTTCATATTTTATTCAGAATATATACTAACAGTTTTTTTATCGAAACATTAAGGGTAAAATACGGCGCCCGGAGAAGTGTCCAACTTCAAACGCGAATTACTCCAAACAAGGTTTTCGTTTATTCGTCGGTTTGTCATCTCTGCGACGAATTATTCCACATTATACATTATATCTAAAATCCATGCTTTATTGAGCATGCATATATAGCTTTTATTTGTATTCACGTGTTTTTGTTTTATATTAAACTCAAGGTGGATATAGATTACTGCATCAACCAAACCTGCGCAAACAACGGCACGTGCGTGGATCGACTAGACGGGTTTCACTGTCTGTGTGAGAGGGGCTACGAAGGCCCCATGTGCGAAACGAATATCGATGACTGTGCTAGCAATCCCTGTATGTACAACTCAACTTGTCACGACATGGTAGCGGAATACATGTGAGCAAATAAGCTGTAAATTTTGCAAATCTTGACCATCTTGAATCACATGTGGTGATGCTCATCCGTAGAGAACTTCGTGTATCTAAAGCTTAAAGTTGCCTTTAAATACCATTACGATTTTGTGAGAATACAGGACTTTCGGAAAAGTATTTTGCTATCTCACTGAGCTCAGTTGGTAGAATTCAGGGTAAGAATCACGGTTTACAACATGTTGAGCAACGTTGCTGAGTGTAGCCGATGTGGAGAGTGGCCTACACTATAGGTACCGGGCCGCGTGTCAGATTCAGCCGAGATCCTGTTCTGATTTGACCTGACACTCTGCCGGATCAGACGGAAAGTTCTGAGTCACCTTTCCGAGTCATGTGAGCTATAGTAAGGTGTCTTTTGGAGATGGACAATTTGTCAATCATGTCCAGATTCAGGGTCAAATTTGACTCCCCCCCGCTCAAGGCTTGGAACCTCAACTCAGAATTCGGAATGCCAAAAATGAGCTTTTAATGGTTATAAATGCATTCATGTTCCCTCTCCAGAAAAGTGGCCCTGTAAATGCGTCTTTATTTACACCACTGATTGTAGACAGTCAAGTGAGCGTGAAATTAGCAAATTTCTTATAAGAATTCTTCCGCATTTAATTTTCTTCTCTTTTCCCAAATTCTCTCCAGATGCCTCTGCCAGGATGGTTACGAGGGCGTCAACTGCCATCATGAGACAGACGAGTGTCTGGGCAACCCGTGCATGAATAACGCCACGTGCGTAGATAGCATCGCTATGTTTAGCTGCCAGTGCCTGCCCGGCTACCAAGGTGTGATTTGCGACATCAACACGGATGAATGCGCCAGCCATCCGTGTTATGGTAACGAAACCTGTGTGGATCTCATCGATGGGTACAGGTATGAGTAAGGCACGGTCACTTCATCACTGTGGCCGCTTCCAAATTATTAGGCTACGACAGGCAACATTAAACACACGCGTGTCCTTTAGGAAGTGGCTTCAGCCGCTTCCAGACATGGGTAATTTCAAGCCGTAGCCAAATAATTCGGACGCAGCCAGACGGACATGATGACGCTCATGTTAGCTTGTGGATCCCTGCCTGATTGATTCCGTATAGTGTTTAGTTCCAATTGAGATCACCGTTGCCTGACCAGTTCTGGTCTTTCGTCTCCGGCTTGCTTCCGTATATTGCAAGGTGAATGGCGGTACATGTATAAGGATGCAGATACAAAATGGCTGCCGGAAAGTAATCACAAACTAGATAAAAAATCAGTCGATAGGTGTCGCTCATGTTTATGCTTACTTTGCAGGTGTGTCGACGGTGTCGACATGTGCGACTATGTTCCACCCGTGTGTAAGAACAACGCCACCTGTGTCGATGAAGACAGAGGCTTCAGCTGCATCTGCCTGAATGGTTACCAAGGCCACGATTGTGGTAATAACATAAATGAGTGCGACAGCTCACCGTGTGTCAACGGCACGTGTGTCGATCTTGTGAATGAGTTTACCTGCCACTGTAGCCCTGGCTTCGACGGGCCCTTGTGTGATGTCGACACAAACGAGTGCATCAGCGCACCGTGCTGGTACGGCACGTGTGTGGACGAGGTGAACGGGTTCTCGTGCCTTTGCACAGTCGGGTACGAGGGATCCGTGTGCCAGTTCGAGATCGACGAGTGCGAGTCTTCCCCGTGCCTGATGAACGGAACGTGTCTGGATCTGATCGACGCCTTCTCCTGCCACTGTCCGCATGGCTACGAAGGCGTGCACTGCGAATCCGAGACGGACGAGTGCGCCAGCTCCCCGTGCGTATACGGCGATTGCGTAGACCTGCCTAATGCGTTCTCCTGTGAGTGCAGTCCGGGATATGAGGGAATCCTTTGCGATCAAAATACGGACGAATGCGCATCGGCGCCGTGTCTGCATGGCAAATGTGTCGATGAGGTCAACGGCTACAAGTGTCTTTGTGAGGTACAGAGGTTCATTTCGTTTCACTTTCTCAACAGGCCTCAGTCAAGACAGATACAAAATTAAGGCTTTCTCTGTATAAATGTTATGAGGAATAGTCAAATGTTTTGAGGAATAAACTTTTTGTCAATTAGTTTATTAAGTTGATTATAGATTCTTGACATTAATACAGTAGTTGGCATTGATATTTTTCAAAGCTATACAACCATGTACTATTGAAATATTTTCTGAAACTCCCTGATACTTATAACAATTACGATATTACACATTCAAAACACTGCGAGCGTTGAAATTAAACTCATGAATGCAACTAAACCCTTTTTTTCTCACCTCTCTATATGACCCGCACTGTGGATGTTCTCCATCATAACAGTTCTAATGCATCGTTTCTGAACTGGCATCCGTATATTTTGTTGACATTTTTGACACAGGTCGAGTGCGTGAACGGGGAGTGTGACAACGGTTTGTGTAAGTGTAATACTGGGTACGAGGGTGATGACTGCAGTGTTCAGATAGACTACTGCCTCAGCTCACCCTGCAACAGAGGAACCTGCATCCCCCTTCTGAATGCGTACAGGTATCCTATTGCTATAAACAAAAATCAGTAAAATAAAACACGACAGATTTTAAATTCGTAGCAGAATTTTTTCTTACGGAAACGGACGTATTAATTTAATGTCAAATTGCCCCATTTAAGTTGACGACTGTGAAACTTTGTCCATTGGTTATGTTTTGCCTGCCTCGTATTAAACTATGCAAAACGCTCCAGAAATCGTAGATGTGGTCTGCCGTTTGGTCAAAAATGTCCTAAACATTGTTTTCAAAGCATTTTTGCCATAAACCTTCGTAAAGCTCACATCATAGTCATCGTATCAAGGCCGTGTACAATTTCGTTGATATTCAATTGATTTTTCTCATGGAAAAATGCTTTGAAGGGTTTCAGGTCGTGTTAAGAAGTTCAAGTCTGGTTGTCTGCCTTCCGCATGAGTGCAGTTTTTCCCTAAAGAAATATTGGACTATAGATATTAATATGGAAACATTTTTTGGATGTGGTTGTCGGTAGATGTGAATGCGACGAGCTGCATACTGGTACCCACTGCACGGACACCATCGCGGATCCCTGTTCCCTGTCTCCGTGTCAGAATGGCGAATGTGTGCCCTCCAGTGCGGTCACTGACGGGTACACTTGCACCTGCGATGAGGGTTACTACGGGCCCACCTGCAACATCGGTAGGACCAAGTCACGTTTTCAAAGATTTCATTTTCAAGACAACAACGCACGGAATATGCATGATGAATCTAAATCATGAATGTGCAAATCATTTCACAACAACCATGCGCAAATGCAGGAACGATTTCAAACTTAACTTCAAAGTCCCGTCGGGTGTTGAAAAATAAAGGAATGCCTTTGTCATTAGTCATTCGAATTTTAACTGGATGACTTGTAATTCATTTTTTTTTGGAGAGCTACCATCACAAGGGTTACTCAAGGTATTAGGACTACACAAATAAAGGATACAAGAGGAAATGTTAGGAAACGAGCAAACTTCTCAAAATTTGCTTTGGGAACAATGACTGTATTATTGAGAAACGAGTTGAGATCCACGCGCCAATATACACTTAAACAACACTGGTAATCTCACAGAATTTAAATGCATTTTATTGGCAGATTTACTGGAGTACGGTAGCGTCATCATGCTGGTAGGAAAGATTACCGACACTAGGGATTTGGAGTTCAGAATGGCAGCACTCCTCGGTAAACTGATGGCCACAGATAGAAGGAGGGCCAGCACATATTTCACGGTGGACATTGTGAAAACAGAAGACTATGCCAAATCTGACTCTGGGTAATATAAGCATCAAAGAACAAGAGACGAACAATTAAGACTATCTTTAAGTTTAGGTGGAAGCCACCGTGTATCTGATACTGATACTGATACAGATACCAAACTGACCCCGAGATTGAGACAAAAATCAAGACTGCGATTGAGACGGTGTCATATGAACATCCGACTTCTATGAAAATCGGACCCCTTTTTTCTATTATTGGTTAATCCCTCTCACGTGACAGGTCACTCTGCCGTATGTGATCCTAAAAATAGCATATTCTCGTACTTACGCAGGCGCAATACTACCAATGAGTCCACATTTCATGGAGTCGGATAATTTACGCTACAACGGAAATCAAGATCTAGACCGACACCCATATTGACATCGATATTGCACCGATAGCCATACCGATATCGATACCCATACCGATAATGATATCAATATTGATATTGGTACCCATACCGACACCGATATTACCGATAGCTATACCGATACTGATACTGATATTGATACCGATACCGATATTGATACTGATTATAATACCGATACCGATATGGTACCGATACCAATACCGATACTAATATTCTCAAAACCGATACCGTTAAGTCCCATGTCATATTTTGCTAACCTTGCTATATGGTGAAGAACAAAGTGGGGTACATTCCACGAATTTCTTTTGAACAAAATGTATAGAGGTAGGCTTATAGGGGTTTGTGACACTCTTGTCAGTTTAGGACCCAGTCAATTTCCTTTCTTTGGTTCGTAACTTTAATTGCAGAGAGACACTGACTAGAGTGACCTACGTGTCGGAGACAACAACCGGCTACCTCCCTAAGAGTCAGGTTGAGAAAACGATTGAAGACACTTCTCCTAGCACGCTGAAGAAGGAACTTGGATATGATGTGTACACTGGCAAGGCCGAGCCACGCCCACCAGCGGAAGACAATCCGGTATGTCTGGACGAATTTTCAAACTGAACTTGAAAAGTCCTTAGTTTTTTTCATATTAATCCTTTACTTCATTTGCGGGGCTTCTTTTTCCCTAGAGTCTAAAGCCCCTGTCACACTGTCACGATGTAGCCTCCCGATCACGATAAGACAGTGCTGAGACGCAAAACTCGACGACATCGTGAAACTCGTAACGACATCTACACTTTATCAGAGCGACTTGTTGAGCGTCGTTTCAGCATCCTACAGGCCGTGCATGGTCGGCAGTGGAGCCACAATTAGTTTCAAATGTTAAAACATATCGTGATGGTCGGCAAATAATCCAAAATGGATCAGAGACTGTTCTCTGTCTGTACTCAAATGGTTGTGTCGTAGCGAAATCGTAACGACATCGCAACAGTCTGTACGAGATCAGCAGTGGTCGTACATGGTCAGCCACATTTTTTAAGCCGATTTGACGTCACTGTCGTTTTGGAGTTGTTTCGGCATCAGTTCTCAATCTTTTGTGTGGGTACTCCATCGGTTGTGTCGGTACTCTGTCGGTTATGTCGTAACGGGATCTGGACTCGTGGAAAAAATGCAATTGAACGGATCCAAGAGTCATAGTGAGGTCGTAATATTCGGTTCGGGGTCGTTTCGGAGTCGTAGTATTCGGGACGACATCGCAGAAACATGAATTTTGCGCCACACTTCCTTCGTTTTTGGTAGGATTTTTAAGAAATCTTTAAATCTCATGGTCTTGGCGGGGTCTTTGTCTTTGGTCTTGGATGTGTGACAGGGGCTTCAGTTGGAAGAGCACCGGTGCGGTGTTCTGGAGCTCGCAGTTTCTAATCCCACTATAGGCCTACTGTCATTAAAAAAAAATAAAAATAAAAAATTTCTTTTCATGTACAGGACTGGATAGCTACCAATTGGTACATTCTTGTGATTGCTGGTGTGGTAGTTGTGGCAGTGGCGTCAGTTACTGGTATCGTAATATGGCAGAAACGACGGTAAGCCAACGTCTTAACGGTTACATATCGGGAGACAGGGGTGGACAAGTAATAGAAACCAAAGTGGAACTTCACTGTTAAAAAAAGGGGGAAATTGCAAATATGGTTAGGGGGGGGGTGGCAAAATGGGTTGTGTTTTTTTCTGAAAGGTGATCCAGATCTTCTTTTCCTTCGTAAAAATGATTAAGGGGGGGGGGGGGGGTATAACTATTACATGTTTAAGCTGTCGCGAGCAGGCCCGGATTAGGTGTTTCGTAGACCCTACAGGCACCAGTGTTCCGAAGAATGGAGAAGGAAGGGGAAAGGAAGAGGGAATAAGAACAAAGTGGAGAATATAAATAATAAACACCACTGCTTAAAACTCCGAGAAGCTGAAATCAGGTTCTGCAATCCATGGCAAATTATGTCATGTCGGCACAAGCTGCCGCACGAAGCCGTTTCATATACGGGGGTTGACAGCTACAGCTTTGCAAAACACAAGCACGTGCTCGCTCATTAGTGACGACTCAAAATAACGAAGGCAAATTTCGATCGAGAGTCAAGCTACAATTTTGATATTTGCGCCACAGAGCATCTGCAATCCAAACATTTCCCGGGGCTCTTAAGCGTCCCCGGACCCATGCCTTCGGGGCTTTGCGCTCACGTATAACAAATTCCACTACAGGATTTAGAGCCCCCCCCCCGCCCCCTGCAGTCTGGGATCAGGGAACAGGCCTGAACAAGGTATGCGCAAAGGTACTGAGTATATGTACATGCAGTTTTGCGACAATGAAATAAAAACATTATACATGTAGCTGGATTGAATTTTGTGTTTTCGAGCAAATTAATTTCGAACGATTACAGTACAAGCTCTCAATATAACAAATTAATCATTCTTGCAAATGTCCTCGGAAAGAAAAGAAAGAAAATAAAACAAAAAGTTATGTGGCGATGGCCAAGTCTTCAGGAGTCGGACTTATGACCCTAACTCAATGAGCCCCTTACCGACTTCCAATATAGAACTCTTCTGGGTCTCGGTACCCGGCCCACCACACCTCCTTCCCTGTCCATCCATGTAACTCGAAAGTCAGGCACCATAAAGGGAGGAGACGAGGTGGCACCCTAAGCCTTGCTGCCGAGTCAGCAAAAGAACCCCGTACCTATACGCAGATGCCAACCTGGACTTCGCAGACAGTCCCAACTTGTGAGTTAGCTTACCGACCGACCGAGCTAACTGCTGTTGGTGAATGATGATGGGAAATTAATACTCTTAAATGACAGAACCGCGGGCATCGAAAACCAAAAAATGACCCAAGCGGGTTCGAACCCCTAGCCCCGGGTCCGCTGTCAGACAGCTTAACAACTGGGCTGTTTCAGTAGGTGCTTTCTTCTGTGCGTTTAAAACATAATCCTTATTTCCGCAGTGGGAGAGTTACTTTGTGTTTCATAGCTGCACGAAAGATGCATCAGCATTGCGCTACATGAATGCTGTTACGTAACTCTTTTCTACAATCATTCTTATGTACCAAGCAGTTGACTATTCAGAGTCACCACGACCATTAACCTTACCAAGCTCGTCCTTATTCTGCCTCATCAATTGTTTCGCGTCGCGCGTCTTTCGGCCGGCACTGACATTCCTAGCAAGTTTCCCCTTACCTCATTATATTTATATCAAACTACTGACCCGTTTACAAATATATACGAAGGAATTTTGTTTGTCTGATTCTAATTCAGCTTCCTAGACTAGCTTGGGAAAATTAATCTTTTCTTGCACTAGGAAAAATGAACTCTCCGTGGCAAATTCTTGGTGGCGCACTGCATTGTGAAACGCCTGAATTGCCCGGCCGGCCGCGGACGTTCTTTATCAATTATGTATACTGGCGCTTACATTTTAAAAAGCTTTTGTACTTTGTTTATCCACTTTCCAGCGATATTGAATACATTTTAGTTGCTGGGACGTTCGAAAACTACCTCAAAATCCTCATTGTTTTCCTCATCACAAAAATGTGGGGGATGATTCAATAGCCCACCCCCTGTTTGCAAAGTGTGGGGGTATATACCCCCACCCCTAATGCTTTCGTGTGCGTTTGAGGGCAGTTTTATTTTCATCTCGAGGGGTCACATTTGTGACCTAATGTGGCAAAATTAGGAATGTCCCCCAAAAACATGTTATGAGTAATCAACGCCTGCAGTTGGAAACACTAGGAAAATCATGTAATATAGAACCAGAAAATTTCCCTGTCTAAAAAAAACCCCATAGTAAAAATATATGGCTATAGATTAGGCTTATTGGAAGCGGGGTACAAGGACGGATCCAGAACACACTTTTTTTTGGGGGGGGCAATTTTCTCCCGAAAAGTGGGTCCAAACAGTTTCCGCCCCAAATTAAATTTGACAATCAAACGCGGCAAATGTACTGCTTCTGTTGTGTTTTGTGGGTGGTGTACGCAGTCGCTGCTTGTTTTGCGACGTCACTTTACAAACATTTGGTTCGTTTTTTTGGGGAGGGGCATGGCCCCCGTACGGTTGCCCCTGTATGGTTGCCCGCCCTCCCCCCGATCCGCCGTTATGAGGGGATCGGCGGAACACCCCTTCTCACTTTTGAATATTATTGCGAACCCACTTGTTAAAGTGATGACTGCATCTGATCCCCCAGGCCCGGATTAAGTATTGTGTAGGCCCTAGGCACCAGTGTTCCGTAGGCCCTGCTCCACCCTAGGCACTAAGAGTGAAATGGGAGGAATATTGTCGCAAGGTAAAATTTGCACACAAACACCGCGTCATAGAATAAGAATGAGCCTAACTGTTGAATAGTATATTCCATTCCCCGTGGGCGAATGGGACTTTTTGAGCCCCGGCGTGAATGGGAGTAATAACGAATGTCACGTGATGTGAGTTCCACCAATCAAATGACAAGGATCTGTGATTATGTAATAGTCCCTCAAACCACTTACAGGTGTGCTGAACTATAGATCTTGTCGACTGAGGGAAATTTATTATTGTTACATTATAGTCCCATAGCAAACTATATTATCGAGAACTGAAATTGACTATAGTTATACTTCACGCTTTAAACATTTCCACCAATTATGCAAATTAAAGCTTAGAATGTTCAGGAGTACAACTTCCAGAAGTATGAAGAAAGAGTGTGTGGCGGTTGCCCATTCGGCTTGGTGTAAGGTAGCGTGGGGAGGGGCATGGGTAGGGTCCCTTGTGCCCACCCTCGAACCATTTTTCCCAGCTCAGTTTTCGGGGAAGGCGAAAAGGGGCTTTTAGTTGTCTCTCCGCACAGTGAGTTCCCTGGCCCCTCCAGAGCGCCTTGCTAATTGGATCCCAATTATTGCCACTGATAACTCTCTGCAATACCCTATAACTCTTCTCATAACCACACTTTTGTTCTCTAATTCCCCAACGCTGATGTCACTCTTGCAGTCCATCGTCTTCACGTGGCAGCGACGATACCGGCTTGGTCGGGGGAGGGCAGCAGACCGTCAAGAAAACCCTCAGGAGATTCTCAAGGAGCAATCATTTCACCCGGATGGTCGGGGACGATGCCGGTCAGCTCACGGGCACGCGAGTCGAGAACCCCCTGTACGACCCGGGGGACGACGAGGGCTTCGCCGATGAGTACGGGGGAATGGAATTTGTATTCAAGGTCAATGATGCGGCGACTCATGGCTTTGACTGTTAAGGAGGGGACGGATTCTGCTCCCCTTGCGTCCAAAACACACTATTAAATCGATTATGAAATTTTTGTTTGATAGTCGCAACATTATGCGAAGCTTTAGCTCAATCGGACGTAACATTTTGTATATATTTAATAATTCATATTGCACCGTCCGTGTATAAGCGCAAATGAGTACTATGCAATTTAATAAATGGAAAACTATACGTCATTTGTTTTTACGAAATTGGTGCATTTTACTATTAAGGTACTCTCTATCTACGGATAAGCACTCTTATTAGCACAGCACAATCAAACTGCTTACGAGTTTCTAATAGTTCGTGAGAATTAACTGGAAATCAAAGCGCTACGGGACAACACACGTCGATGGTTTGCGCCTTTTCGACTAGATATGCATGTATGCCAATGCCCCACAGATTTCCCAGTCAATAATCCTAACATTAAAATGTTGACCGATTTTTAAGTTTCAACTACTCTAGTAGCACCTAGCAGCCCAATCTGACTGAATTTCTCTTTTTAAGAAAGTGAAACTCCTTAATTTTTTTTCGTCACTTCTGATCACTTCATTATGATCAATTCAACTGAAAAAATCAAAGTAATGCAGTCAATTGCTGAACAAATTCAACAAATTGTAGCTTCGCAGTTCAGGGAAATACCGACAACATTAATTCTTCAAATTTCTTGAAGAACACACAGAAAGGATCAAGATAGGTTTTTTTTGTATGTCAACATGCCAAAAAGTCCTTTGGTCAATGTTGATGTGAAAAATCTCACGCAAATATATTCACGCTAAAATGTGCAAACATTATCGTCGTTATGCTGACACATTATTTGTTACAAAGTTATGTATAGGCAACAATATGGAAATATTTATCATAATACATGCTGGTTATATGCTTACATTTATGTTATCGCCAAACAGTATTCTAAGGTCCCACTTGGAGCTACACCGTGGAATGGAATAGTTATTAACAAAAACATGCAGAGATACCAATAAGTAATCAGCCAATCATATACTAGCAAATTATTTTGCATAAAAAAGTAAAAGAACTAAGATAAGGTCAAAAAAATAATAAGTCGGTCTCTGGTCAGCGCGCGTCGATTTTAATCATGCGCGTCGATTTTTTTTTCCAAAATGTTCCGCGGTAGCTCCAACAGTGCCCTCTATTTCCGCACCTCCTCATTTTTTTTTTCCAAAGAGCACCAAGGAATGGGAGATTGCACCAAGGCAAATAATCAAAAGCAACAAGGCAAATTATGGAGGACACCAATGTACACGAGGACACCAAAAAAACAAAAACAAAATAGTACCCCATCTTGTCTGTACAATCCAAGCTTGAAGAAAAAAAAAAGCCAAAAAAAAAAAGCAGCTGCGTTGCCGCGTCAATTCCGGAACTTTGGTCTGACCAGAGACCGAATTTTTTTTTTTGGCCTAAGGCCAAAAAGGTCTCCGGTTTCTGGTATGGTGCCTCCTGTATAAACTCCCACGTGGAGTATTTAGGAATATTCTGATATCGATTACGGTGTCCTTTAAATTACAAAGAATTACGAAGTATTGTTTCACTTGTAGCATTTTGTTTTATGTTAATACGCTTTCTACCGAAATTTAACATTAAAAGTAAGAAAAGCTTGATAACCTTATGGTCGACTGATACAACAACTATAAATATAGCAAATTTCTTTTCAATGTTTTTTTTTTATTTCCAGTTCATTATTATTGTCCTTCCTGTAACTGTCACTAAGCCTATTTTTCGAAAACATTGTCCCGTCTCTGTAATAGCTAAAAATTAAAAAAAAAATGTAGACTATGCGAAATACAGTGTACCAGTGTTAATCACATGATTATATGCCTTTTGTTTTATAAAATAAACACGACAGTGGTATAATGAAAGTTATACTGCCCAAAAAATCAAGTTTTTCTCAATTTCATTCAATTAAACTAAGCAGACAATGTCTCTTCAGAAAAAAAAAGCTCTTGGTTCATTATATTATTCACTGTAAAACATCATTTCCACGTCTTAATCTCTTCTTTATATGCACTAATAATGTCATACAAGTTTGCGTACGATTTCACAAACATTGGCTTTACTTGTAATGTACAAATTTAATATTAAACGTTTGTTGTTTCTCCCACAGTAATTTAGGTGAAGCTCTGTGTTTTTTTGCGTTCTTATATATAGGTTTGAAGTGCCCAGAAATGGTTTCAGAATTACAGACATTCAGGAAGTGATTCAGGACATTCTCTTGTTTGAGAACTTGTTCTTCAGCGAGATATATTTTGGTTTAGATAATGCATATTCATTTTGATCGTTTAGACCTTTTCTATATACTTATGCCAACATGGCAAAACGTATGCCAATGTGCCTTGAACGTATTATTTGTTTTCTAATTATTTGCATTTTGTCGATATTCTTGATAGCGGACGTGTGGCAAATGCTCTTGAAGGTTCGTTAATGTTCCAGCTCTGTACAGATAAGTTAACTAATATTTCTGGGCAATTTGGATTTATTGGGTATATACGGACTTGTACTTCACTTTGCGACAAAGTGGAGTTACTTTTTGTTTTCCTTTTAAATTTCGATGGGCCCCAGGATTACTTTTAGGCATTAGGGTTAATCATTTTGTTTGGAGGGAAATATACAAAAGCCACCGATTAACCAAATATCGGAACAGCAATTAAAAGCGGTAAATCAAGTTTGTTTTTGAACCTAGGAAAATTATTATTATTTCTTCTTTTTAAAAGAGGGTAAATTAATTAAGAATTGCTGTCTAGAATTAGATAACGCAGTTAATGCTCTCTTAAAAGATCCAAGTTTTTTTGGGTCAAAATGAACCGGAAATTGATAATGATGTGAAGTGTCATTTGACCCAGAAAAGTATCATTTCGACCTGGAAAATCATAATTTTGACCCAGAAAAGTATCATGTCAAATGTGGCTCCGATTGTGAATCAAACCTGACCTGCGACATTTTAGAGTCTGATCACCAACTCTATTTTGTCGAAGGCTTCCATACATCCGGGATCTCGTAATAACCGTTGTCGACCGCCGTCTCCGCATATTCGCCCATGTCCTTTCTGATACACGATGGGATTTCGTAGTCTGAGGCATTGGCTGAGCCGTTAGCGGTCTGGTTCCCCACTTCCTCGTAAATGGCCTCTGCCAAGACGTTGAAGTTTCCGTCGTCTTGCAGCTCATTATCCATCTCCAGTCTCTCCGATTGTCGGGTTATGTGAAGAATTCTGAAAAAAAGTAAAAAGTACCTAATGAATCACTCAGTCTGCATTGTTCTGTTACTCAGCATTTCATCTTACGCTCACAACTATAGAGACGGATTGAACGAAGACTACACATGCCAAGTAACGACTAGCTCGACCTGCACATGCATCCTCGTTCCCATGGGTACGAGATCTTGCTGCGCCATGTTGTTTCCCATCATGCCTTGCGCGATCTCAAGTGAAGTGAAGGAACGCGCACGCGCCCATTGAGACGAGGCTGTGCACTATGTATGCTTAGGCCTAGGCCTAGACTGCGCTCAATCTGCGCCACCTCATGGCACCCTGGAAAAGGTAAAAATGTCAATAGTCACGATGGCCTTGTCACAAGGCTAACATTAAAAATCTCCAACAAAAAGTGCACAAAACACTTACCGTCTGGTATGCTTTATTCTCAAAGCCACAAGCCCTGCCACCGCGGCCACTGTAATCAGGATGACGATAACAATGACGTACCAATGGGAAGCAGCCCAGTTCTAATGCATTAATAAGGGAATAACAGTGTGAGGATCCGGTCTTCACTGCGTGATAATGACCGGGTTTGGGGGTGACCGCTGTTAATGGACCGAGACGCAGTCGAGGTCCATTAACAGCGGTCACCCCCAAACCCGGTCATTATCACGCAGTGAAGACCGGCTCCTCACCCTGTTATTCCCATTAATAAATACCTTTTTAACGAAATAAACAGTTAAAATGCTCCAATTTTGTGACTTTCTTTCGGCGATATTTCCAGACTTTTTTTGAGTTCATGTTCATGGGCCATATTTTAACTTATGCGTGGTACCCTGTCTCTTCGATAAGCGTTGTTATATACACCAACAGCCGGGCCCTGCAGGCTGTGCTGGACATTGCTGGACAACGTCTTCATTGCGTACGCGTACGACGTCCAGGGTTTGGACTTCTGCTGCCGTAGCGAAACAAAATATTTACAGCAATGTTTTCATATTTTTACCTGATGGAGGAAGCTGAAATTTTGTTTACACACTCCTCGTGTCCAGAATTACAAAGATGCTTGGTTTAGGAAAGGTAAATATGTCGTTGGGCGAAGTGTGTAAAGAAAATAAATCGTAGATCTACGCTTTCGTCGTAAACATCCTCAGTATATCAGATACTGCACTGCTGTATGTACATGTACGATGTCCAGTCGTTATAAAACTTCCTTACGCGCGCGCACACCCATAGCAACTGTGTTGCGTACGTGCGCGTCAGTGTCGCGCGAAGGTGGTTGAGCGCATGTGCAGTGCTGTATTGTTACAAGCTACCGTATGACTGTTGTAAATTTGGCCAATCATTGCCTTCCATGGGGCTGGATCAATGCTGGTTCAGGGGCCATTTTTTTTTGCTTGTTCTTTGAAGCTGGTCCATTATCACCGTTAATGCCCGGCCACGTGATCGAGTTTCAACCAATCAGAAACCATCAACTCTCCAAGGTATTTATTAATAAGGAAATAACAGTGTGAGGAGCCGGTCTTCACTGCGTGATAATGACCAGAATTGGGGGTGACCGCTGTTAATGGACCGAGACAAATCCATTAATAAATACCTTTTAAACGAAATTAACAGTTAAAATGCTCCAATTTTGTGACTTTCTTTCGGCGATATTCCCAGACTTTTTTGAGTTCATGATCATGGGCCATATTTTAACTTATGCGTGGTACCCTGTCACTTCGGTAGGCGTTGTTATACACACAACAGCCGGGCCCAGGCTGTGCTGGACAAGGGCGGATTCAGAA